AATTGAGCTGCTTGATCTGTAGCTCATGCCATGAAAACGCTCTTGGCAGATTTTCTGTCGACTTCTTTATAATTAGTCTCTATACACCACTGTGGCTAATTTAGGAATGATTTCATTGACAAGCTGAGAGCAATCTTTCCTCATTGTAAGGTGCTGGGGAGATCTAACGAATCATGTGATTGGAGCCTTTGGAACAGGATTCCTCTACCAGTGATGTCCAATGCTCGAACGTGTAATGAGCTTCGCAGATGCACCGCTGGAAGTGCGCTCTGGATGACTGTTTTCAAATTTCTGGCGCCGTAGCTAATATAGGAGATTGAAGGACGTCCCAAGTGATTATAAAGAGAAGAAAAGTCCAAGGGAACAGAAAAAGCGAAAGGAGAACTCGAAGGGAAAAAAGAGACTTACTTAACTCCAAGGCCACCCTCTTCACTCGCTCTCAGTTTCTTTCTGATTTGCTCGACTATATGTTTCGCAAGGACCGAAGTAGCTCGAGTATTGATGTGGATAGGCTGCATGTACTCCTTGCAATGTTGCGCTTGAGCTTGTGTAGACATATTAAGAAATAAGGTCGACATCATGCTCACATTCGCGAAAACTTTCCAACCTTGCCTCCCAACCAAAGCCATAGAATAAAACAGATGAATATATAAAAAGATCATCCGGATACGTCATTCACTCCAATCCGCAGGAAAAAGTGAGACGAGATGAATCTGTACTAATAAGGCTAACCATTGACTTACTTGCGAAGAAGAGCTGGGGAGATACAGCCTTCGTCATCTCTATACAACATTCGCCAAGAGAATCAGAATTCCTCTGTACACCGATACATCATATTCCCGTTGGGGGCTAAAGCCCTCAACTATCGAGTATCCAGGGGCTACAATAGTACTGAGATAAATTCTATGTGTTTAGCGATGCTTATCTTGATCGGTGAACGGTATTGCTAGGTGCAACAGATATTCTGACATTGGCGTCACATCATGCAGCCCTGCAGTAGGGCTTGCTGTGGGGGCCAGAGGTAGCTTTTTTCTTTTTTTTTTCTTAGATGCGCAGCCTCGTTCGAATATCCAGAGAAGCTTCGAAATATCGGTGGCTTGCTTGCAGCTTCACCGTGTTGAGGTTTATCCATGTCCGCCGCCGGTGCGAGTGTGCATCCATGAAATTTTGCGTTGGAGAGAAGTACACTTGAATTGAAGCTTGAGGGATTGAGAGGTGGAGTTTGTTTGTCATTGAGTGTTTTGTTAAGTTTCTTTTTCCTTCTACTTTTTACTTACTATTCAATATTTATTGTCTATCACTCAGGCATTTATTCGCGCCAGGCTCACGTTATTTACACCTGAGGCGGAAAGAAGATTATATTTGGAAATCTGGATTCTCCAAGGACAGGACCGGTACCGTATTGCTACAAAGGTTAGATATCTATCTCATCTATCTGCTCTCATCATCTTTTCGTGTACCACAATCTCTCTCCACAAGTTTCCTCGTGCCACCTACCTATATCGATCAATTCGACTCTTTCCAAGATTGACATGCGTCGTCAACGGTACCGAAGAGGTCAAGACACGAAATGGAAACTCTTATTTCCGGGATTGAGAAATTTTTAATCGGATTATCGGATTCTTGGGCCCAGAGCGATAACTACCATGCTGCGGATGGCACTCCAGCTGATTTCTCATTGGACCATGGTACAGATACACCTTCCCATCCTCCTTCATAGCCATCTGAAGTATTGGATGCTGCTTGTTGTTTGATTCGTCAATTACCCAATTACCCAACCATCGACTCCCTCCTGGCTTGATCTTACGTCGTCTCCGCAGAGATATATCCTTGGTTCATATCTTCATCTTCGTCGCCAATGGCATGAACAAATATCCTTCTGCATAACGTTTGCTCACTTGCAGGGTGATACATATTCTTTGTAAAGTCTTTGGTCAGCAAGTGCATTTCAGCTTCAATCGGTCCGTTGCTTTTCGTTCATCGAATGAGCCACTCGTTCATGAACCTCTTTTATCCTGAGATACCGAGGAAGCGTCGTATCGATGTAAAAATGGAATACACATGCGCTCTCACCAACAGCATGAGCCGTGCGTGATTGACAGCCTCAAACTGCCATATATCTTCGTCGCAACACACCAGGGTGTCATCCCAGGTAGTGACGCGACAGGATGGAACATTTTGCGTGTTATGCATACCCTCTAGAGCTCTCTCACAAATCACACATATTCTCGTATCTTCATCTCTAGAGCGCTCACTCTCAGAACCGTATACCAGTCTTTGATACACAAACATCTTGGTCGCGTTCTATGTCAACACGAAAGCGGGGCTGGAGCTTGATTGAACATATCTAAATCCGGATCTTTCGATTCGTTCGAATATCGCCAACTTCCTTTACAAAGAGCATGCCAACTATCTCCACAATTCCAGTATCTCCCATTCAATCCCAAGATAGTAACGTGCCAAGATTATCATGTACTACTCGGTGTCTGTTCTATTTAGAACGGAGCAATAACTTACCTGCAAAGGTCAATTCTAACACCACAACGATGCCCAAATTTGCAAAACTCCAGTCGCATGTACAACATCCATTTTTCTACTTTGTTGTACTCATTCAAGTCAAGTATCTCGATTCCAAATCTCAACATCCATAGTTTATGGCACAGCCCTCCCGATCCTCTAAACTAGCATATTTATGCGATTTCGATGACTCCCTGGAAAAGCTCTCATCTGTTAATATAGCGGATAAATACTTGCAACCACAAACGCAGACACTTCTTCTTCCAAAGTAACCATTGCAGATACAAAGACAGAACAAACTCACTGAGGAAATCGTTTCAGCTTAGCACTTCTCCAATGCAGGGAAAAGGCATATTGAACAAGAGGAAAATCAGACTCGATCATTGTCGAGATTTATAGCCTCAATATCACAAAAATGGCGATAACACCTAGTTTCTGATACAGAATTCTTTCGGATTCGTTTTTGAAATCGTCTAAATGGTGGCTCGTCACTTTGATGAAATTGCAAAGGCGAGTCGACTTTAAAACAATCGATTAGGTTCACTGACGTCCACTTAGGAAAATCCGCTCAAGAATTGCATATCCTTGATCGTTGTTTCTATGTGCACGTACGATAAAAACCGTGCTGTGATGCGCATAGCCCTCACGGGAGTTAATTTTCTACTTCCATACGGGTTGAATACCTTCTCTCTGCCATTTCAGTAAGACTACATTTCATGGGCTCAGACTTTTGCTTCTACTTGAACGATGGTACCTGCTTCAATTGCCATATCGATTGACGGGTCAAACTATCCTTGTATTCGCATTTCTGTTTCAACTTTCAACATCGCAATTCGTCAACTGGGAAATTGTAAATTTTACTGCATGGCACAAATTACTAATATCCATCGAGTTGAGATCCGCCAATCTCCCGACAAAAGTGCCGAATACCTGTTACCTAGAGGTAGGTAGGCATCCCTTAACTTTCGTCCGAGACAAAGCGAAGCAAGCCTGACCTTTCCGAGATCAATTCGCAACACTTTGCGACGATTGAAAGAAGAAAAAGAAAAGAATCTTTTTATTTCACACCGTGATTCCTATGGATACCAACCATACACTGGGGTTGAGAAGGAAAGCTTGCTCTATTTTTAAAATCATTTCCTTTGTACATGGGGCGCTAGAGCCGCGCTTAAGTCTCCGACTTGCATAACAGGGTAAAAAGGGGTTATTCCCCAAATATAATTGTTTCCTCATGCCATACTAAAAGTTGATATTTACAATAATGGTATCGGAAATTGTTACGAACATTCAGAATTTTCTAAAGTCACTACAGGAATGATGATGAATTACTGCGGCTGATAAGGAAATGGCGTTATAGAGTGTGCCCAACAAGCGTTGATAGTACTCAGGTCCCATAAAATCTGTGTATAGAGATTGCACCAGCTGTGCGTTCATCTCAAGTTCTCAACCGTTATCCATCAGCCGATCGTTCCGCTGCCTGTCTAGTGTCTGTTTTGTTAAGGGCGTGCACGGGTAACGGCATCTCAATGATGAAGAGATCTCTAGTGAAAGAGCTCCACCTCCCCACCCTTGACAGGGCATAGCCATGACAATCCTCAAAATGTTATCCTTATGGATACTAAGAATTTGCGGCTCCCACCACATTCATAGCTTCCAACCTTCTGTTGTTGATTCCCAAGCCGGGTTTCCTTACCGCCTTGCATACCCGCTGTTAGGAATACTGGGTCTGCAAATTCCGTTTATCAATCGGCTCTTATATTATGTCTACTTTAAATATCGGACGGTGTTATGTGCGATATCTCCATGGACGCGCCCTTCAGACAACGATTTCCAAGCAAATAAGCAAGTTCGGTCCCGCGAATTGTCCTTTTATTTCCGTGTTTACTAATATATGATTACTTTTCGAGGACTTTCTCATCATCACTGTGGGGATAGAACAAGCAATCTATGGTTAAAATTTTCGTAGTGCTTTAAAGGTTTTCAAGCAATGTATATATAATCTTATAATTTCATCGTACATATTCCCCCAAGTCTGATCTCTCACAGTTCTCTACATACAACTTCCATTCACAAAGTTGCAAACGTAAGACCGAACGACCCTTAAATCCTTCGAGAGCTAAAGTCTACAGGGCTTTATTTACCTTGTATCCACATTCCGATCTTCTGTGATAAGAATCTTAGAAGTTGCAGGACATACGAGTAATCCATATTTCTATGCACATCCCTTGTAGACCTCATCCAAGACCCGCAAACCCGCTTTCTTCAAGACTCCCATAAATAATAAATAGATCTGCTTACCCCCGGGCGCGAGAGATCCCCTTTTTGAAATGGAGGAGCATCGCAGCACGAAGATTGATTCTAGTACAGGGTTTGAAGATATATCTAGATCAAATTTAGTAACGGATATTGATCGGAATCATTTGAATAAGACGGTCGGCACGAATCCGAACACCGAGGCGGACATATCTATCCCGAATTCAAGAATGGATACCGGTAGAACGTCAAAGGAGCATGGGAATGTGAATGAGGGGAAGTGGAACGATAGTGATAGTATCGATACGGAGCCCTTTCCGGGACAGGGCATCGATGGAGAAGTGCTAGGAAGCAGTCAAACGACGACGTTGGCAAAGGATGATGTAGATGTGGAAGCGCAAGGCGAGAAAGAAAAGGAAGATGCGTTGAGATTGGAAAGGGAGAAGGAAGAACATGATCCGAATCTGATAACCTGGGATGGACCGGATGACCCTGATAACCCGATGAACTGGGATACGAAAAAGAAATGGTTCATAACCGTCATCTTGGGCTTAATGACTTTTGTCGTCACTTTCGCGTCGAGTGTTTTCAGTACGGCTACGATTGTAGTTGCGGAGTTATATGGGGTATCAGAAGAAGTCGCTGTTCTAGGGACGTCGTTGTTTGTACTGGGATTTGGTGTTGGTCCTTTGGTATGTTCTTTACCATCTTTAGACTTCTCTGTCTTCAATATTAAACGGTTGGTTTGAGATGATATAACTAACACGAATTAGATATGGGGACCTGGATCCGAACTCTTTGGCAGAAAAGTTCCCCTCTTCTTCGGCTACGCTTGTTTCGCCATTTTCCAAATCCCCGTCGCTGTAGCTCAAAATCTCCAAACAATCATGGTTTGTCGATTCTTCGGCGGAGTCTTTGCTTCCGCCCCATTAGCGATTATCGGAGGAGCGTTGGCGGACTTCTTCGGCCCGGTCGATCGAGGTGTCGCGGTTTGCGTCTTCGCAGCGGCAACTTTTATCGGTCCAATTGCGGGACCAATTGGAGGTAACTTCATCACACAGTCGTATTTGGGTTGGAGATGGACGGCTTGGATCACGATGATCCTTGCTGCGGGTTTCGGAATGCTAGGTCTGATCTTCGTGCCTGAGTCTTCTCATCCAAAGATTCTCCAACAGCGGGCCGCGAGACTGAGATTCGAAACAAAGAACTGGGCAATTCATAGCAAAGCTGATGAAGTAAGTAATCTTTTCTCTTATTTTCACCCTTTTCACTGAACCTCTTCCCTCTTCCCCTAAAATTCTACTACACTCTGAAACCGATCAAATTACTAACCTCAATTCCAGATCAAACTTACCCCCCATACAATCTTACAAACCTATCTCCTCCGCCCCTTCATCATGCTCTTCCAAGAACCGATCCTTCTCCTCATCACCCTCTACATGGCTCTCATCTACGGCATCCTTTACCTCTTCTTCGAAGCCTACCCCATCTCCTTCCAACAATCGCGCGGCTGGGCCCCCGGGCTCAGCGCCCTCCCCTTCATCGGCATCCTCATCGGGGTCCTCCTCGGCGCCGGAACCATTTCCTGGGTCACCAAGACGCGCTTCGCGCGCAAGCTCGAAAAACACGGCAAAGTGATCCCCGAAGAACGTCTCCCCCCCATGATTCTCGGTTCCTTCATCCTCCCCATCGGCCTCTTCTGGTTTGCCTGGACCTCCAACCCCAACATCACCTGGGTTCCCCAGGTCATCTCGGGTATCTTCATCGGTTGGGGTATCTTGATGATTTTCTTGCAGGGCTTAAACTACATCATCGATGTCTACATGTGGCATGCCAATTCGGCGATTGCCGCGAATACTTTCCTGCGAAGTTTTGCCGGCGGTGGGTTCCCGCTCTTTGCGCAGTATATGTTTAATGGATTGGGAGTTGCGTGGGCAACGAGTGTGTTGGGTTTTGCATGCGTGGTGATGATGCCTGCGCCTGTGCTATTTTTTATCTACGGAGCGAGAGTGAGAAAGATGAGCAAATTTAGTCCAAGTGCTTAAGGGGCTTTAGGACGAGTTTGTGTAAGGAGGAACATTAAAACGATGCGGTTGCGCACACTTACGAAAATGTAAGCTAGGAACGACGTGCATGGAACGTTGTATTGACGGAAATAAAAAGGAGGAGACGACATGATTTATTCGCCATGATCATACATGCATATATGTATGTATTCACGGTCTTGAGATGAGATCATGTCTTTGCATCCGTATACGATGCACTACGTATGAGTACGGATGATACCAGTATGATATTTTTGAAGCATTTGCATAGCGAGGAGTTATTGACGGAATTGGAGGCAATATACATATACATAATACTGTATATTTCCATATGGATAGATAGATAGATAGATGACTACTATATATAAATAGATAGAGATAATTAACTAAACAAGAGTAAAAGTTTACTTGACATATACCAAAAGCGTTCCAATTTCCCTCCTGCTCGTTTGATGTGGATACACTCAAGTAATCTGAGAACTACCTTCTAATCCTCGCACGATGGTTATTTGTTTCCAGTGTAGCTTTTCATAAGGAATACATATAAAACCTTCCTCTACGACTCGCAGGAGCTTACAAGGTTTCATGTCAGTTACCACTTGAAAAAACATACATACGCCATTTACATCATCCCAATCCACTCCACTTCCTTTCCATCCCATCGCAATTTGTCTGACTAATCAGACGCGGACACCCTCTACCCCATCATGCACACATCATGTCGCTGAGACGCAGCATTACTTCATTAGTTTATCTCCATTTTCACTCCTGTCAATCGCGCAATCCGCTTCATCCAATCTCAGCTCCCTAGGAATATTAAATTTCAATTTTGCCTAATCAGTCTAACTACTCCCAACTGCCCCCTATCATTCATTCCTCACTCTGCATTTTAACCCTGCAATCCTACCAACTCCGATCTTAATCCTATTTCAACCACCATCCTCACTTCATCAACTCCCCAATGATATCCCCTCTACTACCAACCACCGTACCTCTCCTCAATCTCGGATCGTAACCCTCTCTGTCCCTATCTCTATCTCCATCCCTCGCGCTATCTCTTGTCTCTCCTCTACTTCTCGCCCCTCTACTCCTAGCACCCCCATTTCTCTCTCCTTGTTCCTCCACTTCAGCATTTCCTGCTTCCGGTACTCCCAAATCAATTTCTGTTAACCCGCTCAATTCATCCTGTGGGATCGGCATACTCCTCTGCGTTGTCGTAACATCCTTCTCTTGCATCACCCTCTCTCTCAAATCCCCACCTCGACTTTCTCTCCCACTATTCCCCATAACCTTTCCCATTCGATCATCTCTAAAATCCATTCTCTCGTCACCATATCCCGCCAACCCTCCAACCGGTACCAAATTACGAGTCGTGATCTTCTCCTCATAGCTATACTCTCTAACATCATCCCCACCATCTCTGCTCCCACTCAAGCTCCTCCTCACTGTCTCAACGACATGTTTTCTCTTCTCCTTCAACTTCTTTTCTACCTGAACTAACGTATTCAAATTCGCATGTCTGGCCTCCAAACTCTTTTCATCCACCAATCGATTTTTATTTCGGATCTCGGTCCACCTCGTCATACTACCCATTTCCAATACGCTCATTCTGCGCATGATGTGTGTTGGGTTCCCAATAATAATGGGTCTCCATTCTTCATCCGCACCATTTCCCGTGTTCCCTTGAATGTATTGTTCCCTCTTCATTGCCTGATACCGTTCCATCTCCCCAGTCTTCGATTCCGGGATAATTTGTACATCTTGAAACCGTGCGAGAACACAGATGAGAAGAATGGAAAGAATCAGTAAAACACCACACATGACGCCCGTAGCGGCCTGTTGACCCAGATGTCTTTGTGCAACTCCCCCAATACCACTTGCCATTGCTGCGATACAAAATCCCATTCCTTGCGTAATCCCAAAGGCAGCACACACACGTGGAAAACAAGAGTAATTGGTTACTTTTCCGGATTTACTCCCGCTTCTTGGGCGTCCCGTCATACCAGGCTGAAGATCCGAAGTATCAAAAGTTTCCATGATGATACCATTACATTCAGCGACTGCAAGGTTCGAAAGAAACCCAATTGCAGCAGCCCAAATGATAGGCAACATAAATGGAACGGGTGGTCCAGTAGATGAAAGTGTATAAGCTAGGCTCATGAATGGAAGAAGTATAACAAAAATTGTGCGTCGAACGAAATGAGATGATAATGAGACTTTCTTTTTCTTCAAGGTATCATCGTCACTTTCCATCCCCTCTTTACGTTCTCGACTGAAGATTCCTGCTTTTTGGAATGGAACAGAGAGGAGTGCACCGAGCGGAATTGATGCCACGCTTGCCCCAACATATGGAGATTTGAATTTGTAGTATTTCGAAGTCAGTGAACCGAGAAGCTAGCCCTTGTTAGCAAAAGTCTTTTTTTTTTGAGATTTTCACCATAGCTTACAATCATAATCAAAATAATCTGACCATAGATCCACGCTTGGTAGAATGCTAGAACCAAAAATCCCGGCTGGCGCATCATACTCTTCGACAACAACACACCATGATGAAATTCCTCGCCCCACCACTTGGGTCCGGTATGAACTCTATGCATTTTGACCTCACCCTTTGCTAATCTCCTAGAAACCTGATCGTCTTTCCTTACTTCGGCAACGGATCGTCTAAAAGCAGAACGTCGAACTTCGGGAGCAACAACATTCAAAACCAAGACTAGAGCAAGAATAGCAATGCTGATGTAAAAGCCCCAAGCAGGCGTCAAGAAGTTGATAATGACTGCACCGAGCAAGAATCCAACTCCAATAGACCCAACATAACACCAGGTCCATATTCCCAACCACAGACCCATTCCCCCGCCATGACGTCTGACGTCACCTTCATCAACGAATTCTTGATGAGGATTAGCACTTTGAAGTGACGCGCCAAAGAGATCCATCAAAGTGGACAGAAAGTTCATGTTAGCAAACCCAAGTGCAAATCCCATGAAGGACCGAGACAGAAGTAAGCCAATTCTCCAACCGGCCAGTTGTGGATTTCGAGTTGCACCAACAGCCAGAGCTTGAGGAAAAAGTAGCGGCATAGCAAGTGACATTGAACCAAGAATATATGGCTTTCTGCCGTGCAAGAGTGGAAGCGGCCAAAAGAAAGTTGTCGGGATAGCAAGACCTATGAAAAAGAAGACGTTTCCAAGAACCGTAAAATGGTGCAGGTCCACAATCGAATATTGGATCGAAGGGACCTCACCAGCATAAATCCCGATTACAAGACCGATGAGGAATGTACTGAGACACGTTATAACAGCCGTGAATCTCTTGCGGGAAGGAGACCAATCTCTGGCAATAGGTCTGCGCTTATGGGTTCTTGCTAGACTGAATCCTTTATGCTCTTTCAGACTGACATGCCTTTTACCTTGGAGATTGAAAAAATGATGGCTCATGTTCATGTTTATATTTGCTGACCGATTTGAGCCATCTCGGTTCATGGCCGGGCGCTGATCTCGTAGCTCCACTACTTTGTCTCTATCTTCTTCACCCCCAGCCCCTGCTCCCGCTTCTCCACCCTCGCCATTTTGTGCAACCTGCCGGTATTGTGTCTGAGCTCGACTTCTCAGTCGACTCCGTGGCTGACTTTGAGCTAATCCACCTCTTCCTTCGACATGCTGCATAATGTATTCATGATGGAATCCGGTCTGAAAATCAACCGTTTCAGAGGGGTGTGAGCCATCAAGACTATTCGAGACCGAAGATTTATCACGCACTGTTGTGACTGGCAGTTTTGCGAGTGTCGTTTTGTTCTCTTCATAGAGTTGCTTTCCAGGACGCACCTCTTCGCCACTCTGAGAACGCAAAAGACTGGGAGATTGGTAGATTGTAGGATGCTCAGATATGTCTTGCCAGCCAAAGCCGCCCGATGTGGTTGTTCTTGATGGTTTCTGCTTTTATTAGTATACTTTGGATAGACAACTTGGATAAAGCATTCTGTAGTATAAAGTGATAGATGCCATTGACATACCTCAAGATTGCCATGAACTGGATTGGAATTGACCCTATTGGACTCGGATGATGGCGAAACTCCTGCAGTGCTTTGTCTTGGTATAATGTGGGGCTGTGTTAGTATTCTCTGTTTCTTTGCATCTATTGGGATATCCAAAGCTTGTAAAGCTCTAGAGCTATCCCAAGTTGTACTTCGCTCGCGTTTTCTAAAAGCTTGGTCGGGTATATCAAGGCTAGGATCGATTATCTTCAGGTATTCTTGCCTTTCCACCGGCGCCTCGATGATAACATCCGTGGTAGGTGCCTGGTCTATTATTTCATAATCGGTAAGCTCATCATCGTCGGTATTGCCTTCAGTGCTTGTTCCAGAATAACTGCGAGCACTTTCGTGAGCACTTGGCAAACTTTCAACGCTTGACATTACTTCTGCTCTAGGTCTTCTACGAACTCTCTGGGAGACAGAAGTTTTTCCACTATCCATGAATTGGCGACCACCTTTCAAGATTGCAGCTGCGTTATTAAGAATATTTGGGACACTGTTGTCGTCATTCCTCTCTGCAGCTTGTTTCGCAATCGACAGTGCTTCGTTGAGAAGTTTTTCAAGGTCGTTGATAGTCCTTGTAAAAGTTGCTGCAACGGCTGCCCCCTTGTCTTTCGGATCAGCAAAAGTAATCTTCGGCTTCGTCTCGAGAGGGCTTGGTGTAGCGCCAAGAAAAAGTTCCTCTACAGGCTCTGTTGGTGCCGTGAATGACCTTTGGCGACCACTAGACCCGCTTAGAGCTTCAGCACGTCGAGACCGGGGTGGTAAGGTGGTCAGTCTAGGTGCGTATGCATCGTTACTGCTCAGTAGCTCTTTGAGCCAATGAACGGTATTCTTGCTATTCGTTGTCCTATCATCCGAAGTAGTGTTGGTGGTAGAATCTGCAACTGACATCAAGGCTCCCTTTGAGCCACGTTGTCTTGAAGCATCTTTTTGCGAAGATGTGGGGGATACATTCGCGGTCCCATTCTTGGATGCCTGAGCACGATTCTTTGAAGAATCCCGTGGAGGGATAGCATCATAAATAGTGGTGGTGGCTTTTGATGATTCATGTCTCCTGTTTCCGCTGGTTGAGCCAAGAGGTATTTCTTCCATTTCGCCGGCATTTGCTGCTAGGCCTTGAGATTTGGTTACTTCTTCCTTGGTTGGAGAGAAATCGATTCTTGATATCTGAGCCGACTTGTCATCAAAGCAGGATTCGGGGGCTGACTCGAGAGCCGATTCCGGTGCCTGGGTCCATAAAGAATCTCGTCGAAGGTATTCATCGGCAGTTTTGGCCGCTTCAGCTAGGGAATCAGCAACAAGCATTCTGTAGGCATCAGATGCCTCGGCCTTTTCAATCCCAGGTAGTACGACAATGTCTTGTATAGCATTACGAACAGCTACCTTGACTGCATCTTGAACGGCGTCTCTGACTGCAGGGACAAAGCCCCAGTAGGAAGCATTTAAGGGATCGATAGACGGAAAGGCTTCTTCAGAGGCATCTCTTCGCTGTATTTCTTCAACGGACTTCTGATCTGTAATGACTTTCTTACGAGCTTCATTGCGTTCAGGAATGCTGGGTTTGTTACTGGAAGTATCTCCAAGGTTTTCTGCTGGCTCTGGTTTCTTGGGAACGGTTACAACAGCAGTCAATAATGGGGCTGATGGGCTTGACTTGTCAATATAGCCTAGCTTGATGCATGAAGGCGATATCTCTTCTATAACAAATTTGTTATGCGATGACATCTCAGAGGGGCTCGCAAGGCCGTCTTTCTCATTTTTACGGTTCATTGAAGAGAGACTAGCTGCCGCAGCAAGATCTGCTAGTATTGGCTCTAGCGGTATTTTTGTGCCCAAGCTCGGCGTAGCGATCTGCTGTGGCGAGGTAACCTTTTCTGTCGCGCTATTGGGTGCTAATGCTACAGGCGTCAAGACTGGTGAGACTGGCAGCCCAGTGTCTACTGGCGTACTTGTGGCTAGAGATGTTTTGAGCAAAGAGTGGCGTACAGAGGTTCTAGATGCTCCAGAAAGTAATGAAGGTGTTTTTGTTTTAGCTCGAATAGATTCAACGGAGGGAGACCGACGTAGTTTTGGAGGCACAGCTTGTCGCGTCTCATCCTTAGATACAGAAATAGTAGCCTTAGCTTTAGGCCCTGGCAAGCTGAAGTTGGTGACGACCGCTGAAGAAAGCGATCGGGAAATTAGTTCATCAACAGCCATCTCACTGGTCAAAACATGGGGAAATGTGTCAACCGAACTAACACTGCTTCCTCTGGTTGGAGGTGGAGATCCTTCAGTATCTCTTGGATTCGTTATGGTTGCTGTTCTGAAGGAAGACTCTGATTTCATATTATCTTGGACACGAGATTCGCGTAATTTGGGTTTGTAGCCCAAGCATTGCCCTAGAGCTTCATGAGCTTTGATATCGTTGAGCGCAAAGTCAAGGTTAGCAATTTCATCTTCGGCCAGCCTTATGTCGATATTGAGCTGATCTCCTGGAGGCATAATATTGGGTAGTGGATGATAAAGGTAGTGTTCTTGGCAATTTGGAGGACATGTTGGGGAACAGACGATCTCTGGTTGGCCCTTCACTTCTTCTGGAGGAGACTGAGGAAGCGTGGAGAATCTGGATAACTTTGCATCGGCTACTGCAAGTTCCGGACATTCTGCATCGGTTGGCTGCTCACAACGAGGACAAGTCGAATTGACATCCTGGTCAGATGTATCTTCGGTAGGAACCTTGTGGTATATATTCTTCAACGGTGGCATGCAGGATCCAACTGCGACTTTGTTACCACTGGGGTAATCAGGCTCTTTGATATCTCGTACTACCAATCTAGGAAGTGTGAAATACTTTTTCTTGGGCGTAGATGTTGACTTGAGCAGCTTTGAGTCAGTGGAAGGATCAATGTCACTAGCACCACCGTCTATTCGAAGATCGTTTGCAGAGCTCGAGCCTCTTAATCTAGCTGTGCGTTTCGGAGACACACTAGGGTTGGAGTTTTGTCGAGATATTTGAAGAGGTGGGACGTCGATATCCATGCTACCGTCAGAGCCCCGAAAGTTACAGGCATGTGGCTCTACGCCCAAGTATCCAGAATCAGAGTGTACACCTCTTGCAGGCTTTTGGGGGCTGATATAGTCGTCGAGGCTTCCAAAAGCTCTGTTTTCGTGGCGCGGGGGGTTACGCTCGTCAGATGGATGAGGGGTTCGAGGAGGGCGGCTAGTATTACGAGATAAAACAAGAGCACGAATGCGAGAGAGAATATCTTCCTCAACACGACAATTCGTAGGGTACTCAAAACTAGTACTCTGTGCAGAAGATGCTCTTCTACGGCCAATGACAGGTACTTCAGCCGGCCCAACGGACGGGGAGTCCATCGGTCGTTGAAAGTGTGATATTTTAAAGGTACATGAGGTAATGAATATTATAGGATGTTTGTGATAAAATGAATGTAATCAAATGAGTGTAATGACTTAATTCTGTTGTGAATCAATGAGTATGAAGCTGTGTAAGTTGGATTGCAGGTCAATCAGAGATAAAATATAACAGGAAAGAGCAATTGGGGGATTGCCATAAAAGAGGATTCCGCGAGCATCCATAAACTAATCGCAACTTGTACCTTCCATTTGAGTACCTATGGCAATACTTTCTACTCACCCCTCATTAGCACTTGTGGCATTGAACTGGGAGCACTTTGAATTTCAATGTGCAATTGCTTTCATGTGAAATCCTATCTCAACTCGCTAGCTTATGATATTTGTGATTTGTGATTTTCAAGCCCTTCTAAGATCGTTGCATGTGATGAACGTAGCCAACAGTCATTTATGCTTATTTCTTGCAATGAACTATAAGCTATTATTGTGGTTGGAAGGCCCGGTAGGCTCAGGCGCTGTATCCCGTGAACATGTTATATCGATATTTGTGGCCTATTACTCTTCATCTCCATTCTTGAAGTCTTCGCTGACATCTTTATATATATCAAACCTTCTCTGTGTCTGTATCGGGATTCCCTTTCTGGTCTCTTCAATTCTTTCTCCATTCAATTCAGCATAAACGATCTCCTCTTTCTCAGCGGCTTCAACAAGCACCTGTGCCATTGGATCAACAACCAAGCTGTGTCCCCAAGCATGGTAACTGGCAGTTTCATCTCTCGCAGGGCTGCACAAAGCCACGTATATCTGATTGTCCATAGCTCTTGCCTGCCCTTGCAATCTCCAATGTAGAGGACCTGTTGTAGTATTGAACGCGCCAGGGTATATCAAGGCAAAACACCCCTTTCGCGCAGCAATCATAGCTAACTCTGGGAATCGAACATCATAGCAAATGGCCACTGCTATCTTACCGTATTCTGGCAGATCAATCATAGTAATATGATTACCTGGAGAAAGAACCTCCGATTCTCTGAATGTGATCTTCCCGGGAATATCGATATCAAAGAGATGAACCTTTCGATGGGTAGCCAACAATTCACCAGATGGGGAGAATGTTAACGAGGTATTGTAATGGTTTTTGGTGGTGGGAGAGTATTCTGGGATACTACCGCCTACGAGATACGTTTTTGTCTCCGCGGCCATCGCACTGAGGGCGTGGAATGAGGGCGATTGTTCAGAAGTGGGGGGAGAAGGTAGGAGAGTATCCGCATATTTGGGGAAATATTGAGTACCGTAGGGAGAGTTAAAACACTCAGGGAGTACAATGATTTTCGCACCGGCTGATGCAGCTTCAAGAACCTTTTCGCGGGCATGTGCAAGATTCTGAGATTTGTCAGAGCCTGTTGTGAGTTGATTAGTCTCCCATGGTATATCACAATGAAGTTCGTTAACGACTAGGCATGGAATACGAACCACTAGCCAGTTGTATCAAGGCGATTTTAACTGGTTTCTTAAGTAATTGAGACATGCTGCGTGTAGCTTGCCTTGAAAAGGAAATTGTTTGTATTGAGGTGAGCTTGGGTAGATGTCTTAGAGCAGTTCTAACAGTTCTGATCATGATACCGTGATATGTATTTCGTATTGATTCCCCGCCGAATTCAAGATTTCATTGGAGCTCGAAGTGGGATAGCAAATGTCGGCTATAGAGTTTCCGTATGGGACGTGCACTTAGCAACATCGAGCTATCTACCTAGTAGTGGCTACCATTTCCAGCCCTGCCCGTTCCCTTAATTCAGGGGAACACACGTGGAAACAAGGTATTCGTAATTTACAGATGAAGATCAGTCGGATATTACAATTCATGATATATTTCTCTTCGTCATTGGCCACTGGTTACATAAAGTCAAATAACGCGGTTCTCATATGGTCATGCTACCTCAATCAAGGGAGGAAATATGATCATGCTTGTGTTGTCATTTATTCATTTTGGGTATGATATTTCCTAGCTAGAGGTATGAGATCCGCAGATCACTAGCTAGCTCCGAGCAAACTATATCCACGCATATTTGTGATGTATGCCTAAAGTTCTGTCTCCTCGACGCGAAGAGAGTCAAGCCGGATCAACACCTTACTTCAAGGCAGCACGGGCGAAAGTTGGCAAAACAAAGCTGGCCTCGTGGATAGCAGCGTTGTAGTAACGGCACAACTTCTCTTCCTCTTCTGGGGACCATTTGCGGAGTGGCTTGCTGAGATCGCGGTTGGCGTCCTTGCAGCAGACCATGAATCCAATTTGGCCAGATGGGTAGGTAGGAATGGTGGTATAAGCGTATTCGACGTTAGGGAAAACTTCCTTGCAGTCCTTCTTGAGCTTGGTAATCAATGGGAGGTGGAGCCATTGGTTCTCGGCTATAGAGAGGATACATTAGCGTTCAAGGCCTTTGAAAGAAATTGAAATGGGGGGCTTGAAATATAGAAGGAAAAGTAAAAAGCGTATGTCATTTGCCCATCGCTACTACACACAGCACTAGAAGTGTAAGCACAGAGAAAGGAAACATACAACCTTGTGTGGTAATAACGCCACCCTCCTTAAGAGCACCGAATAGCAACTCAAAGTATGGCTTTTGGAACAAGCTTTCAGCAGGTCCCTCTGGGTCAGAAGAATCGGTGATGATAACATCAAATTCGTTCTTGTAATCATCCAAAAACTTGAATCCATCACCGATGTGAGTCTTGACCTTAGGATGTTGATAGCTGATAGCCATTCCAGGGAGATATTTCTTGGAAAGACGGATGACAGCCTATTTTTACAATGTCAACAAGAAAAAGAGCCACAACTTTCGGTTTCAGCAACTCACCTCATCGATGTCGCAGAGAATGGCTTCCTCCACACAGTCGTGCTTGACAACCTCACGCAAGACTCCTCCATCTCCTCCACCAATAACCAAGACCTTCTTTGGGTTTGGGTGAGAGTTCATAGCCAAGTGGGTGATCATCTCCTGGTATGAGAACTCATCGCGCTCAGTGCACTGGATGACGTTGTCGAGGACCAAGACGGTGCCATAATCGGTAGATTCGAAGATTAAGACATCTTGATATTTGCTCTTCTCGTGGTGAAGGACGTTCTTGACCTTGAGAGTCATTGCCTGTCCGGGCCACATCTCGGAGATTTCGCGGAACCAGCCATCTGCGATTGTCTTATTAGCTTCGGATACGTTCTTGCATGTTGCCGAATGTAGCACGTCTTTCGCAGATGTTGTATTTGGAGCGACATCAAATGCAAGCCAAAGAAGCGAAGCATTAGTCAGACAGTGCCCATTTGAATGTTGGGTAATATGGCATGCCTTCCCTCAGGGATGTGTCTCACTTGAGATAATAATGCGACCATGTCCTTCACTGAACGCAATGATACAAGGGCAAAACAGAAGGGTAGAATGAAAGTTACTCAGACATACCCTTGATAGTGGGGTGGGTGATTTCTGACATCTTTGCTATGAGTTTGGAAGATAATCGATTTGACGTTAGAGGAAGGATGTATCGCGGAGGAGAAGTGAGGGGCTTCAAAAAACGAGTACGAAATATATTGAGGAGAAAAAGATGAGATCTTTGCTTGATGGAGACTTGGAGTAAATGAACGGGTCTCGGTTATCTTCGTGGAGTCCGTACAAATAGTTTATTTTAACAAGTGAATGAAAAAGAAGTGGCAATGGTAGAAATTTGCAAGAAGCAACAAATAATGGGCCGCTCGCTGTCAAACATACCTAGCTAGATAACCTTATTGACTTGAAGAGTTTTTTTCCTCCTTGTCGATATGACCGCGGCCGCTCCCAAATATTTTTACCCCACCATGCACCTCAATCGATAAGAGATCCACAAGCGTAATATGGTTGGTCTATATCTCGTGGTTTTCCCAAAGAAGTTAGACCGTTTTTAGCTGATTTCATTGGCTCGAATTGGACTGAGGTTAGATCCACTTCACTCAATATGCACTCGCTTGAGATGATCAAATAATCAAATCACGAGCTAATATATATAATATCATCTACACACCGCAAATCAAGGGCTTATTCGGATGCCTTTTATTATTATTTATAGATTTAATCTCTAATCTAAAACATTAGATCTAATATATATCAAATGGCAGTTCTGTCGCCCGCTACTTTTGGGAGCCGATACACTTCTTGGGCAAAGACTAGCTTGGACGCGGTTTCACGCTCTGTGAAGAGCGGTATCATTTCTCCTGCAGTGGACCCCTACACTTACAGAAGCAACACACTTTATACTATTGGCAGTCCAGAGGGAAAAGCATGGGCATTGATGTTACATGCAACTCACTGAGTTTGCAAATGTTGAATGGATTCACTGTAATCTTTGAGTTTAAAAACAAGGACACAATGCTACAAAAGCAAGCGAAGCATGGACACCTTTTGTCAATTTTGTTTGAAAGAATGCCTTTGTACATAGCTAGGTACATGAAGTATCCATGAGCTGGTAGCGTCTCTTGTACGACAGTTATCGATACAGCAGATTTCTCTACTTCGTTTGGCCGCAGAGTTTCTGGGTATTGGTTCGAGGAAAAGGGAAACTAAAGTGGTTCTCAACCATTTGAAATTTGAAGCTCTCTTGCATCTGTACAAAAGATGCGAGAAACACCATGAGAAACCACAATCAAGCAGACATTTTGACCTGTCAGCCTAAGCGAAGTATTTGTCCAGGAGATGCAAGGTGTCTTCGCTCGGCTGAATATAGGACTGCTCCTCGTCCAATTTGCCATCCACAATCAACTCTCTGATAGTAGTCTTCGGATACCCCGCCACATCCCAAATATCAGACCCCACATCATGTGTGCCTTCACCCATTTTCTTCCGAACTAGGGCCGCCAAATTACCTTCCAAGGCCTGCAATCTCATGTTCTCAATGCTTTCCTCCGCAGTCTGGGGAGGTCGTCCAGCACGCTCCTCCATCGCTGCAGCTATCTCCGCACCTGTAGGATGCAGCTCATTCAACCCTATTGTACGGCCACTCAAGCTGGTAGGCGAGTTATAGACGAAAATAGAGGCGTAACCGGCAGCGACGTACTTTCGAGAACTATTCGGTGTCAGGGTGCTTCATATAGAGTTGAATACCTAGATGTTTATAGACATAGCTAACATACCAGAGGTAGACGGGCTGCGTCTTACTATTCCCGGTGAAAACAATTCGATTTTGAGGGACGTCAATGCCTATATAACTAAAATTGTACTTAGAATAAATTTTCATCAACATCACGCCATGGACTTACGGCGATTGTAATGCGAAGGCCGTGAAGTTTCCAATTACAACAGTAACGGTAGGTATGCCGGCGTCATGAAGTGCGTGCTTTAGTTCCTTTTTTTCTCTCGGGACAGCAACAGTTGCACTCTCCTCTGCTGTGTATGGCAGAGCAAGATCTGACGGCGCGAATAGTTTCACAGCCGCAGCTTTCATGGGCTGTATCAGCTTCTGTTGCATATGAAGCCCATCATGGCCGATAAGAGAACTAATCAGATGTTAGTCTGAAGTGACGCTGTTACTGTTTGAGAAACGTACATAAGAATGTCAACACCCCTCAAAGCTGTTTCAAGACTCGATTCTTGGTCCCAAGAATATTCTGCTAACTCGACATTCTTTGGCATATTTCCGACGGGTGAGCCGGCTCGATACAGGATACGGATAGGCTGCACTGATGCAGTTGCCAAAGCTTCGACGATGGGCCCGGCCGCCCAACCTCGGTGGCCTATGATTGCGGTTTTATTTGCTTGTGCGGCCATTGCGATAAGGGGCAAGATAGGGTGAGGTGCTTATTACAGTTCTTGTGAATGTGCAGAACTTTCTTTTGAGGTATGCATATCGATTCTTTATAAGGTCTCTGTTATGCGGAGACTGTTCCGCTTCAATAGGCTTCTACGTGCTTGCTTACCTGAACAGCATGGAGGGGAGCCGGGAAAATGATGCCTAGCTCCCGAGTGGGCGACAGCCATCACGTGCTTCCGACGGAGTCGCCACCGCCAACACTGCGTACGGTCCCTTTTTGGGGGTTCAATTTTATTCATAAGGTGTTCGATGTTCTGAATTTCCCTATATACCGGGGCTGATAATTTATGGCGGGTTTCGATTGGCAGAATTGATAATGCAGGAGTGATATTCCAGATCCGGTTGATAGGTACTTGGCATCTAATGAATCTGCCGAGATGGGAGGAGACCTAGCCACCAAAGATAGCGGCAAGGCTATAGCCCCCAAGCCGAACGGTAATCCAGATGTGAGCTTCTCACAATTCAAGCCCTCGTTGAAAGAAGACTTGGGAGTCATATGGAATTCGGTATCAGACACTACCCAGCAAAACGAAAAAGAACGACTACAAAACCTTGTTACGGAACCGCCCTCTCTTGAGGGATTGAGGTCCGAAGCTGGAAAGTTTGAGGAAGTTTTGCAGCTATGCAAGCCGTGGATAACTTGTAGTCTAGCATATCTAGCACTCACAGTTGCCGCCGGTATGATGTTATCGTTTGGGTGCCGTCATGGCTAGGTGCGTCTTCGGTGATGGTCTCGATGCGGAGTTTACGAGGGACCGGCATACCCGCTGATTTGTTTGACATGGCGGGGAATAGTCGTAAATACCAGAGTCCACGACTCGAAAAAGAGTAGAAAGATCAAAGTATCATGGTATAACGGCAATGTCAGTCAGGTTATAAAACCTATCAGCAAACAGGGGTAAGCAGGAGACCGGACAAAGATGCTAGATAAATAGTGAACCGTCATGTACACGAGGTTAGAAATATTCCAAAATAGAATCATTGTTTAACTCAAGCAGATAATTTAAATTCAAATCATCAAGATTACTATCCCAATGACTACATACACATTCCTGAATGTTCTGCTACCGACCATAAGCCGACTCTCCAAACCCATTGGAGTCCCATTCCAGAACGCAACAAAGTCGTCACGAAGGAGGATTGGACACATCAATCAAATAATTACAACAATTCTTTCCAGAACAATCAATATGTATATGTAATAGCTATCAAACTTTTGGGTTTGTTTTACTAATTCAAACCCCAACAGATCCACGAAGACCTCAATCTCAACCGGCAAGCTCGACAATTAAGTCCAAATCTTCGAGCTTCCGATATCTTGATTTCCAATCACCATTGTGCAAGAAAAGACATCGAAGCAAAAGCTTTGAGGTCAATGAGGATTACACAAAAAAACTGATTTTTACACATGCAAAATCTGCGGGAAAAACTACTCCTCCCGTACTAACCTCCGCCGACATGAACGTACGCACAACCCGAAAGCTATTTCCAGGCGCAAGCTTCCAGAATGCGGTAACATTTACATCTACAGGTATTCTTTCCGGGCTCATGAGAACCACCATAAAACCCATCCTTATCAGGAACTTTATCGATGCGAAGACGGCCCTGGAGTTTACTCGCATTATATTACTCTTTCACAGCATAGAGGCCTTGCTCTTAATGAACGACATACTTGTCGTGTACCTGGATGCAAATAATGGTTCAGATACGTTCAAAATTTAAAGGAACATAAATCTCATCATATGTAGATGTGATATAGGAGGTCATCGGTTCTATATCTATCGTTGATACAAAATATTTTCATCATGTATATCGTATTTGAGAGAACGCTGTGGATCAGACTTCCGAGTGTCAAGCTGGAGTGAAGAGAAAATGAAGTTTTGGAACCTTACTGTAAAATACTAATTCTTTCCAAATCACGATTTGGAAAGCACCGATTCCTAATTATCACCCCTCTTCAACATTGGCATGTGCATCGTTGATTTGAGGATAGAATGATAAGTATCAGTCCATGGTTTTTTACTCAAAGAAAGAGTAGATGCAAGGCTACCATATAAAGCACAAGGAGGGCTTTCAAGAAGAAGATCAATTGCTCTCACTATACTATACATTGCTAAAAGGAATGAGGATAAGTGACTGAATGATAAAAGGTTGAGAAGGGAAAGTCGTTGAATTAAAGTGAAGATTGATTATTAAAGTAAATATATTCCCTAGACTACTAACTTAGAACTCCTTTGTAGTCTGTATATTAGCAAGAATATAAATAATAAAGAAATCAATAAATACATTATATATAAGAATTTAATTAATATAAAATCTGATTTTATTTGAGATAAGAATATTATATTTAACGGTAATATCCTCATATACACGTACTATTTATTCTATGTATTAATATCTCAAATGTCAAAAGTGCTATTTGGGGTCTAGTCTATACTAGTTCAGGTCGTTTTATTTTTGAATTATTAATATCTTGGTCTCGATTTAAATATCAATATTCTAGTTTTCTAATATTTTATTGAATTCAATCTTACTCGTATATTCAGTAAACATTATACATGACTAATACATTAGGATTACTCGTAATGTTAAGAAAAAAAACGATTCAAATGAGCCCTAAAGAGTTCAGGAATCCTCCAAATTGAGTCTTTGATTCGGAAAATCTCACCAATGAAAGATGGGCTCATGGGATCTCGGGGGCCAAATTCAAGAGAAGAGAGAGACTTTGACAAGCGAGGCAAGTATGTACCTGGTAGTCACCTAGGTGTGTGATGATGACGACCATGTGGGCTCATCCTTGAATTTCTGAATGGCTAAATATCGTTAGTCGGATAAAAATACTCTGGAGAGAGACGAATCACACTGCCCAACCGGAAGATTGCCACGGGTATCCTTACTTATTTGTCGTCTAGACATCGAGGGATAAATGATAGTGGTTCGTTTCAGGAGTGAGAAGGGGGGGATGGGGGATCTTGGAAGACTATTGACGGTCCGTACCTAATGCATCATTTCTGCATGAACAAACTTTAACTTATCTCAGTACCGGACGGGAGAGAGTAGGCACACTGAGGCACGTACGTACATTGTGAGATTTCTAACTAACGTACCCAATAGCCAAGTTCAAATCTAGCTATTCTACTTCTGAAGACCTTAGCTCGTTGCCTCTTACTATGATTTCAGTATAAATTCTCCCTTCTTTCAACGTTACAGTTACACTTTGACAAGAGGGCTTTCAATGCTTATTATTCGTGTTGGTGACATATTGATAAATGGAGCATCCGTTATGCTATAGGCTGAACATATCCAATCCCTTTCGACCTCGTGCTATTGATAGCGATGCAGCACTAGCATTTTCTCACCATTCCGGCCATGCTTCTTTACTCCGTCTGTCAGGTCTTGCAGATAGACCTTGTATGACCCATCCTTGGCCTTGTGCTTAGTGCGGTAGTATCAATCGGACTGCGCCATTCAGCCATTCTCGCCATCCTGCTTACAACCCCTGAACGACCATCTCTTAATCCGCATATAGGTACATTTCGCGATTACATGTTCAAGTATCACACCTCCCACATGTACGCGTGAGGCGAGGGAAGACATTGCAAGAAACACCTTCCTTAAAGTACCTGAGAATTCTTCAGATGACGGTTACACCACATAAACCAACATCTCCATGGAGCATTTCAAATTAATGACTGGCCAATCTGTATAAAAACCTTGCAAAACACTGCCCAGTGCCCATCTACCTGTGTGAATGTAGACGAATCCTAGAAATATCGCATCGTTTAACGTTTGATGTTCATTCGTCCGTTCTCGCCGTCGTCCTTTGATCTTCCCATTTTCTATAACGGACCATTAACATCCATCACCCACACTGCACACTGTGTTTATTGGTTGCCGCAGCGAGGGGGTGGACCTTCTAGCGCCCCTTTCACCTCAACATGAACCAAACTTTCGAGATTTCGGGACTGCATTTGACAACCTTCTTAATCTACTACCGTACGTTTCCACGTTGCTTCCCTGTACATGCTTTACCTTCATGCATCTGTCGCAGATGGAATGACCATTTCCATGTGGTTATATTTTTGAGTTCGGATATCCTTGTTATCCTTGTGTGAAGATTTTGAGACATTCGTACTAAAACGGCCGACCGTCTGAGGTTACAATCGATAGCGATGGCAACAGTGACACTGTGTTGCTCATATCGTCAGCATCTGCCACACACATCCATATCACCCTCTTCTTAGTGGTTTGACGTAGAGGTAGGTATTACACATCTTTTGATAATAAGCCCTAGAGATACACGATGCAATGGGCATGATAGGAATGCTGGGATGCTGGTATATTGGTACATCGAAATATGTTTCGATGCACATGTACATGAATCGAAGGCCCACGGAGAGCTGGTCAAGCAGCATCGTTGCATTCAAAATTGATTGAACGATCATCAGTACCGAGGGTTAAAATAGAAATCAAACAATCGCGCGCGAATAAAGCAAAGTTGGTGACTGGATAATCATCCATATAGACGCTTGGGATCTCTCGCTCGTATTCATCTTCTTGCATACCTAGCTGGAGGCAGGTAGAAGTAAATATATCATCAGATTGAGCTTAGAAATACTCATCCAAGTACATACCTACATACCTACCTAGGTACGAAACGAAACTTATAACAATCTTCCTTTCTTTTTCTTCTTTTTCCTTTTCCCATTTCCCTTTCCCATTTCCCATTTCCCATTTCTTGCCGTACGCCTGCGTCAATGCAAGTAAGCCAATAATTTGCTGCTGTCTTTTCTTTTCCATGCTCAATTAATAAGAGTAAATAAGAGGCCGATAACCTTACACTTTTACCTGGGGAGTCATTTCATCAAATTCGGCTTCGAAATCGAGGATCATTCCTCTTCTCGCTTTCCATTATTGTTTCTACCCCTTCCATCTCCATTTCCAATCCTAAATCAACATCAGCATCAACATCGAACCCCCTTCTTCTCCCCCTTCCATTCATTCACCACCCATCTACCATCCGTCAACCAATCCATTTCATAAAAATCCTCTCAAATATATCGTCCAATCCAATTGAAACATAAAAAAGACCGTTTATTTGGGTCACATTATCTGATTCACTCAGTCGTTGATATTAATTCCTAGGTGGTGTTATCCAAAAATACCCACCCACACCATAATAACTTTCTTTTTTGTGGAGGAAAGGTATCAATTACACGATTCAATTCGACTCCATATTCATATTCAATTTCAAGTCCAATCGGATATCAAATTTCGACCTCATCACAAAATTCATCATCACAGCAGAAAAGCATCAATTCTACCTACCCAAGCTACCTACCTTGTTGCGCCGTAGAAGTCGTCGCAGTAATACATAGTCCTGGCCCTACGCACAAAAGTAAAAAAAACTTTAATACGATCGACAATCCAAAGTTTATCTCATTAAACTGGTCCCCAGTAGGTATTTCAAATCATCAACACTCTTAATTAGTCTTGCTACTCCTCTGCCGGTCTACCTTGCATTTTCTTCAGAAACACCTGCTTATGACTGGATGGACAGGTCCCGTAACCCGTTCAATCTTCAAATCGACTTAATCTCCCGAGCGAGTTCCAGCCCAGATCCATCACTTTGCTCGCATAACCTTGGAAGCTATCCGTCAAAGCCGCCCGTCCGTCTGGTCTTATCAACAGCGTCCTTCCCCGAAGAAAATTAAGATCCAACGAACCATTGCCATTACCGAATCTAACGCTCGTTCCTTTGAAGAAGAAGAAGAGGAAGAAGAAGAAGAAGAAGAAGAAGAAAATTCAACGCTCTTCAGCACTTGACGCTTGACATTTGACACTAGTTCTGCAGGATAACTAACCTGGACCTGTTAACGTACCTATTTAACTTACTTTTGCCTGGTACCAGCGGCGAATTAATTAACTCCGCAACGTTACCAATAGCTTGCCCAGCCCATCCCGATCCTATCTCATCCCATCCCATTCTACTGAAACTCAAATTCTCTTCTACCCTGATCTTCGAACCGCTCTTCAGTTACCAAAATTATCCCGACAGCAACTGAGAATCTTTTCTCTCTTTCTTGAACCTTACGTATTAATTTTGGCCCTTCATGATGTGTTTCGGCAGCAGGGAGGATGTCGAGGCCAAGAGGTCCAAAGAGATAGACGCTCTTATCCACAGAGATGAAAAGGTTATGCAGCGACAAGTTAAGTTGTTATTATTGGGTAAGTTGTCGCATCCTCCACAATTCGCCAGAACGACGATCGATCAATCATACTTTCTCGAGCTTCACAACCTCAAGATGAAGATAGCATTTACTAATTCTTATGTTCTGCAGGTGCTGGAGAATCTGGAAAGTCAACAATTCTCAAACAGATGAGACTTATTTATACCGATAAAGGTTTCTCAAAGACTGAAAAAGAAGAATGGCGCATTATCATCTTTCACAACATTTTGGATGGCTTGCGAATGACAGTGGAGGCAATGAATGATTTCAATACTCCCTTCGAACACGAAAGCACCAAAGTAAGTTAATCCTCGAATTCGCTTTCAATCTTGCGATCATTATCACAGGACATTGGCTAATTACTTCATTCGCAGCAATACCTTTCAATAATCACAGAAGAAAAGGATCTCAGACCATGCGAACCAATTCCTCTCGAATACCTCAGAGCATTCAAAGATATGTGGGCAGATGCAGGTATCCAGAAGACTGTTGAGAGAGGAAATGAGTTTGCTCTGCATGATAATTTGGGCTAGTAAGTCTCTCCTTCAGCTCTACGAAATATACACTTCTAACATGGTGGATCTTAGTTTCTTCGAAGATTTAGATCGTCTCTTCAGCAAGGAATTCGTTCCAACCGATCAAGATGTTCTTCGTGCCAGATTAAGAACTACTGGTATCACCGAAACACACTTCGATCTCGGCTCATTGCAATACAGAATGTTCGATGTTGGAGGACAAAGATCAGAACGAAAGAAATGGATCCATTGCTTCGAGAATGTCAATGCATTGCTATTCTTAGTTGCTATCAGTGGTTATGACCAGTGTCTAGCTGAAGACAAGGATGGAGTAAGTCTCCCTCGGCCGCAAATCATTATATACCAAATATTGACTAACACTTTGCCAGAACCAAATGCAAGAAGCTTTAATGCTTTGGGAGTCGATTGCTAACTCTCATTGGTTTAAACACTCCGCATTGATTCTCTTCTTGAACAAGATCGACTTGTTTAAAGCAAAGATTGGTCACAGCCCGATTACCAAGTTTGGGTTTTCCGATTTCCAAGGAGATACCACAAGCTCGCAACAAACCTCTAAATACTTCATGGACAAGTTTATTGCTCTGAACCGAACCCCTGGACGCGAAGTTTATGGCCATTTCACAAACGCCACCGATACCGATCTCCTCAAAGTCACGATGAGCTCCGTGCAAGATATGATCATACAGAAAAATCTTCAAAAGTTGATCCTTTGATAATTAACCTCTGTCTGTTCGGAGCCAAGCCTTCAAGATTTCCCATTCCAACAAAAGCATGACCCCTCTCTATCTGAGCAGCACAGAACCCCCGTTAATATAAATACGACCATTTGCTGCGGTGAATATTAGTACGCCTTAAAAATATCGCATCGCATCTGCTTCTGGTCTTTTATGAGTCGTCCTAGCGACGCCAGGCAAAAATTCCATCTTACACCGCATATGGAGCAAATTTCTCTTCACCAAAATACCCACACACTTTAACATGTCTTTTTCCTTTTTCTTTTCTTAATTATTTCATTTGAGGGCAGATGAAAGATCATTCGGCGGATTTTCGAATATAAGATGGCTTGTATAATACAATCAACGTATCGATCAATCGGAGATGCGGTCTGCATCTGTTTGCTGTTCATACACAACTCCTCGGTTGATTATCCAGCTGGCGGTGTCATGTTTATCCATGTATTTCTCTTCACTTGAGGATATACAATGCATACAACTCATAGCCTTGCTTTTATGCAATGTCAAATGACGGTGGTGGAGTTTCGCTTGCATGGAGGAGGAAGGACAAAACAAGGGAGTTTAATCTAATATTTACAAGGACGAGTATTGACTGATTGGAATGAGAGAATCGAATTTGGGGGAGGAATATATTTTCGAAATTTTCATGCAGTTAGTTGGTTGACCTCGCTTCTCTCAGGTGGATGTTGCTTTTATTTTAGATTTTATTGAGGGGAAGGGGAATACGGGGTAGGGGGAAAGGGAATGTCTGGAGTATGCATGCCACTGCACATGCAGGGAGATGTTATTGGACGGATGGCAGTGTGGGATTATTCGGCAGTCGAAGCGAATGTGGAAGACTGAGATGATACGAAGCAAGTGATTGATTGATAGAGAAATGAACTACATAACCATCCAAATCATATCCGATATATTACATGGTCCGTGATATGTCTCCCGATTTAAACTCGACATCAACTTTCCACCTCCCTCTTCTTACACATATGACGGCAGAGGGCATGCACGATGGAGTCAAGATCCCTTCTCGCTGTCTTGCTATCATTATGTGTATATTTGCAGTAGTCAATCTATTATATTTCATTTTTATTCTAATCTATTCTATCCCGTTGTAGGTAATGATCTTGAAGTAGATATTAATCATTAATAACTTCATGTTATATGTTACTATTTGGAGTTCGAGTTGGAGTTCGAGTTGGAGTTGGAGTTGGAGAGGTTGGTAGATAGTAGATAATATCTAGTAGCTAGTAATAGTAGGTTGTAGGTAATAGGTAATAGGTAATAGGGAAATATACATATCTATGTGTGTGTTTGTGTGTGTGTATTCGCAATCATACACATCTAGGTATCTAGGTAGGTAGGCAGGTACTATATAAAGAATGAAGTGTATTTTATATTTTAGGACTTTGAATTTGGATTTGAGTTTATTTTGAGTTGAGTTCTATCTACTTCTACATCTACATCTACTTTTACTTTTACTAAATTCTAACTGCCCGATTGCCCAATTTCTCAATTGCACAAGACAGTGACACTTTTTGTGTGTTTGTCTAGGTAGCGATAGATAGATACGGAGATGTGTATCCATCTGATCTAGCCATATATGCTGGTATGCTGGGTTCTACCAGTATGTCTTCTCTTTCATCTATCCATATCTTGTACAACACCTCTCTCATGTAAATCATTACGTGTATAGGTGAATTCCCTCCGGTTCCTCTAGTTAATTGGAGATGGTGTCTGTTCATCTCCCGCAAAAATCGATATGCAGTTCCTAACGCCATGTATGCATGCTTCTCGTCATCTCTCGCTATACAATATCTTACACTCTTTCCAGCAACTTTCCGATCTTCTAGAATTTTTGTCGTTGGAGTATATGCGCAGCTGCGTATGCACATACACATCAAGGCAGCGCCCTCATAATGCCCTCAAACGCCACTAGCGCAACCGCATTCGCGGGGAAAGCTCTCAAAAAACAGGGTAGGAAGCCTCTCCAATACCCTTTCCATCCACTCTCCCTATACACCTCCCTCGCCGCACTCTTCCAATTCGGAAATTTGCGCACCCCATCTCCCAATCCACCGGCTAGTGGATCTGTCATAATCCGTTGTTTAACCACATCACTCGGGTAACTCGTCATCCAGAAAACTTGTGCCGAGAGACCGCCAGCCCAGAAATTAATGGCGGGGGTACTCAATTGTGTTTTTTCTGACAACAGACGTGTGAAAACGTCGTAAGAACCCCACCAGAAGAAGAAAAAGGAACGGAAGAAAAGAGAAGCGGAGAGACCATGGTAGAGGCCTGGTATACCATGATACCGGTAAATTTTACGTGCGCAGTCGATGGGACCGCTATATAGACGTTCAGATTTCTTACTCGAGTATTGGATTTGTAGACGTGCTTTTAGATGTTCGACGGGGGCCGCAATGAAACTTACGGTTGCGCCTGCCATGACACCAGCGAGGGCGTGGCCTACAGTGGGCAGTTTGTGGATTTGAGAGGGCGTGAGGGAATCACCGGGACGCGCGAGACTAGATGGGGTGGCGGCCATGCGAGAGGGGGAGAAGAGGGTTTGATGGAGAAGTTTGCGGTAGAAGGTTAGGGAACCGAGCATAATACTATCCATGAACATCCAGCCTACTAAAGGGGGAGTGGCACCCTTGTAGAGACCGGTGAAGCCCTCGTTGCGAATGGTGAGGAGAAGACATTGAAGTGGCCCGTTGAATTGAGATGATGTGGAGGTTTGTAGACGGACTTTTATGGTATCGAATGGATGCCCAACTGGTAATGGTATATGATTAGCATTTGTATTCTCCTTATTATAAGATGGATAGCAACCCCCGATTGACAATTCAGTTTGCATTCACAAATCACCCAGCATTTTCTCTCCAGAACATAGACAGAGCTCAAATCCGCAAGCAAAGAAATCTCAAATTGTCATACCAGTAAGTTTTGAAACTCCCGAAAACACACCCGCCACAAATCCTCTATAATTCTTTGCCTCTCTCTTCTTCTCTACCATTTTCTCCCCACCGTCGGTAGTATTCCCTCCTATCTGCAACCGCGACATGATGGCAGACTCACTCGTAGCCATTTCGATTGCCTATATAGGCTAACTGATCACAAATCCGCGAGTCTTTTGCAAACATTAAGTCTTGTCTTGTCTGCCCCTCGTCTGAAATTTCACAATGAAGTCCACATCGATAAGACAGAGAGCTAAACTAGATGGGAGGAAGCTTTTCGCGAGCAATAGATCGATGGAGCTTGCCTGCTCGTTTGCTTGGTTGGTTATCAAACCGTAGTTTGTAATTGGAAGGCAGGATATTCTCGATTTGTTATGTCGCACAGCAAGGGTCTTGGATCGCCGTTATTCTAGATTGATAATACTTTGCAGGATATCGTACTTACTACCTAGCTTATTAATAGATCATGTCCAATATGTTCAAACTTCGGATGGATGACGAGTTGAACTACCAAACTGGGTGGAGCTGTGCTGTGACTAGCTGGAGAGACTAGGTAGGAATGCTTTGAACTTTGAAGATTCATTTGGCGAAGTCGGAGGCAAGGCAAGTTGTTACTGTGAGCTTCCATTCCAATTGACCTTTTCTCTTTTTCTTCCTTCCATGTTCTCTCTGCCTTATCGATGGGAATCGTCAATGTGTACCTAGTATACATGGGATTGATTGGTTAGATAAGCAATGATATGATGAGAAGCTTGATCAGAGAAGGAACGAAGCGACGTACGGAAAGACTCCAGCTGCGATAATCTTGGCTGAGGATAGCTGAGGATCGTAAAGCGGCCATCAAATGCAAGGGAAGTGAGGGGCAGATGGGAATTCGAAGTGGGGGATTATCCAGATCTCGAAACTCGTCGGATGAATTTCGATTATCGTGAGACTCGAGTATCATGAAGCGGTCGGTATAAGGCTGCTTGATTTGAACTTTCCAAACTTCAGATTTTTCTCTTCATACATGTATTTGTGGGTAAATCATTCCATTAGAATACTTCAGATATCTTTCGACTTACAATTTATCGACGTTTGAAGCAACAATTGACGCGTTCACATCTTGGCAGTTGGGATGAGTCCGGTAGCAAATTGTTTCGTATCGTATATTGAGGGTTTGCTGGCTGACATTAGGATATTTAAGGATATTTAATAAGGATGTTGTGATGTGAATCTGTCCCCTTTTGATCAATTCTGAGCCAGTAGTCCAAGCACACCTTTCTTCTTCTTCTTCTTCTTTCTATTGTATAAATACTTTTCCATCATTACCTACCTACTAAAGGTTACTGACTCACTTACTTCCCGCGCACTTCCTTTCTTGACGAAAAGTTGTTTGTTATCTATCATATCATATCATATCATTGAATACTAAAGCTGTGCTTATTCTTTTGATTGATTCATATATACCCCTCCAATTCTACATAATCAATACATCTCACGCTCAACACTTCTCAAAGTTGAATAACATTTCAGGAAAATGACATCCTCCGAACGAGTCACCGAGTCCAAGAAGGGTATGTTATGCAGTTCAGTACAAAATTCGGCACATCTGCATATCGCATCAAAAAATAACTCAACTAACGATACCTTTTCCGCAGTCTGGACAACCCTCATAACCAACACCGCCTACCTCTCCGGTCTTCTAACCCTCGACTACTCCCTCAAAAAACACAACTCCAAATATCCCCTCGTAGCCCTCTACACCGATGCCTTCCCTCCTGAAGGCCACGCTGCTCTCGAAGCCCGTGGTATCCCTAAACAGCGCATTGAATATCTTCTCCCAAAGAATGGCGGAAAAGATTATTCCAACGACCCCCGCTTCTACGATTGCTGGTCTAAACTCGCCCCTTTTAGTTTAATCGAATATGAGCGCGTTGTGCAACTCGATAGCGATATGTTGGTCCTACAAAATATGGACGAGTTGATGGAATTAGAACTCGATGCGCCGGAGGTGGCGGGCAAGGGACAGAGAGTTTTTGCTGCGGGCCATGCATGTGTCTGTAATCCGCTAAAGAAGAAACATTACCCTGCTGACTGGTATGTTCACTCTCCAATATATTCACTTTCTCCAAAGGCACAGCTGGAGACATACTAATATTCCTACAGGGTTCCCGAAAACTGCGCATTCACCTCCCAGCACAACACACCGGAAGTCGCACAAACCACTGGACCACCCCCCAATACCTCTCCTCTTGGTTTCATGAACGGCGGTCTTCAGGTGGTCAACCCCTCTTCTGGCGTATACAATGCCATTCTTGATCATCTTTCCTCAGACGCCGCAATCAATATGGATTTTGCAGATCAATCTCTCCTCTCTGATCTCTTCAAAAACCGATGGGTGCCACTTCCTTATATTTACAACGCCCTCAAAACTCTGAAATGGGAAGGCGTCCATCCTCAAATTTGGAGAGATGATAAAGTAAAAAATATTCATTACATTCTAGCCCCAAAACCGTGGGATGAGATGGATGAGGAGGGGAATTTCATTGGTAAGGATGCGACGCACGCTTGGTGGGTAACACATAACCAGGAGAGGTTGAGGGGGGAGAAGGAAAGGGGAATTAAGGTTGATGGATTCTAGATGAGTGTTACGTTCTTGTTTGCGACTGGGAAATAGACAGGTACTTGAGTTTTAGGAGACTAGCTGAGAGCCAGCTGTATTAATGGCTCGTATCACATAGCATAGTCATTTATAGTGCTGAAATTGGAGTAGCAACCTCCATGATTTCATTACAGAATTAATAAGCGAGCTGTTGGATATTATTCAAGCTTCAAATATACCCAATACCCATCACTTTCATTTTCATCCGTAGATCATCTATCTTTCATATTTCCTCCAGTGGTCTCGTCGCCTCATTCCCCAAACATAACTGAGATAGTCTTCTTGGTCAATTGCAGAACACACAGTTGACTAGTAACATCACAGAATCTCAAGTCTTCTCATCTCGTCTCCTGTTCACATTTTAGACATCTTCGCTGATGAATCTAATAAACAACAAAGCGAAGTTCTAAGTTCATCCAACATATCGACACTTAAGGTCATGCCGCCGGACCGATACACGGATTTCCCTTCCGAGAATAAAGAGAAGAACGGCTGATCAGCTCGAGCCAAGATGCAAATCTCTGACAGTGTTTTTTTCGGCATGTCATATATGGCATTGCATTGTTTAGAACACCGGCGACAAGGAAAGATCTGCCATCAACAAATTGAAAGCATGTGATCTAGATGGTAGCTGCGGGTAACCGTGTCTTCAAGAAAATAGGCTAAATCCGCCAACGCCTTTCTCCACAACCTTCATCTCTTCCCCAGATTCCCTCCGCATTTTCATGCCAGCCTAAGTTTTGGGATTCTTGAAAGTACCTAGGTATCTGTGTAGCTTCAAGTGGCGTAAGTTCATTTTTACCCCATATCTTGCAAGCTTGGAAGTCACTATACGACTACTGCATCTAGACCTTAGATTCTGCTTTTCTTCTTCGCGAGAGCTTTGGACAAGAGGCGGTATTAGCTGTCATCGGCTGCTCTCTCTTGAGTTCCGGAATTGTGGATGTTTTTCTGGCTTTATTAGGTATCTAACCATGGAAATCACGTTCTTGGTCTCTGTCCTTGTAGTGAGATAATCTTCAAACCCCACAAAATACCATTTCTGTCAAGATGACAGAAGGTATAATACAGATCATATAGCAAGTGACAGTTCATATAGCACATGATACTATACAATCCTTTAACGGGCCGTTGCTCCTTAGTCGCTCAGGTACCTGTTAAGGTATGTGATATCTTTAATCTAAATTTGGTTTGGGTGATTTTCCGTCGATTGTCTTGATTGGATACTGGGTATTACTTTAATTCGTCGTTATAGTAAAAAACCTCTCGTTTCATGTATTTTGTCCAATCACATTTCGCGGGGTCCTGCCAAGGATTCGAAATTATAATTTTCTTCATGATCAATCCATGACATCTTTTAAGTTCTACTCAGGCTATACAAATTCTACTGGCAAGCCGGCGCCGGACTTCCGTTATGATATTGGGGTGCAGCTTGCATGTAGATGATCAGATGTGAGGGCGCGTTAGTTCATCAAGACTTGTATGGCCAATATGGTTAGTCATATCTCAGTCCAAATGATATAAAAGACTGTTCCTTTCTTCAAAATGCGAATATCCAACCACACATACAATCTTTACTTCTTCAATTCTCCTGTCAAAATGGGTTTCAAGAATGTTCTCCTCGCTGCTGCAGCTGTAGCACCTGCTGTGTATGCACAAGGTGCAGGTTACGCACAATGTAAGTTATCACGCTTTGTTCGTTGGTAATATGGTATTAACACACCTTTAGGTGGTGGTCAAGGTTGGACTGGCGCAACAACTTGTGTTTCGGGATTCACCTGTGTTGTTAGCAACCCATACTATTCTCAATGTCTGCCAGGCGCTGCGGCCACGACAACAGCAACTTCAGCTCCCACCGCAACGACTCCCACCACAATCATCACATCTACCACCAAAGGTACCACGACCACAAGTGGCAGCAGTGCAACAACAACAGCAGCAGTTGCTGGTAATCCATTCATAGGAAAAGCACTTTATGCGAATCCATACTATGCTTCCGAAATCTCTGCGAGTGCCATTCCTTCACTCACTGGAGCCATGGCTACTAAAGCTGCTGCGGTAGCAAAGGTCCCCACCTTTTATTGGCTGTAAGTCATCGTCTTTAATCAAATGATGGATATGATAGCTGATGGTTTCAGTGACACCGCGGCCAAAGTTCCATTGATGGGAACTTACCTTGCCAATATCCGGACTTTGAACAAAGCAGGAGCAAGCCCACCTATTGCAGGCACTTTTGTAGTCTACGATTTACCAGACAGAGATTGCGCCGCTGCTGCTTCTAACGGAGAATACAGCATTGCAGACGGTGGCTTAGTGAAGTACAAAGCTTATATCGATTCGATCGTCGCTCTTTTGAAAACTTACTCCGATGTCAGCGTTATCCTCATCATCGGTAAGTGAATTTTTTATTTCAAGCTTAAGTAGGTTTGTGGCTAATCATCCAACAGAACCCGACTCGTTGGCCAATCTCGTCACCAACTTGTCAGTCGCAAAATGTGCCGGTGCGCAAGCAGCCTATCTGGAAGGTACCGAATATGCCATCGCGCAATTGAATCTTCCAAACGTCGCTATGTACTTGGATGCTGGACATGCTGGTTGGTTAGGATGGCCTGCAAACATCGGACCGGCTGCTCAACTCTTCGGCAAAGTCTACAAAGCAGCTGGAAGTCCAGCGGCAGTCAGAGGTCTTGCAACTAATGTTGCAAACTACAATGCTTGGACTAGCACCAGTTGCCCATCCTACACCTCTGGTGACTCCAACTGTAACGAGAAATTGTACATTAACGCTCTCGCTCCACTTTTGACCGCTCAAGGTTTCCCAGCTCACTTTATCATGGATACTAGTAAGTGACATTTCTCCGCACTTTTTAGACAATACTAACAGTGGAAATAGGTCGTAATGGTGTTCAACCAACCGCCCAACTTGCCTGGGGTGACTGGTGCAACCTCATCGGCACCGGATTCGGTGTTCGACCAACCACAAACACAGGAGATGCATTGGAAGATGCATTCGTCTGGGTCAAGCCCGGTGGAGAAGGCGACGTTAGTTTTCCCATACACCCCGCCCCCATCTCTTCTTATTCTTAACATCTATACTAACTTAACAATCAGGGAACTTCCAACACCAGCGCCGCACGATACGATTTCCACTGCGGACTCGCCGATGCGCTTCAACCAGCTCCAGAGGCGGGTACTTGGTTCCAGGCCTACTTTGCTCAATTGCTTACAAATGCCAATCCAAGCTTCTAATTAAGCGGAGATTTTGGGAGATGAAAATCAAGATGGGATGGGGAATGAGAAAAATTATACATTCTTTGTCCACAGCGTGATATGGAGAAGAAGAGACATTCTTCGACATATGGTCAATCGTTACATATTCATTGCTTTTTGTCATTGTTCCGATTTGATTCGATCAAAACATGTATATAAACTTTTTACCTCTTCGATTCTTCTGTATATATCAAATACAAATGGTTCTCTTTATATTTGGGAGTTGGGTACCGGTACCTATTCAATATTCAATATTCATTTGAACGTGCATGGGAAAATGAAAAGTCATCTATCAAACTACTAATTGTAAGAGTTACAGCCTCAGCTTATCGCACATTAAGCAAAAACACACCAAAAACCCTTATTTCTTCAATTTTTGAATTATATATTATTTCAATCAAAAAATGAAATAAATTTTTTAAATAAATACTTAAAATAATATTTTAATAAAATAATTTAAAAAAATGAATAGAATATTTTTAATAATTTTTTTTTGAAAAAGTTGTAGATCTTTGAAATCAAAAATTTCAAAAATTTCCAAAAAATCGATTTTTTTGTATAATAAAAGTATTATATACAATAATTTTTGAAAAATTTCAATCTTAAAAGTCAACAACTTTTCTAAAAAAATTATTAAAAATATTTTATTTATTTTTTTAAATTTAAAATACTAATATCTTTTATATATCAAATTTTCAAATTAATAATTCAATATTTAATGAAATAATTAAAGAAATTAATTTATATAGAAAAACAGCTTTTTTATAGGGATTTTGTTACGAAATAAGGTAGTGTGCGATAAGCTAAGGCCACAACTCTTACTTTTCGGTGTTTCAGTGAGATTATGTAGAGAATGGTGCTTTCTGAACACATTACTTCTAGATTGTTGTTCTCGAGAATAAATTTTCCTGATGATGTGTTTTTGTTGGATTATTCAAATAGACATGTCACATTTATGATCGAGAAGTGATATGGACGTTGGTAGGTATCTAGAGCATTCTATTGCCATCGCAATAATACTAACACCAACACTACCCATACCAGGGCACATGGACATCAAACTCCCCCCCTTTTATAACGCACCAAAGCGCAAAGATAAAATAAATAAAGATCTCGCAGTCAGATGAATAAATCGGTACTTCATCTTTTTTATATGGGTATCAACACTTTGCACCGCGCATCCCGCATCCCGCGGCCGACGAATTGACGAGTTGGGATTTCTCGGCTTGGGAGAAGTAGATGTGAAGGATAGATACTTTTTATCACGGACGGTATTGTTGTATATCTTTCGAAATCGCAATACTTTGAAATGAGGGGTGAGGGGGTCTGAGGGCAAAAATTAGAGAAGGGAATATTATTGCTGAGAATTAGAAATTTAGAATATGATTGATGGGGGGAATTCTCCTGAGGGAATAGATTTTGGAGAGTTTTGAGTTTCGACTTTCAAGGGGTAGTTATAGGATAGTATGGGATAGTATATACTTTGTGTCAATTTGTTGAGACTGTATAATTCATTCATGATTTGGGGATTTTGTAATTAGAAATTGTAGGTTTGTTGAACTATATGGAGGCGTGGGTAAGTACTTAGCAGATACATTTCACAGGCTGTGGCAATTTTGAATTTCTAATTCAAAGACAAAAAATGAAAAATGGAAAATATGCAGAGTGGATTCAAATGTTTAAATGAAGGTTGGGGAGGAAGGGAGGGAGTCTTGTGATACAAGGGAACTCTTTTTTTTCTTTTTGATTAATTCTACCTAGGTAGGTGAGTATTAGGTATGAAAAAGAATTGCCGGGCCCCTCAAAAAATATATTAATATCTCATTGATTAAGGTTAATTGTACTCCTGGGATTCTGGGGGAAAAAGGATAAATAGATAGATAGATGAGTTGCAATGCATGTTCCACCATATGCTTGCTGTAGAAATAAAGAACGCACCACAAAGTTTAAACATAATAGCCGAAATCTGGGGTATGTGGCATTTCCTGGTGACAGATAGCATGGCTGAATGGGAAGTGGTTAAGGTTATTTACCCCTGAATTTACCCGAGGATGGGTACTGCGGTGCGGGTCCGGCTTATGCTGATGTGATGTGGTTTGTGATTGATAGGAATAGAGTTGGGGTGGGGGTGGGGCTTGGCGTGTATGTACTATGCACCGCGGTATGTATGTACGGAGTGGGTGTTGAATTTAAAAATTAGGAGAATTTTTGTGTGGAATTGAGAAAGGGAGGGAAGGACGGAGGGTTTGTCGGTATTGGGAGTATTGTGGTGAGTGATTGGAAGCATTTTCAGAAAGGGACAATTGCAAGATCGATGATGATTTGACTCTAGATTGGTATTTCATTCTTTTCCTTTTCCATCCCAGTAATCTAAGAGAAACGCAAATGCAAATCTCATATAAATCTATCTCGTACTCCGCCCACAAAACAAAGAAACAAAGCTAAGCGATAAATGAAGCGGGTCCACTTTCTCATCTCATCTCATTCACATTGCCGGCCCTCGGCCCAACCCAACCCCATACACATGAAACTCTTCCCGCAATCCCGTCTCGGAACCCCGTCCTCTTTTTTCCGACAAGTCAGCATTTCACGTACTTAAACTAAGCTAAGCTCCAGTACAATATGGCAGTTTAGAATCACAAGATTGATATAGATGACGCATACCCCATATATCGTGTAATAGTGAATATTGGTACCAGAGTAAACCTAGGAGATTAATGTATAGAGCGGGTATGCATTCTGATATTTTCTTCTAGGGGGAGGGGAAATGAAATTGAATCTAGAACACGGGGGTTTCGGTCCGTGGGCAGAGATCTGCGGTGAAGTGTCACTGTGACAGGAATCGATGAGAATGGGATGTATGGAGAGTATTCCAATCGGTAATTAGAGGGTTAATGAGAAAGCTTAGGTATGCATCGGGGATAGCGTGCTAGGTCTTGATGATGAGTTCGAATTTGGAGTATATATTTCGCATGAATATCTTGGCATGTCCATAATATAAACTTTCTCGTTCGCTCTTTTCATACATCATACTATTAGCCACCTCTCTTCATACCTTCAAGATGAAGCTCTCAACTCCCCTATACACAATCGTTCCAATCGTGTCTACCGCCGCTGCACAAGGCGCCGCGTATGTACAGTGTGGTGGTACTGGCTGGACTGGCTCTACGTCTTGTGTGTCGGGTTATGTGTGTACATACACGAATGCGTATTATTCGCAATGTTTGCCTGGAACTGGTGAGTCTACTTCCGAGAGAGAGGGAGAGGGAAAGGAAGTTACGGCAGCATATAAAGACAAAATGCCAACAAATGGCAATGCAGCAACTTTAACAACAGTTACGAGTGCAACAACCAGTGCTGGTACGAAAACTAGTACAGCCGCAACACCAAGTTCAACGGGAAAGACAAAGTATAGTAAGTTCATGCTATTAGTACCATTTTATGAGAATATTACGATTGAAGGACTCGTACTGACGCATTCAAGTCGGTACCAACATCGCCGGATTCGACTTCGGCTGCACAACAGATGGCACATGTCTAACCAACAAAATCTTGCCAGTGCGTACTCCTTCTCCTTTTCTAACTCTAATTGCCCACTAACTCCTCTCCCCAACAGGCTCTCAAAAGCCTCAACAATGGCCCCGATGGCCTAGGTCAAATGGCTCACTTCGTCTCCAAAACTGGGCATAATATTTTCCGTCTCCCCGTTGGCTGGCAATATCTTGTGAACAACAACCTCGGAGGAACACTCGACAGCTCGAATCTTGCGAGCTATGATCAGCTGGTCCAAGGATGCTTGGCAACGGGTGCTACCTGCATAATTGATATCCATAACTATGCGAGGTGGAATGGAGGAATCATTGGACAGGGAGGACCGACGGATGCACAGTTCGCGAGTCTGTGGACTCAATTGGCGGCGAAGTATAAGTCAAATACGAAGATCGTTTTTGGCTTGATGAACGAACCACATGGTATGTATTTTTCTTTTCTTAAGAGGGTGGATCGTGAAGTGGAGGAGAGAGAAAAGAGGAGAGGAGAAATGAATACTTGAATACAAACTAATGAGAATATAGATTTGAACAGTGTAACCACCTGGGCAGCAACGCTTCAAAAGGTTGTTACTGCTATTCGTCAAGCGGGCGCATCTAACATGCTTCTACTTCCTGGTAGTGATGTAAGTAGAGTGACACCATACATGATTTTACAACCAATTCACGTTCTTTTTGAGCGCTTTGCTTCCAAACCACCATAAACTTCTTCATGAATCTAAATCAAACGACTAACTTCCGCTATCTAGTACGCATCCGCAGGAGCTTTCATCACCGACGGTAGCGCCGCTGCCCTCTCCAAAGTTACCAACCCTGATGGCACTTTCACCAATCTGATCTTTGACGTACACAAATATCTCGATTCCGATAATTCTGGAACCCATACCGAGTGCGTAACCAACAATATCGATGCTGCATTTGCACCACTAGCAACTTGGTTACGGGCCAATGGAAGACAAGCTATATTGAGCGAGACAGGCGGTGGAAATACAGCAAGTTGTCAGACCTACTTGTGTCAACAAGTTGCTTATTTGAAGTATGTTTCCAATTTTATTTCATCTTGGAGTTGAGGATGGAAGGCTCTGGTATATGTTATTAATGGTGTGATTGTACAGTGCGAACTCGGATGTCTATTTGGGATACATTGGATGGTCTGCTGGAAGCTTCGATTCAACTTACGGTAAGTGCAGCAATTTTCTATATGCCCATCATCTTTTGTTCAATAACATACTAATATTCATGTGACAGAATTGGTAGAAACACCTATTGGAAGTGGATCTTCCATGACTGACCAACCGCTCGTCGCGGCTTGTCTTTCTCGAAATTAGTGACAATGAAGAGTGATTGATCGGGGGTGGTACACTTTGGTGAAGAGACTGTATATAGTGGAATGAGTCTGTATATATTCAATTGGCTGTACATAGGAAGAATAGAACGACTTCGTCTTTACTCTTCAATACGGACTGTTTTTTGCAACAGTGAAATGAAATGAGAATTTTAAGCGCATTGAAAGGCTTTATCGAGTTTCACGACTGGTGTTATGGGAGAGGAATAAAATAGTGAATTTGAAAATGAACCACCGGCAATTGTAGAAGGAAACTAAATATTGTTTATATTTGAAGTGATAGCTGAGCTCAACTATAAATCAAAGTTTCGGCAAGAATAATCTGGATGATAGCGTTGTATCCAGTAGATCTAGTTTCCGAGATACTCAAATTCATCCGCTTGAAACGCGACACTTGCAAAAAACCGACAAAAGATTCTTCTTCTTTCAGAGACCTAAAAAGCCAAAAGAAATGGAAATGTGTCATCCACTTAGCACAGGAACGTAATGGCTGCTAGACCAAGGCCGTAACCCGATGTAAATCTCTAGGAAACACAGAAAGGCGAACAACTGCTAGACCGCTGCACCGCCAAGCTTCATTTGACAAGCAAGTGATGGAAGCAACTGGGTATATGAATGAAGATTCACCAATTGCGGAATATGGTCATAAATAGATCGTAAACTGTTACAATCCTTAGACCAAATAAGTCCGCTGTTTTCGCATTGTTTTATCAAGACTTCCAGTTGCCGATCGAGGAATTTGGGGGTACTCTTCAGTTCTTCTGGTTTGGTTATATATCCTCGTGCTTTCTTATATAAAATACATTCCTTCGATCTAATATTCCTTGATTGGCGTGTGTCTAACTTCAGACAACTTTCTCTTCTCCGTCATCCATGAACATGTCATTATTTGAGATAATGTAAGCGTGGCGATATTATACAGATGTTCGATAGCGCAACAAAGTCAGAACATCAGTACCTGACCTGGAAACAACGTCCAAAGGCTACACATCAGAGCCTTTTTGAAAATCAACTACCAGACTGGTATCCGCTTGAACTCATGAGTAAACCAGCCTGTGTGAAGGTGATTTAAAGACACCGGGTTTGAAATGATGCAGAACTCAGTTGATACCCCACAAACATACCAAGTGCGGTCAAGCGAAACTCACGTGCCGTGTATTTATCGGAAAAGAAAGAAACAACAAGCAAATGAAAAAAGACCGCGAACATATGCCATTTTGGGTACTAAGTAAACACATCGCTCTGGGATTCTCGCAATTTCCGGATTTCAATGTCACTGACATGATATAGCGATGGCTTAACTTTTGATATCGATTATCTCCACCGTGAGGTATCAATATAACCCAGGATCTGAACTTTCGACGAGACGAACTCTAAGCCCATGTCGCCCGCTAATCATATACCGGAATCGCCAATTGTAGCATTCTTGATACCCAGATTTTGTCTACAAATACAAACCACAGGCCCATCTTGGCAATACCCAAATGCACACAAACCATTCGCAAGCCTCAAAACCACCCACGTGATCATTTCCGGCATAAAACAATGCAACGACGGCACGAAGTTTTTGAAGGGACATCTGAGGTTACGTTTGTTGCATATCGCATACGAGCCGACCCGTTTCACTTCCTAAATGAGCAAGTCACGATCAAGATCTATACGAGATGTTGTATGCTTGTGCCATGTTGGTGACATGCTGTGGTGATTTGAGGTTGTAGTGCAGCGACTGTCATGTAAAAATAGGTGAGCTTGATCTGGGGAATCCCGGAAATGGGAAGTTGAGATGTGGTGGTGAGGGAACAAGAATGGTATAGTTAACCAATGTAGTCAAATTACATCTGGGCAATGAATGTATCTTGACTGTCGAGTGGTTTGTGAGCCGTCTTGGATGGTAAGAATCAAGTGAGTGGTCAATATAAAATCGTCCTAACGACGGGACGGGATGGAAAGTATACTAGGCTGAGTCGAGTCTGGTTCCACAAGCCGACACGGCCCGATTAAGCACGTGTTCCAATCGTTCTGCCAGGAAGCGGTGAAGATAAAATAGAATGGGAATTGGGTTTGTTCTACAGTTTACTACCCAATTAGACACCTAGTCGGCAAAGAACATTGTTTAGTAAATAATCCTATTAAGCCAACAATATAATGATCGCGAAGATTCATCATGTAAAATCATCGAAGAAGTTACATGGATGTGGCTAAATCTGGTGTAGTCAGCCATGATTCAACGCAGCCATAGAAGATCTCAACTCAGAATGCCATCCTCATTTTAAGCAGATCTTTCTCGATAATCTCGTCTTTCTTCTTCATAAGTTCTTCCATATCCCATGGAAAGCTCACGTATCGTCCACCAAGCCATTCCTTGCGCTCAGCAGCCAACCATGCAATTGTATCCCCAGCTATCTCTGGACGGTCAGGAAATCGATTCCGCACCTCCTTAGGAGCGGTCTCAGTAACCTTCGTCTTGATAGCACCCGGATTAACACAATAAGTCGGAAATCCTTGATCGCCGTATTCCAATTGTAAAGACTCGGTTAACCTCAAGATTGCAAGCTTTGAGCTCCGATAACTTGCACTTCCAGGACGAGCGCTTAATGCACCTGAAGAGGATACATTGATCATTGTGCATAAACCGTTGTTGTTTACACGAGCCAAAAGCTGCATAGGAAGGAAAGCACGAGCAATGTTTAGGATTCCGTGAATATTGACCTCCCAAGTTCGCCAGTGAACATCTGGATCTGAATCGAGTAAAGGCTTGTATGGTTTCATATGAGCTGCATTGTTGATGAGGATATCCAGACGTCCATCAAACCGTTCTGATACGATTTTGTACATTGCTTGAACGCTTTCTTCTTTCGAGATGTCAACGGTACAGCTCAGCACCGTAGGCTCCGAATGTCCGGCTTGCGTTGCAGTCAGTTTAAGCTTCGTGACAAGATCGTCTGATATCCCGTGGAGATCAGCTAATGCTACTGCTGAAGCACCCGCACGCACAAACGCTCTAGCTGTGGCATATCCAACCCCGTCCTCCCACGCTGCCCCTGTAATTAGAACATTTTTTCCAAGCAAGTTCTAGCTTGATTGGGGAAATGTAGTCATAAGTCGTAGAGTGCCGCGTAGCTGTAAAGTTGCCACCAGAGAGCGCTATTCTGTCTGACATTGTTGATTTTGTAAGTTCTGTGAGATTATACAGCCTAGAGGGTAGAAAACATAGCTACACACAAGCAAGAAACTGAATTGTACACATGTCAGGATTTTGCAAGAACTGTGAATGACGATATCTTCCAATCAAGTTGCACCGCTAAGCGGCAGGTAACCATCGTTGTTTGCATTGGCGTTGACTGGCAGTGTTCTCCACTACGGAAAAGTCTGCTTAGAAATCTGGAAAACGCAATGACACCACATCTCGATATAAGGATATCCGGACGTCATATCCTTTGACACCGTGATGCATAGCCCCATTCATTTGAAAAGTAACCAATCTAGATTGAAATTGGGTATAATTCTATCTGTGCATTATGAAGGTGGACGTCTTTTCTATAACCACAAATCGCTAGCAGTAGGATGCATAATGGGTACGCACGAGAAATATACCGAGAAGCAAGATGGGGGTACTAGAATAGATGGTAATCTTCTCATGATCAGATCCAAAGAATCTCATCAATAATCATTGAATGTGGGATATTAAGGTGATTCCGCGACCTCGTGATGAGCTTTCCTCAGAAGAGACCATAGTAGTAAGCAATCATCAAAATTTCGGTCTCGTTCCAAAACGTAGAACCCATATTCGAATATAGGTGTCAGCTCATTCCTGTTGGGTAAAAATATGCCAAGCTTCAATCTACAGCGCAGCATAGACACTTAAAACCAAATGTTAATTGACCACAGCTTCGTATATCTAAAAGTGGCTAGCCATATTCCACTCAACAATTCTACACATGGAATGGTGAAGAGCCATCTTACCAATTCAAGGATAACTTACTTTGAGCTTCTGTTACAGGCGTTAAAGATACCCCATACTCACTCAAAGCATCAATATCCGCATAATAACCAACATCACGCTGCCATATCTGTGCCCCCACAACACCATTGCCTTGCTTCCGAAGGGTTCTCGCCACTTGATTGGGTAGGTATTCAACGATGATCTCTTTACCACTCACCGTGCCCAATTGATCAGCTATTTCAGCGGCTGACAATTTATCGGCAGCTAGCGTGAGAGTCTTTTTAGAAAATCTATTGGGCGATTGGATAGCTTTGGTAGCAAAGCGAGCAACATCACCAGCGCTGATGAGGTCTAGACGTGTGCTCTGGAGGAACGCAATTCGAAGCGTATTTGTTTCTGAAAGTCCTGGGAACATGTGATCACAATTTGGGTAGCAAAAGTTCTGCATAAAGAATGCAGGCCGTAGAATTTTCCAGTAACTGAAACCCAAAGTGCGAACTGTTTTCTCAATGTCGTCTTTCTGGAACCAATACTGTGCTGATGGATCTTCCTTGCTCCAATCAGGGAAAGTCTCATGATCTCCCGTTCTCGCGACTTTAGAGTAAATGGCCTGGGTCACCTTTTTCTGCTGGGCAGCTTTCAGCACATTCTTCGCATACAAAATTCCATTTTCAAATTTGGCGGAAGGGCAAGATAGACAGTGCCGGCGCCGGCAATGGCATTAGCAACTGCTTCAAAGGACTCTAAATTGCCAGTATGAACCTCCGCTCCTAGAACTCGTAGAGCTTGGGCCGCGCTGGAAGAGGAATCGCGGACGAGGATTTGTACTTTGTAATCAAGCTGAAGTAACAGTATAGATAATGGGCAACCTTGTTCGCCTGTAGCGGTAGCAGTAAAGACACTTTTGGTCATTGTGAATTTGGAAAAACTTATTCACTGGATGTGAGGAGCAAAACAATGAAAGATCAAAGATAATCCTTTCTCCAGAATGAAACGTCGCTCATAGAGGACATATCCTTCCTTGCTCGTATTTTGCAAATCATTGAATCCCGAGTTTCCAGGGGAATGACGGGGGGTGGGGAATTTAGGACCAATTCAGGTCAGAAAGGGGGTGATATGCAGCTAGTGCAGGTCGAGAGATAGGTTGATTGAATTGTGGGGTTGCGGTTACGCTTCCGGTATTCCTTGAGGCGAGTGACAGTCTCTGTTATGGCATGAAGCTGCACAACGCACTGGATAGTTGAGTCTTCTCCAATTGAAACTTGGGACAAAATCTTAGGAGTCTCGTCCACAAACCTTAAAGCTGCCTTGTAATGGTGGCCAGTTGATAGAATAGCCTTTTGAAACTCTACTGTCGAAAACGCTATGGGGATTAGGTGCTGAATCTTGCGTAAAAACCCAATATTTTCTATACGATACTTGTCCACTCGTGTTTTGTTCTTTCTCTGGGGCAGCAGTAATCCAGGGAAAAGGCGTTGTCGGTCACTATAAGGAGGGAGTACGATGCTCCTTCGCCTTCAGGGAACTGATAGTCCTAGAAAATTAAATGCAACGGGAGCGGGTATTACTTTGGTTTGAGGTATTCTGCTTTAAAAACCCGTCATGATTTGTTCTACCTTGCGTTAAACTTATATATAACCCATCTTCTTGGCGTCGCAGAAAAGCCCACACGTCCACATCAGCAAATTGAGAGACATTACCTAAACCAATAACGATTAGTAATGTTTCTCTTCGCTTCCTTGGCCCGAAACTTTAATTGTTTGGTATAGTTATACGGGTACCTAGTATTTATTAAGTATTTTATGTCAAGTCTAGATTAAAATCTAGCTTCGCTCATGCCACTCCATTTTATTTTCTCCATCTTCACAATCTGTATCACTTCATTGGTATCACGGTTCGGATTTTGATACTATTCTCATACTCATTTTTCACTTTGTGGAATGAACGTTCCTTCAAAATTCCTACAACAATCATCCATCTCTCCGCGGTTTGAGCCACAATCGCACTTCATACTCCTGAATAGCACGTATATCTGGCAGAGACGAGCTTAACAATATCATGGCTGATTCTCGGGCCCCAATCTCCCACTCACACCGCGTCGCACTTCGTCGATATTACCAGACAACTACTCCAAAGCCTACCCAGTCTGAATTGAGAGCGTGGTTTCAGTCTCGCTTCGGCTATAATATTAGTCAGTCTATTGTTAGTCGAAGCCTCAGCAACAGCTTCGCTTATCCAGACGTCTCTAATGCGTCAGACTCTGAATTTCGAACACGAAATTGCCAATGGCCTTGGCTAGAGATTTTACTCACAGATTGGCTTCAAGAAGTGGAGGCTCTGTCCGGTAAAGTTACACACAAAGCCATCGGACAAAAAGCCAAGGAGCTATGGGATCAGTCAGAAGAGTCACAGGGTTCGGTGACGCCAAAATTTTCTCATGGCTGGGTTGTCAAATTCAGATGGAGGTACGAGACGAGGCTCCAACATTCCCTCAAACAGGATCATACAATTCTGACATCAGACCATCCATCGGACGGAAGTTCCTCTTCGCTGCCATATGGAAGCTCTGCGGGTATACCCAACCAATCTCTGATCTCATTTTCGCCCCAAAGAGAGGCATCAACAATCACCACTTTAGCAAATAACACCAGCCTCGCTACCGAGATAAATATATCAGCGACACCTACAATATCATCTGATCATTTTATCCACCTTGTTCAACATAATTCCTATCGGGCTTTAATGTCTAACAAAGACCTGATATTTGCATCATCACTCATTCTCAAGGCATCACCTCTGACAGCACCTATCAAACAGTTTGCTACTAAAATTTGTGGTGGCCTAACAGTTGTCCATCCTCTTGACGGCATACTTATGCCTGATTCGCTTTATCCAACCGAATTGCAGATGAACTGTGCCCACACGGGCGTTATGAATATGTTCCCTTTTCCAAAATTTCGGAATAACCTCATTGAGAAAGGTGTGAATTTCGTGCCTGAAGAAATGTGTCGGGACCTCTTTGGTGATATCTTTCCAGATTATGTTACACCAACACCAGATGCTCATGTTTGTACATTACAAATGCGTGATGTTTTAGTACCACTGCCATCAATTGACGAAAACAATTCTGGTATCGATGATTCCGAAGATCAGGATGATTACACAGCTGGACGTAAATGTATGATCAATTGGGGTGATCCATGGAATGTAGAAAGTTGGGAAGTTACACCCGGCTTTGTGAAGAAATGGCGCTGGGCACTAGAAGGATGTGATGATTTGATCCGAGTAAGCAATAAATGGCGTGCATCTAGAAATGAGAGGCTGATAACGTGGAATGCCAGTATTGGAAACTCGACTTTTGAAGTCGTTTAGAATAATGATCGGAAGGAACTATACCTGGTCTAATCTCTTGCTAGTTGTCATATAAGAGCTAGTGAGGAAGGTATAAGGGTAGAGGATATTGATTGAATTACAAGTGCCATATCATACTACATCCACCCACTTTAAAAGGGACAAATTTCCAGACAAAGAGCTGTGTAGTAGTTCCGATGCTACAAATTCAAGAGTTTGAGATATTCTCTGAGAAACAAATCTATGTTGTATATTTATAATATGTCGATATTTCTTGATAGGGGGAGCGTAACAATCACATGACCCTCTTCCCTTTCTTAGCTCAAGGGAAAAAACATATTTCCATTCGGTGCGTTTGGAGAAATATATAAAAATCATATTTCTATTGAAAAAATTTCAATTGTATGATGAATAGGTTGATATATGATTGAAAAGATGGGAAAAAAGTAATTTGACCAAAACGTTCCGCGTGCACTTCCATACCTAGTCTGATATACCTACCTAGAATGGCGGATGACTAATCATCATATCCTTATGTCGAAACACATCCTTATATCGAGACACATTCTTATATCGGGACACATCCTTATACCGAGCCATATTTGTGCTATTGTAACAAGAGAGCATGATCAAGAACATAGCCCTGTTCCAGGATACAATAGTTCTTTTGTCTCGTAATAGACGAGATTCATCAGTATTTTTTGTTTCTCCACCACGCCGAGATGTTGGATTATGCATGAAATGGGTCGCGAAGCAACTAGTAGTACTAGTATAGCTGAAGACGGAGAAGGGAGAAAGTCCAGCTATGATTACTCATTTGTAAGAAAAGTCCGTTTCCTGTTGATTTATAATACCAAAGGTAAATTAGGTATTTCTACAGCCGTCCAGTAGACAAGTTTCCCCGGCCGAATATCCAGCATTGAGGATTCAAGTAACGAAAAGAAGTATAAATAGTTCTCCTATGCCCCTCAAATTGGAGTTCACATTTCCTCCATCACTACCAAATTTCAAATACCAGATCCAAATATACACACTCTCTCAATCACAATGGCTCGATACGCAGACGTCCACCTGAACCCCAATGGACCTGGGGATGCTCGTCCAACAGCCATTCAAATTGTCAAGGACGAAGGTGCGGAGGGCAAGCTAACTGGGAAAGTTATTGTTATCACAGGCACTTCTTCTGGGATAGGTATCGAGACAGCACGGGCTCTGTCTTTGACTGGCGCAAAGCTGTTATTGACCGCACGAGATTTGAACAAAGCGAAGACCGCTATGGAGGGAATCCTCGCACCAGGACGCGCTGAACTGGTCAAGATGGACAACAATTCATTCAGCAGCGTACGTGCCGCCGCAAAAGAGATTCTTCAGAAGTCGAACAACCAAGTCAACATCCTTATTAACAACGCCGGTATTATGGCTCTGCCTAAGCTAGAGCTTACAGAAGATGGCTTTGAAAAGCAATTTGGAGTCGATCATCTATCTCATTTCCTCCTATTCGAGCTTCTCAAGTCAGCTCTCCTTGCCAGCGCCAGCCCTGAACTCTCATCTCGAGTCGTTGTTGTCGCTTCGTCTGCCCATCACGTAGCATCGATCAACGAATCAGGCAACTACAATTTCGAGAAGACTGATTACAATGAATGGGTTGCATATGGGCAAGCCAAAACCGCCAACATCTACATGGCCAATGAAATCGAACGGCGCTACGGAACCAAAGGGCTTCACGCCACAAGTCTTCATCCTGGAGTAATTGCCTCAACGGGGCTCATGCAGTATATGGACCCTGCAATGGTAGAAAATTTGAAAAAGGACAAGGGTGCATACAAAATAATGAAAACGCTAGAGCAAGGCGCTGCAACAACAGTGCGGGCCGCCATTGGAAAAGAATGGGAAAGTAAGGGCGGAGAATATCTTGCTGAGTGCGCAAAGACAACCCGTGGGAATGACAATCGCGAGATTACAGGTGCAGGGTTTGCAGGGCATGCTTACGATCCTGAAGCTGAGGCTCGACTTTGGAAAGATTCGTTGGCAATGGTGGGTTTGAAAGACGATCAGTAAGATGGACCTTCTCTCTTGATTCAGGAGCGTCGGCGATAAATCTTTCTGACAGTTTTATTCAATGAATATTAAACCGCTTTACTTTCAACTACTTCTTAGCTTATTTTATGTTTTGTGATCCCATTTCATACAAGTAATCTCCGTGGCCTTTATCACTGAAACGCTCCACATTGTGATCCAAAGTACACTTAAAGAGTTATAACTTCTCCTCTAAAGAGTGATGCATTGCTTTCCCCTCTGGTGTATGTTCGATGACGAAGTAGAACCGATAACCTTCAGCAGTGAACTCGGTCATTAAAATATCTTTCGAATCAAAAATCAAGCACTAGATCTTCCGATTTCAAGCAGGAGAGATTGTGGGAGAATCTGAGAGGTCAAGCTATTCGTACTTCCCAAAAACAAAATAGCAACTTACGAATGTGTTTACATTATTATCCTTATGGATAAAAGGTTTCTTAAGGGCACTGGCTCAATGGAGCTGATGAAGCAAACTCCGCGATATAGAATGTAAGGCGCTTTCCTTACTTCTAAGGGCTCTTAGAAGAAAGACATTGTGTGTATAATGGAGACATCCTGCCACGCTCAGAATTGTCACATACGCTTTGTGCTAGAATGGTGCTTTCATCAATCTCGCTCTTGGGATTGGCAAGGCTCTTAAGTGAGAGTGGCTCGCAAGGAGAGTTAATCCGAGAGCACAAGTCCATTGCAAAATATTTCTATTAGAGAACGTCATTTCAGTCTTACTCAATATATCAGCGGTTCATAAAGTAATAGAATAGCTCCATTGATTCCTCCCCAATTTCACATCGTTGATCTCTTTTGCAATTCAAAACCTATGGACCCTGCGCATCATGTTAATAGTGATCATTCTTTAAACTCCCTAAAGTCGCAATGATTCAAGAGTTCAATCCCAACTCTAATCTTTACTCTACCCACAAATTCTTCCATCTAAACTTCTCATCTCTCAATATACCGAATTTAGAAATTTCTCTCAAAACTCGAAACTTTCATTGCTTTCCCAAACCGCCTTTTAACATTGCATTCCTCAACTTACTACCTCTGCAGGTGTATAAATCATTGACACGATTGAAACTGCACATGATATTGGATGTTGGCGAGGTGCTGCTAGAAGGGAATTGGGGACCTATTCGATGATCTCTATTCGGCCGATCAGCTTGCTACAGAATCTGCAAGACTTACACAAGAGTCGAAGTCCCAGCATCTTTAGCAAGAAGATTACTGCAACCAAGTGTGATGTGATGCCGGACAAAAATTTAAGCAAAATCGTAAGCAATGCCACCCAAGCCCGTTAAATGAACGCTACACGATTGTCATTCCCGGCCATTCTTTTGACGGACTACAAGCAAGGAGGCCGCTGACTGTTGAGCCTAAGGTAGAGTGTGCCGCATTGGCTCGAAATTCAGGCCCATCGGGTGATCGTGCTCGTATGCTGGTCATCTATTCTATCTACGAAGTCTTGACTCTTGTAGTCAAGTTCCGGACCAACTCCATTCAATAGCGTACAGATTAATGTTGTTCCTGCTGAGGATATTGAGTATCGACCATTTGATTGAATTTGTCAGGAGTTTAACCTATCAATTCCACCGTGGTTAACTTTAAAACTACATAGAGTTTTGTACCTGGATTGCTGTTATCATCCGATCAGGGACAGCATGATAACTCTCTTCCCGATTCGACTCCAGAGTGTTGCTAAACTCGCTGCCGCTGGAATCATCGCCATGGCTTCTCAGCTTTTCATGAACTGACTCTGGGGATGAACAGTTTGTATAAAACAAGAATAGGAAACCATTAAGGTCAATAGAATAAAATGCACATTAACAACATCTAATTATTGGAGGTGTAATTGCCCTCGTTGAAATAGATCATTTCTGCTTTCGAGAGGGCCATCGAGCTCACTTTTCTCCTCTCTCGGGGGTATGGAAATCAATCGATTGCATCTGAGAGTTACTATAATTTCTGTCTCGATAATTTATGGATACCGAGATCGGAGTCAACTCATGTGATCACATTTATTGAAAGTAGATCACGTTTTTCAGCCCCTGATCTAATGCTGTGAAAACTTTTCACGGCGACGGCGACATCCTAAACTATTATACTGTAAACAAGACTGGACAACTTCTTCCCCGGAGATGTAATATCTTTATATGTCGCATTCTTGCAGAAAATATTCAATCACTTTACCTTATTAAGGCTCGGGGACACCGAAATCTTTTCCAACGCCCTACCTGCATGCATATGATTTTCTCTTTTACTCCGTACTCTCATAATCTCCATGTTCCTTCCCCGCAATTTTACAATTCATTGCTCGATCACATCGAGTAAAATAGCAGCCTTATCTGTATTACTTATCTATCTTCTATCTTTATCGACACTATCACAGTCTCGGTGAATCCACCCGACGTTGTCAGATAACGATGTGCCTGTTGATAGGTCTCGCTAGAGATGATCAACAGCTAATATGATACACCAAGTTCTAGTCTATCCATGATCAAACGACTACCTAGGTAATAAAAATCATTCTAAATCATGCGGAGCTTATGATTTGAGAGGATTCAGACAAATCAACAGGGAATCCAGCCATCAATCACTCATTCACATCATGAAAACGTATTGATCTGGGCACCAAATTGTAAAAATGGTTCATCATATGAGATCATGATCCTGGATCTTGCAGCGTGGGGTCTGGGTTGCGTATCTCTCGTATCTTTGGTACTAGGGAAATGGTTTGGAATATGCTTTTCTAATGGCCCTTGCCTTTGGATTAATTGTCTTGGTTGGCGAAATGTACCTGCACGGGAGAGGATTCCAAAGATAAGAAGCAATTGTAGATGATTCACTTACATGACAATACTAGGCCAGGTACCTTCCCTCTATCGGGGGATTTCGAACCGGTAAACTGGGACAAGAAACTAATAAACTTAACCCAAGTCGACAAATCGAGCGACAGTTTTGATCTAGTCTCCTGTGCGATTATACTTCTTTTTCACATTGTGTAGGGATTCAAAGAATTTTTTATGCAGCTACAGAGAAGGCAAAAAGAGTTTAGAAGATCATAAGGCGAGAAAGATCATAGACGGCATCCAGGGCCCTTGTCTATCCAATAATCTATATAATAGATGCAATGCCCGCCTTCAGATTTGGAGGTGAAGAAACCAAGAACACTGCCGGTACTAGACCAGACGACGAAAGCACGCCGTTAATTTCTACCAGTGGTTCGTCGAAGAGCCAAGAAAGTGCAACCGGTACAACGTTACTTCATAACCCCTCTTCCTCCTTGCATTCTACAAATACATCAACCTCCTCTCCCAGACGCCTCTCTTCTTCCTCTTCTTCAGATATTCATTTCAGAGATATTGTATTTCACTCTTCGGACGAATCGGGCGGCTGGTTTCTTGATTTCATCATGGAGAAAGTTAAAAATACGAAGATTGGCTACTGGGCCGATAAGTTGGCCGTAGAGGCCGAACCTGGATTGACCAACGCTCAACTCATGTTAAACAATCATGATTTGAAGCCTGGTAAGTAATTCTTATTTTTGGATGAGTACTCAGACACTGATATCTTTTTAGTCGAACCAGAACGTAGACAATGGGGAACCTGGAATTTCGTAGGATTTTGGATCGCGGATTCTTTTAATATCGTGAGCACCAATGAACATTTCTTGCCCAGAAGTAAGATTTTAACATTGCGACCAATTAGAACACATGGATGATATCATCGAGCATGATTGTCGGCGGATTATCGTGGTGGCAATCATGGCTTTGTGTATGGATTGGATATTCAATTGCAGCCTGCTTCATTGTATCCACGGCAAGAATTGGCGCCACTTATCATCTTTCCTTTCCCGTTATTGCTCGATCGTCTTTCGGTATTTGGGGTGCTCTATGGCCCGTGTTCAATCGTGCAGCCATGGCTTGTATTTGGTATGGAGTGCAGGCTTGGATTGGAGGAGAGTGCGTTCAATTGATGATCGCTGCAATTTGGCCATCGTGGCAGCCCGATGGCAAGATCCACAATGGAATCCCTAATTCTGGAACAAACACTGTGATGTTTGTGTCATTCTTCCTTTTTTGGTTCTGCTCGCTTCCCGCAATCTGGTTTCCAGTCCACAAAATCCGTCATCTGTTTACAGTTAAAGCATATGTGGTACCAGTTGCAGGCCTTTCATTCTTCATCTGGGCTATAGTTCGCGCAAAGGGTCTCGGTCCGATCGTCAAACAAGGGAATGCAAGCCATGGAAGCAAGTTGGGCTGGGGAATGGTCACTGGAATTATGTCCTCCATCGCCAACTTCGCAACTCTCATTGTCAACGATCCCGATTTCGCACGTTTTGCACGAAAGCCCAGGGATGCTTTCTGGTCGCAACTCATCACTATCCCTGTCGGTTTTGCCGTTACATCTTTCGTTGGCATTATTGTCTCCTCATCTTCAACCGTCATCTTCGGTAAAGCCATCTGGAACCCCCTGGAACTTCTCCAATCATTCTTAACCGAAGGGGGATCTGGAAATCGCGCCGGTGTATTTTTTATCGCAACTGCATTTGCGCTCGCCCAACTCGGTACCAATATCGCAGCCAATTCCGTATCTGCAGGTACAGACATGACAGCTCTCCTCCCCCGCTACATCAACATCCGTCGCGGCGGTTATGTTTGCGCTCTTGTCGGCCTCGTCATGTGTCCATGGAATCTTCTCTCAACCTCCAACAACTTCACCACTTATCTCTCCGCCTACTCCGTCTTCCTATCTTCCATTGCTGGTGTTATCATCTCAGATTACTACTTCGTTCGTAAGGGCTACCTGCAAGTTCGAAACCTGTATTCCGCCAAGAAAACCTCTCCATATTACTATACGGCAGGTATTCACTGGAGAGGCTACGCTGCTTACATCGCCGGTATCCTCATCAACATTGTCGGATTCGTAGGAGCAATTGGTAAGAAAGTTCCAATTGGCGCAACATATATCTATAATTTAAACTTCTTCTGCGGATTCATTGTCGCGTCAAGCGTGTATTGGATTCTGTGCAAACTCTTCCCTGTACCCGCTACAAGCGATGTATGGATGGAAGTCGGAGAAGAAATCGATGATCCTAGCATGGCGTACAATGCGGAGGAAGGAAGCGAATTTGAGGAGTCGGGCAAAGGTGGACGGGAAAATGTAAAGATCATGGGAAGTGGAAGTGGAAAGAAGAGTGATGTGGATTTAGAGGCTTGAGATTGAGAGATCTCCGTTTGATATTTTGTTTTTTTGTTTTTTTGTTCTGAAATTTGAGCGTGGGTGTTTAGAGGTCATGAATTGTACCTACCTATGTACGCATGGATTGACATAGCATTATGAAATTATGAGACTCATAGAATATCATCGGTATAATGGTATCTATGAGGTAGAGTGTAGATAGACGATAGAGAAAGTACCTATGAATCGCTACCCTGACTCGATTTTGAATTTGTTCCAGAAGTCTCTCACTTGATTTTGATGTTTACTGGTGAACGAGTACCGGATTGATTAGCTTACCTACCTAGGCAGTGGGGCTTCTCAATCATTGGTCCAAATTGTTTGGTATACAACAGTCTCAATATGGATAAATCCATTACAAGTAGGTGGGTATCCTACATTCATGTTCTTACAGTATACTTTTCTGAGATTGTTTCATCGAAATTGAGGTGGCTGAGAGCCGGCGGTCCGTCTACTCCGTCTACTCCGTCTAGGATACGAATTGTATCATTTCAAATGTTACGGCACTTACAAGTACAGGGCAGCTATACTGGTGTAGTATCTATCTGATTGCAAGTAACACAATAATTACTAGCTATGCTAGATACATATATATGTATGGCACGATGACCTATGCATCATAAGTGTACACTACGGAGATTTTAAGACGTGAGATTGCAATGGGACTCAAGTTGTGATGAACGATGGCGACAGCTTGCTAGGAAGATGAAGAAGTTCATTCATAATTGCCGGCGTGGGAGCACCGGGGTAAGTGTGGGGAAGATGCGGAATGAACTCCCGGTGATCCTGGTGAAGTTTGTCTCGGTGAAAGATAGAGTTTCTATTGGACTCCCGGTGAACTTTATTTTTGAAATTCGAGAATGGGGATATCAGAAGTTACTGATCAGCGCTGTGAAGAACGAGGATGATTTTCTGCTCATATTGATCTCTATGTTGGAAGTCTTTTATGATCTATAAAATGGTGTTTTGAAAAGGTTGAGATGAAAGTACATAAAATAGTAGACACTCGTAAATTATATCAAAGCTCCACGAGTCTGAGAAACAGTGACGTCATTGAAGTAAATGCGGCCGCCTGTCACATCCCATTATACCTACATATCTTAAACGCGACATTTAATCCAACTTCAACACGACAATGTAACATCAGTCAATATGTGTGGAAGATACGCTCTACACCTGGTAAGTCATAAAAATCAACTGGTTGGTAAAGACCTTGCTGATATTACAAAGCGACCTTCAGAGGTGCGCCAATATCTCGAAAATGAGAATATGCCGGTTGAGGAAGCGCCAGATGATGAAGGTGATGGCGCACCGAGGCAAAGCTATAATTTTGCGCCGGGGTATCATGGCATCGTTTATCGGGCTAATGTACCGGATTGGGGCGCGGGATCGAGACATCATAAGGAAGGTGTCGATGAGACTGAAAAGAGATCCGCCACCGAGCTAGAAACTTCCAAACTGGATGTGACTGAGCAAGAGGAACACACGAATGAGGCAGTCCAGTATAAACTGCAGAGTATGAAATGGGGCTTGATACCATTCTGGACGAAGCGTAACCCGGATTATGGATCGATGATGAAAACTATTAATTGCCGTGACGACTCTTTGATTGAGAACCGAGGAATGTGGAATATGATGAAGCAAAAGAAAAGGTGCATTGTTATTGCAGAGGGATTTTACGAGTGGTTGAAGAAGGGAAAGGAAAAGGTTCCTCATTATATCAAGAGGAAGGATGGTCAGCTATTGTGCATGGCAGGGCTTTGGGATGTCGTTCAATATGAAGGCTCGGATGAGAAACTTTATACTTACACCATCATCACAACGAGTTCGAATAAGCAGTTGGATTTCCTACATGAAAGGATGCCAGTAGTCCTTGACAACGGTTCAGAAGATCTCCGCACTTGGCTTGATCCAAAAAGATCATCATGGACAAAAGAACTTCAATCTCTCCTAAAGCCGTATGAAGGGGAATTAGAGATCTACCCAGTTGTCAAGGAAGTGGGAAAGGTGGGCAATGATTCTCCTAATTTCATTGTTCCAGTAGCAAGCACGGAAAATAAGTCCAATATTGCCAATTTTTTTGCTAAAGGGGGGAAGAATGATGCAAAGGCATCATCTAAGGCATCATCTAAGCCTTCGGATGCAGACGCACCTCGGAAGATCAAAGAGGAAGAAACAAAAGATACACCAATCAAGGAAGAGCGTACAGATACAGATGGTCGCGAAACTGTCGATCAAAATGGGTGTGAGGATAATGCGCCATTACCAGTGCCCAACTTAGAGAACAAACATGGAATAAAACGCGAGCTTGACAACGTTGATACTGAAGAGCCGCCCAAAAAATCAATACGCTTTTCTGCAAGTTCCGAAAAAGATTCTCCGCCTGTGGCATCAAATAGGAAGACTAGGAGCGCTACTAGCAACAATTGTGGAAGCCCGAAGAAATCTTCTGGTCAGAAAAGGGGAAGTCAAAAGATCACGAATTTCTTTAGCAAATGAGGTTAATAAAGGCGTCACTGCAACGTGACTCAGGGGTTACCTGAACGTGGCGAGATGACATGGAATTTTGTGCAGGTTATTTACCGCAATTCGGTAACTGAAGATCGTATTATGGAATTGGCAGGTAACTCGGTATGTCTAAACTTATCGATTCCTGCGCCAAGAATCAATTCGAGCATTTCCCCTTCCACACACGCCATTTCTAAGTTCGGCGAATTAATGGAGCTGCAAGATGGTCGATCCTTACAGGCGGGTAATAATGCTAAAAGCTTTTCCCCATAAACTAACTGGGTCATGAGACGCTGTACAACCTTACTGAAGTTATTGTGCAACCGAATTTCAACCTGAACTTTTTCAAAGAACACATCGTTCACGAAGGATAAAATGTATAGAGTATGATCTATTTCGAACTCGCGGAAGCAAATATACACCGCCGGTGTAGCTTTTGTTACTACTATTATAGTTTTCCTGCACGGAACTAATTTTCCACGTATGGCCAAACATTGACGTCGCCATTTCAATACATGATGATGCAGCTACTACTTCACAGAACATGTGATGCAAATAGCCGTTCAGTTCGTATTTGTCTAGAGGAGCCCTATTGAATTTCGCACATGCACCCCTAATATTGCGGGGTCCCCAGATTTCTAAGCGTGCTAAATCGTCTATGGACGGAAAATCTACGAGTGTACAGACCCACCAACCTAAGTGTTAAATAAGCTTCATCTATGTTGCTTGGCGTGTACAAAGATACCTTGATGCGCACTTTCTTGGCTCGCTCGATGTTGTGTTTGACTTTGCTGGATGAAACAAGAGAGAGAAGTGTTGTTGTTGTATTGTGATGAGGAAGATTCTTCATTCGTGGAATCGAGTGTGTCTAGAAGCGCCGTCGATCGTGAGCGAATTTGATGAGCGTCACTGGATACGTTTTCCGTACTGAAGGTCTTCCGTGAAGATTTGCACGGCTGCGGTTGTACTGACATCAAATGGATTCAGACCTCATTTGACGATATGGGGGTTGAACGAGAAGTCAAAAATATATAAAGGAGAAGCAGATTCCACGAGATTCTCATTCTTCACAAATCACTTAACTCAAGGCAAAGGAAGAAGTTAGTAGCTCTACAATCAATCTTTCGAATCTATCTTTCCGCAACGAACTTTCTGAATATCTAAACATGAAGCTCTCCATTCTCTCCACAGGACTCGCAGTCCTTGCACAATTTGTCTCTGCTGCTCCAACACCAACTGAAGGTGATGCTATTGCTGAGCGTGCAAACATCGCTAAGAGAGCTTCTATCACCGATGTTGCCACTACCGGCTTTGCAACCCAAAACGGCGGGTAGGTAATTCCTCAATATCGCCTTTGTACCTTACTAAAATTCTTTCAGAACCAAAGGAGGAGCAGGTGGCGCAACCACCACTGTTTCTACACTTGCTCAATTCACAGCAGCAGTAACCAACGATGAAGTTGCAAGAGTTATTGTCGTTAGCGGTACCATCTCTGGTTCTGTCAAAGTTAGAGTTGGATCCAACAAGACAATCGTTGGAAAGAAAGGAGCTAGTATGTTCCGTCTTTGCAAAAACATATTCTAGACAGCGCTAATGAATTTCTAGCTCTCATTGGAATTGGTCTCTATATCAACAAATCCACAAACGTCATTGTGCGAAACATCATTAGTCAAAAGGTCCTGGCTGCCAATGGTGATGCTATTGGTATTCAAGCAGCGAAGAATGTTTGGATTGATCATGTGTTCGTGCTTCCAAAAATCTAGAACAAAAATAAAACCTAACTTACCTCCCAGCGATGTCTCCTCCGATCTCATCCACGGCAAAGACTACTACGATGGTCTCATCGACGTCACCCACGCCTCTGACTGGGTCACCATCTCCAACTCATACATTCACGACCACTTCAAGGCTTCTCTCATTGGCCATTCCGACAACAACGCTGATGAAGATACTGGACATCTCACCGTTACTCAACACAACAACTACTGGTCCAACATCGGATCCCGCACTCCTTCTTTCAGATTCGGAACCGGCCACGTATTCAACAGCTACTTCTTGAACGCCAACACCGGTATTGACACCAGAGACGGTGCACAAATCTTGGTTCAAAGCAACGTTTTCAAGAATGTCAGTGAGCCAATCGCTGCGCTTTACAGTGATGACACTGGGTATGTTTTTCTTTCTCTCTCTCCTCTCCCTTATTCCTGTCTCCTTGTCAGTTTTACTCACACAAAAACAATAGATACGCAAACGCATTCGACAATGATCTCGGCGGATACGCCAACACAGCCCCAGTCGGTAAATTGACCACCACTTCCCTCCCATACTCGTATTCCTTGTTGGGTAGCGGAAATGTCGTTGCTGCTGTTGTAGGCTCTGCAGGTGCTACTTTGGCTTTGTAAGCGGGCTTGCGAGCGAGCGTGCTAGCCGGAGAGTTCTAGAAGAATCTCAGAAGGCGTGTAGAGATTGGAAAATGATGGAAGAGAGGGTTACGAGATTTAGGGTGGCTTGGGGAATGAAGATGTTTTTATTCTTGTGGATAAGTAGTTTTCGATGAATGGATAAATGAATGGAGAGAGGCAGGGAGGAACGTAAATAGTTCAGCAATACGATCGTTATATTTTCTAAACATGACTTGACCTTTTTAAGTTTTTTGTATTCCATATTTGTGATTGTGTAACACATGTACGTCGTCTTGCAATTTGGAAATTCACAACTGTGGTTAAAAACTTAGAAACTTACAAACAGCTTGCTAGCTACTCCATTTGCGGAGCTCGGAAACACCCTCTTTTCAAACATCTGTTTCATCCTTCGAATTCCATATAGAGTAGTGTAATAGAACGTGGATGCAAAATGGATCATTAGGGGGAAGAAGATATCGTGTGTCGCCTGGTTCTTCTTTTTGACTACGAGGGTATGGGTAAGTACTGCGTGGGACATCATATGTTTTCTTGGAACATTCATTGTTTATCTTCTATGCGAGACTTGTAGATATATAGTACTTTGCTTATTATGCTTCTAGATACATATAGAGATGTCAGGATAAGTTGTCCACTAAGCGCCTACACGAGTGTATCATGGCTATTGAGTGTTGTAATCTCTTATTCTGATGTACAATCTATGTGATATCTAAGTCGAAAGTTGACTTAATATTTGTTAAGATTTGTAGCAGATAGGAGGTTCAGTGGATGGGAACTGGTTTCGAGCGATTGAGATAGGGGTTTATGCATGGGATACAATGATTAGCGAATCAATATCTTCACAAATATGGGAGCAAGAGCTGAAGATGCGGATAAATGTAAGATTTGAAGAGGCGGAAAGAAGTATTAATTTTTTTACCCAAAGAGCTTTGTTTCTATCTGTTTTATCCCAACGTATCTATCATCAAGCGTCCCCGATCCCAAACTTTTCTCTCTGAAATCGAATCAGTCGATACGTTCCAGCCAGACTCCAAACCCATATCTCAGTCATGCAACCCGATCTAAAGCCCCTCTTTCGCCAACATATCCGCAATATCCAAATAAAAAGCAATGGCATTAAACTTCCTCACGTTCCCCGTCAACTCCCACATCAACCACCTCAACCTATTGGTCCAATTGATTAAATCCAAATGACTCACGTCCACCAAAGTCCCCTTATAAGTGCCCCAACGACTACTCTCCACACTAACCAATCCATCATTCGGCCCCTCAACTTTCTCCACTATCCCATGACTCTTATGAAACGCACTCCAAAGCTTCGGATCGCAAGACGCCCCATAGCTGAAATATCGCACACTCTTATCATCCGGCGTATTCGGATTGAACTCTTCGCTCATATATTTCCTCGTCAACTGCGTAAAAGCCCCCGTACTAATCCCCACCTCATTCAATTTCCTAATCAACCCCGGTATCATCCCATGCCACCAACTCTCATCGAAACAATAATCCGCAAACGCGCTGCCGCGATGAGGCGTCGCGATCGTCGTCAAACTCAGCACTTCCACATTCGGCGGCTGCAACCGAGATATCATAAACCGTGCATCTAAACCTCCCATACTATGCGCAATAATATTCACGCTCTTCCCATTCGCCTTCGCGGCAATATCTTCCCCCAATGCCGCAGCGCGTTCTTCGATGCTACCAGAAGCGGGAACAGAGGCGATAATCACTTCAATACCTTTTGCACGAAGAGCATTCGTTATACCGCGCCAATATTGTACTGCGGGGAGAAGACTACCTGCGATGCGAACTTCGTCGAACCCGAAGAGACCGTGTGCGAGAACAATTGGATGTTTAGGTGTAGCTAATCTCATTAGTGTCCTGACTTATATTACATCGAGGAGGGGTGCGAGGGGAAATACCATAACAATCTCTAATCGTAGCAAAATCATCCTCAATCGCCCTCCCAATATCGCTAACCTTCGGATCCGCATTTCTCATATCCTTTTCTTTCTCATGTTGTCGAACATTCGACGTATGGATTCCCGCTGCATGAATAAACGATGTACGTGGTTGAGGAATACGTTTCTGTGAAGTATGAATGGCTGAATTATGTATATATAATTGGGAATTTGTCGTTAGGGTAGAAAGTTTACTGGGGCGGGAGGTATTGAAGGAGAGCATTATAGGTCGTTTGGCTCGTGGCACATTGTGAAATGGACATCTTATCGATGCTACACGAGCGACCGGAAATGTCATAATTGGATATTATACATTGAGTTTGGCTAAAATTCATTGCCATTTTGAAAAAAGTCGAGGTGGAAAGAAGAAGGTGCTTGATAGCGTTCGCGGGGCTAGATTTTTGTTGGTAAAACTAGTGACGTAGATGGAAACATGTGATTGGCCTTGAGGAGCGGAACGGGCCTTTGCTAAAAATAGTCGCATTAGACGCAGCTAAAGTCGAGATCAAGATCAATATCATTATCAATATCCACAAGATTGTATAAGATTCGTAGGTATGGATAATTTAGCATATTGAGCACATATTCTGAACCATAATGAGAAACAGAGGATATCTTTGTTGTTGAATCGCAAGCTAGTCTATACACAGGTTATCATCAATTGCCTCTTCACCACAGCGGTAACTTCAATACAACTTCCATCACGGTGGAGAACTAATAGTCTTTACCACCACAACCGTCTCCCCTTACAATTTCGCATTGCTCAGCCTCTTCCCCCAAACAAACTCAAGATTGAGTGCCCTATTTTGGTCCTTCAACACGTTGAGGTACAACAGGCTTAACATCGAAGACTGCCTTCAACAGGCCCGAAATAACCTGGCCCTCCCCCTTCTTGCCTGCCTCCTTGATCTCCTTCAACTTGATCTCAGCATCCTTGTTGGCATCTTCTTCTGCCTTCTTGTTGCCGCTCGTGTGCTAGATCCAACAAGTTAGAACCTCAAATCGTTCCTAGCTCGAGTGCTTTCCCCATTCCCCAGATGCAACGTACCTCTGCCTCAAACTTCTTGAACTCATCTTCCTTTTCCTTTCTATACGCATCAATTTCCTTCTTTGCCTCGTCTCTTGCTTCCTTTACACGTTTTGTGCGGTCTGCATCGCTATCAGCATTGCCTCATCCTGCAAACATAGTATCGTCGTAGGTATCAACTCACATTCTCTAGCTGTAGATAGAAACGTTAGCATATAATTTAAACTTCACCAACATCCTAGGATTCCATCTCACCTTTCTGAACAATCTTCTGCGCATCTCTCTCTGCCTAACCTCTCAATCAGTATCTCCATCCTCCTCTCATCATCCCAGAGCCCAAACATACATCAAGCAACGTCTGAATACCCGCCGAATTCTGTGCCGACTGTCATCTTACAATTAGCAAAGCACTCATAACCCAACCTCCATCCCATCCATGCCCATTTGACATAACCCTGACCCAGATCATCGGACTAAACATACCATCTTCAAATCCGACTGTTCTCTGCACAAACAATACAATAAGTTCAAGGAATCTTCTCTTTCAAAAATCAATCGTGTCTTCGAATCGTTATCAGCGTCGCGCAAGAAGAAAGTGGAGAGTTAACGTTGGATTTGGAGTGGTTCAAGCTTAGATAGCTCCAACAGATGCAACAAGCTCTCCTAGTGCACTGTAGAGACCCCTGTCCGGCAACTTCCGTCTGCGCCTATCGCATCGATTGCAGCTTCTCAAATCACTCCACCATTCTAGAATTTAGATATTCGTCTTCTTCGTACTGAACATTATATACTTGTAGACATTTTGAGTTACTTCTCATAATACCTATAAGGGGTTCCCGAAAAATTAGCCCAATGTCTCGCGCAGCAAAATTAACACTCTTCGGCACTTCACTATTCGCCGCCGGCACTATTGTCTTCGTACATTATGCGCAGACGGCCGAGAAAGCTGTATGTTCTACCTCTCGATTCCACCTCCGTCCCATTTCCAGTCTCAGCTGCACATATACTAAAACAATATACAGGCAATGCACGCAGGCGTAATCCGAGACATGGAACAACAGCGCATAAAAAAAGAGCGGCAGTTGGATTTCGATTTGCAGCGGGCGATGGAAGAAGAATATAGGAAGGTGCAGAATGTTAGTGATGGGACCACGAGGTGATATTGCTCTGCGGCTTCAGACGAGTGTACGTGTTCTGTTTAGGTATTACGAATCATGGTACTTGTTTGAACAATGAACGAGAGGGAGATGTATATTACAAACTTGGGTACACGGCGACAAAAATTAGGGATCAATATGTATGAGTAGGTATGAAATTGAAATGCTGGAAGTCCTAGAGTATGATTGCAGCATGTATCCATGAATGGCATGATCTAAGGGACATATTAAGTCCTGTACAAATGGGTCATAAAAAAGATTCGAGAGAATTTTTGAAGAGAACCTTAACAAAAACAAAAGAGATCAAGTCACAACATCGATCAAATTTTCAGTTATTATCTTGTTCTCTATGCCTAAAGAAAAATCTTAATATGATACAGCAGCACCATTCAATTTCACGATGCGCGCCCAATATAATGCTTTTCTGTGCATCTTCGGCACTGTGACGTAGAATATTTGGCAGAATATTTCTGCGAACGAGAAACGCAACCAAACTTCTTCATCCTATGCAAATAATTTGAATGCCCCTTCTTAATGGTCACAATCTTTCTTCCATCCCAAACGCCACGATATGCAAAGCTTTCCCCAGCCACGAAATTCATAGTCTACCCCCATCCAGTCGTAATTAGATCGTACAAAATCAGCGCACCGTAATGCCAGATCTCTTTGTGAACATTCTTGTGGCAATATTCATTGCTGCTAACTCTTGGAAAAGTAATTTAGCGGCGTACGGGATGTGAATTTGGGAAATCTTTGTCTTATTCTTGCAAGGACGACACTCGAAGGAACCAGTGTTGATTTTACTATAATTAGGTCAGTATAACTCTTTTTCCGGTTAGCACATAAACTTACGCAATTGGTGTCATGAGTCCACATATATCACAAATATGAACTCTGAAAGCATCCGAAACCTCAAACAATCTCTCCTTCAGGAAAGCACTAGCACCGTGAGAAATCATACAATCACGTTCCATCTCTCCGAAACGAAGACCGCCATCTCTAGCACGACCTTCCACAGGTTGTCTGGTTAAAATTTGTACGGGACCTCTGGCACGTGCATGAATCTTGTCGTCGACCATGTGACGCAAACGTTGGTAATATGTGGGACCAAGGAAGACTTGGGCCATCATCTTACGACCAGTGTGACCGTGGTACATAATCTCGAAACCACGAGAATGATAACCATGTGCACGGAGAAGCTTAGAGACAGAATCGACAGTGACTTCGGTAAATGGTGTAGCATCACCCTCAAGTCCACGCAGAGTAGAGACCTTACTCAATTGGCACTCGATCAAATGTGCAATTGTCATACGAGATGGAATAGCGTGGGGGTTGATAATAAGATCTGGGACTACACCCTCTCTAGTGAACGGCATGTCTTGTTGCATATATGTAATACCGATAGTACCCTTCTGTCCGTGACGCGAAGCAAATTTGTCACCAATTTGGGGGATTTTGGTAGTTCTCATTCTGACCTTGACGAATCGGAGACCTTCGGCATTGGTCGTAATAAGTACCTGATCAACAAGACCACTCTCGGTGCTTCGAAGAGGTGTAGATGCATCGCGCTTGACATGAGCTTTTGTGCGCTGACCCATTTCCTCAGAGTCAGGAGCAATTGGTGCAGTCTTTCCGATAATGATATCGGCACCAGTGACACGAACACCAGGAGCCACGATTCCATCATCGTCAAGTTTGTCATATGTACCCTGCTTGAGTTTAAGAGTATCGGATCTATAAGGCTTTTCGAATTGTTCCACAACATTCATACCAATACGCTTTTCTTGATCCGTGTAGGCTCGATAGAACAAACTTCGGAACAATCCACGATCAATACTACTTTGGTTCATAATAACGGAATCTTCTTGATTGTAGCCAGAGTAACACATGATAGCAACAATGGCGTTTTGACCAGCGGGCAGTTCTCTGAACTTTAAAAACTCCATAGAACGTGTAGTGGCGAGAGGCTTTTGAGGATAGTATAAGATATTGGCCATAGTATCCATGCGAACATCAAAGTTAGTGAGGAAAACTCCCATAGCTTGTTTACCCATAGCGGATTGATAACAGTTACGAGGAGACTTTGTAGCAATAGAATTAGCCTTGAATGAATGAATTCATTGAACTTAAAGCTTACCTGATTGTGATCCGGGAAAGGAATAATGCTTGCGCAGATACCCAAAATCATACTTGGATGAATTTCACAATGAGTCCAGACATGGGCAGTTGGATTGATAGGTGCCTTGACACGCTTGTTCAAATCACCGCTTTCATCAGGACGAATTTGATAACCAGCCTGAAGTTGTCGAGAAATGTCAAGATCTTCAGGTGTCATGGTAATCATGACGGTCTCTTCCTCCTCAGCGTCCAGATACTCAACCACACCGTCATTAATCAAACCTTGGAATCCATAGTATCCGTTTTTTACTTTATCGTCCTTATCCATATTTGCTGGCAGCATCTGATCCTCCTCCAGACGGCGAATGTGCTCCTTGTTCAATACCAAGTTACCTTTGTTGGCGCTGTCAGGGTCGTTGTCAATAACCAATAAAGGTCTGCACACTCGTCCTGCATCGGTGAAAATCTTGAACTCTCTGTCTCGAATTTCTCGAATGAGTGAAACTTCGTGAGAGATCAAGTGTGATCTACGAAGGTCTTGGACACATTTGACCAAATGAGCAGGATCTCGATGAATACCAACCCAAACACCATTGACGAAAACCTTTGTTGCGTTGGGTGCTCGAAGTGGTTCATACTCCTCCAATACTTCCATGTTTCGTTGAATCATGAACTCGACGATTGGATCACTCGGCGTACCAACTGTAACGTAACACATCAAAGCCAAATTCTTAACCAAACCACAAGCTTGACCTTCGGGCGTCTCTGCCGGGCAGACCAAGCCCCAATGTGTATTATGCAGTTGTCTAGGTTTGGCGATCTTTCCATCACGTCCAATGGGTGTATTGGTTCGGCGCAAATGAGAAAGTGTTGAAGCAAAGGTATATCTGTTCAATACTTGAGACACACCAGCGGTAGAACTTGCTGCCTTCTTCTGATCACCCCAGTTACCTGTGGCCAAAGAATATTTCAGACCGTTTGTGATTGTTGTGGATTTCACACCCAAAGTCAAATTGAACTCTCGGTTATTTTCCACGCAACGCTGCAAGTATCTGTACACATCGGTTGTTAATCTACGGAACAGATTTCTGAACAATTTTGCAAGTAAAGGTCCAGCCAAATCCAAACGCTTCTTTCCGAAATGATCTCGATCATCAGTCTCCCGACGACCAAGAGCGCATTGAAGTAACTTATGAACCATGTAACCCAAGAAGAATGCCTTTCGGGTTTCGCTACCTTCCTTTTGGGAGATATGAGGAAGCAGCTCCTTCTGCATGATATCGCGGGCATATTTGATACGCTTATCACGAGTCAAAGATGTACCGTTGCCACGCTTTCCAATGAAATCGAGGGCAACTTCACGATCTTGGATGACGAAAGCTTCCTCAATACATGGCTTCAACATCTCGAGCATTTGAGTATCATTTCGATCGTAACAAATATGGTTCAAAATATCCTCATCAGATACAACACCAAGTGCGCGAAAGACGATGGCAATAGGGATGTCTGCCTTGATATATGGTAAAGTCGACTTGACAGTTTTACCAAAACCTCCTCGGTTGCTGTCACCTTTGTCGAATAATTTGATTTGCAAAGAAGAGATAAGGCGCGAACCCTTCTCCAGCGCACTTCGGATTTCAGCCAAGTATGACACTGCACTGTTCGCTGGCTTCTTGAAGACTTGAACAATGTTGGCGGCACTACGCTCTTGTGCGATCAGAACCTTCTCACTTCCGTTGATAATAAAATATCCTCCTTGATCGTAAGGGCATTCGTTCCATCCATAGAGTTCGTCTTCGTCGAGACCCTTCAATATGCAAAATTCCGACTTCAACATCATGGGCAATTTTCCGATATAAACTTGTTCTGGAAGTGGAGCACCTTTAGGGCCTTCTGGGTCACCATCCTCATATTCCCAGACCAATCGTGTAGGATGTTCTCCGCCATTCACCATCTCAGCTTCTTGTTCGTCATCAAGCTCGTTAAGAGGAACGGGTCGCTCTACGGCGACTTGAGTACTCTTCGTCATCTCTATGTAAAGAGGACTTGAATACGTAAGATTTCGCAAACGAGCTTCTTGTGGTAACATAACTTGTGTGCTTCCATCACCTTCGGTCATAGCCGGTCGAGAAAGCATGATGGTGCCGAACTTGATTTCATATCGACGGAGGGCGATAGGATTGTCGTGGGACGAAGGTGGATTGTTTTGGTCAAGCGTGAGCTGTGAATTCTCTTCGACAAGCTCTTGCATAGTAGTTTGGACGAATTCATCGAAAGAATCGAGTTGTTGCGAAACTAGACCTTTTGCTTCGAAGAAGGAAGAGATAACCGTCCAGCAGTCCTCTGCCGTGATACCTGCATCCTCCTCTCCATAATCATCATATTCGTATCCCTCTTCGTAATCAGCCATGTTGTATTAATTTGAACTCCACTATCTGTATGCGAATCGAGTTGAGTTCGGAAGTTTGATGGGATGCGGAGTTGTAGCTGGAGTTGTCGCAAAGGCAAAGTTGAGAGCTGTCGCCTCAAACAAAAGATTGGCGCGTCCCCCAGGACCAAAAAGGACCTTAAGAACAAAGAAACAATGGCATAAAGATCATACAAAAATTAGCTGAAAAATTTGGAGACTGGCACGATGATAGTGGTTTTTTTGATGTTGAGGCTCAAGTTTCAGAATTCAAGGTGAGATTAATGAAGGTACAGAAATAATTCGAGCTGGAGGAAGCCATTCAAAGTTGCCCAGGGCATATAAGCAAAAGTGTAAGCCGTAGAATTGCAAATTAAGCTTAGCTTTTTGAGACTAGCGTGAGGCTCGGACAAACTAATAGCCGATCCGAAGAACACCCCTTTACAGTATTCTCTGGCGAACCTTGTGAATGCATCCACCACTTGTCCAGTGATTGTTTAACCAGAACCAAGCAACTTATTCTCGAGAACACTACGAGTTGATCTATTTCAAAGTGTATTCTTCGTTTTTGGAAGCTCTGTTACTTGCATAGTCTCAATACCCAGGTACCTTGATATGACTGTGTTTGATGACTAGTTTGTTGACCTCAAGTGGTGATGAGAAACGATCAATCTTGTCAATGATTTTCTAAAGTTTAGGATTGGGTTGAACGGTAGGAACAAGTTTATTTGGTAATTGGAGCTAATTTAGTGGTCTGAATATTATATGGCTGCCAGCATTGAGCCTCTGACATCAATTGGACGGACTCTAGGTTACTTTCTGACGTTTATGAATATCCTTTTTCTCTTCCATCACTTATCATTTCATTGTTCCTTGTGTACATTTATTATTTTTAAATTGAGACAATACAATGCTTCTGATTCGCAAAGATACTGTTTGACTCTTGCTTGTGTATTATTTCAATTATTCTTTATATACACGTATATATATTCATACATATTCATCAAAATTGCTTACTGTTTCAACTCCTTTGCATGCTTCTCGTTGACCAAAACATAGCGGTAACGAGCTTTTCCATCCTCCATATCAACAACAGCTTGGTTTGCCTCCGATAATGGTCTCTCCTGAATAAAAGGATGGATATTATTTTTGGCAGCGAACTCCAACATCTCACTAATATCCCTTGGTGTACCGATTGCACTACCTCCAAGCTTTACTCCCTTTCCAATGAAGGCGAACATGTTCAAAGCTGGAATGACATCCTCTGGAGCTCCAACCTGAATGAATTCCCCTTTGGTTTTTAGCAATGAAAGATATCCAGCGATTGGCATCTTTGGGCTAGAGACGGTACAAACGATCAAGTCAAGAGATCTAGCGTTCTTCTTGGCCCAATTTTCGTCTTCATCTGTAGCAATGAATTTGGTGGCGCCCATCTTCTCTGCATCGGCTTTCTTTCCGCTTGATCGGGAGATTGCCACAACCTCTTTGCAGCCGAGACCTTTGGCCCATAGAAGACCAAAATGGCCCAAGCCTCCGATACCAACTATTCCGACTCGCTTGTCGGGCCCGGCTCCGTTGTTGACAAGAGGTGACCAAGTTGTGACACCTCCGCACAACATAGGAGCTGCTTCGGCAAGAGAAAGTCCATCGGGAATCTTGATAACAAAATGCGATGGAGCACGGCAGTAATCTGCATAACCGCCGTATGACTTGGAACCATCAGGATAAACTCCGTTGTAAGTTCCAACCATTTTTGTACAATGGTTCTCCATTCCACTCGCACACTCCTCGCATTCAGGCTTCAGACAAGAACTTGATTGTGCACCAACACCGCATCGATCACCAAGTTTAATGTGCTTTACGTTTTTCCCCACTTTCACAGCAGTACCAGCTAGCTCATGTCCGACGCAAGCTGGATAATTTGTCGCGCCCTATAGCCAAATCGTTATTCCCCACTTCTATAGTCCAAGAAAAGAATTACATACCCATCCAGATCTCAATGTATGAATGTCAGACCCACAAATACCGCAGTAGGCAATTTTGATATCGACATCATCCTCCGTCCAAGTCTTTGGCTCGAATTCTTGCCATACCATTTTTCCCTTAGCAGCATCCTTATCTAACGCCATCCATCCTTCAAATTTATATGAAGATGCCATTGTTTTTGCTTTGTGTAAGTCGTCGGATGGATTCAAAGAGTCTTTTAAGTGATTTGTAAGAGAGAGGATTCTATCTGTAGCTACAGAAGCAGGAGTCTTCGTGGGTGTAGACATGGTATATGTATTCAACGATCTAATCCAGGACACTACGCCTTGGTATGATGTGTATTGTTCTGAACTCCACTTTTTGCCAACCTCTATATTTCGGCCGAAGATTCCAATCCAAGAAGTCTGGATGAAATAAAGTTATTTTAAATCCGCAAAGGGCACCAATCACATATGGTTTTAGACAGTAAGTAAACAAAAGTTCCCGTGGGAGAACACAAGAATCCTCAAACTAGTAAAAACGATGATGTCGATAGCGTTACTAGCGAGGAATGGAGTTTAGCAAACCCCGCGCTATCATAAATTGAGTTTCCCGTCTTCGACAACAGCGTCGGCTTCGTTAATAATCGGGGTAGAAGAATCTAGATATGAAAGTTATGGAGATGGAAGGAAAGACAGGTTTCCGATGAAGAAGATTATGTATTCACTTAAGGTTTTATGAGAGTTAGGATAATAAGGAGGGATAGAATTGTTTACCGATGCCGAGGTCTCTTGGCTTGAAGATAATTGTGGATCTGTGATTGATATCGATATCGACACCAGCCAATTGGATATAACTCTTGGACCCTTTGAACGATAAATAAAGGGTTTTGATCAATCAGTCCATCTAGAAGCAAGAATTGACTTCCAATAATGCTATGATTGATTAGGTTAGTTCGGATCGACACACATCATTTGGAATGCAATAAATGCCTTACTTATTGAACCGTCGAGTTCGAAAAGCAGAGAAGAAAAAAAATCTTGTCAATGGAAGCGAGTGCTTCCTATTGCAATTGCTTTCCCAGCAGCTATTGCTAATTAGAAAAGAGATACTGCCAAGTTCAGTTGATTGTAGAGCATATTCCTGACATCATTGATTGTCTGGATAGTCAATTGTGCTTTGCGGATATTCCGAGATAATTATGCATAGGGGATTCTCCCCACAAGCACGACCTGGTAGTTTTAGGTTTTTGTAGACAGCCTTAATTCCGTGTCTAGGTTTTCGAGTGGAACATTTTTGAAGGAATTCTATGTGATTCAATTGTTTTGTACGCAGGAGCTATATTCGTTGCCTTAGTTGAGCCTTTAGACTCTCTTGTGTTTCTGATGTTGTCTGCAGCTTGTTGTCAAAATGGTGTCTATGTGAGGTTTGATGAAGAATAGATGAAAATTGAAAGAGAGGAACTAGTATTTGGTATTAGCTATGAATAGGTGTTTATAGAATCAAAGAAACAGCAAGTTTAAATTACCATTTCAATGTTTTCAATGTGGTTTTCCAGTCCCCTGAATGCAACAGAAAATAAAACGCCGCTTTGAAGACAATATTCATCTCAAAATCTATCTGAATGTCAATCTATCTCTCTTAATGATCTTGACAATACCCTGACGTGTCACTTATGACAAGCACAATCACACCACCCATAAAAAACATGCGTCGAACGAGACTCGGCTTCCTGAGCCCAGCGATGTTCTTCAAGTAGATTATCCCGATCCTCCTTAGCCTCATCTCTCCCTATCGGCCAGCCATCCACAGCTTTCTCGATCATCTTCAACAGCTCTGCTGGCAATTTTCTTCCTAAATTATCCTTTCCAAAGACTTCACTAGTCCACCAATCACGTCTTTGCGGTGGCACGTTCCGGGTCGAACAAATTCGATAATACGAATCTACCAACATAAGTTTGATAAATTTCGCATTTCCCGGTTCTGTAAGACTACTTCTCGTAAAAGGCTCGAGCCTATATTGCAACGCGTTGGACCAACTCAATAATCGTCCTTCCTTCACAGTTATTGAGCCCAAATCCTGAGTAGCAGAAGGAAAATAATAACCACCCTCATCGTCATAATACCCATCTTCCTTAGTGACAACATTGTTCCAGAAAAGATCAACTTCCGAACGATGGTATGCTGATTCACTGAGACAAGTTTTCTGTCGAAAAGAAATTTGCATATTTGCTATATTCTACACATCGTAGAAATATATAGATGTAGCAGCAATATGTTCACTCTGTGTCCCATCGACATCCCAATCACTTCCTGAAAACTTCATTGAAAATGGATTATTTCGTTCACCTAGTTCGATACTTCCAATCTGCACAAAAACTTGCAGTCCTTTTTCCCGAAAACTTTCCTGTAGAGCAATGCTGTAGAATTCGTGGTCACTGTCAAAATCCTTGTGCTTTGTTCCTGAGCAACATGCGTACTCGGGAAGACCTTCCCATACAGCTTTATCTGCAGTAAACTTACCACTTTTCCCTTCTTTCCATTCTTCATATGTGAATGCAGCTCCTGGTTCAGGATGTTTGAGGTCGTTCTCATGCGACCTCTCGATCAGTGCTGAAGGTTTTCCTAGTTCCTCCTCTAGATCTACTGTGCCGTATATTCTAATTCGGGTGGGAACGCGTCCGTGCTCGCCTTTCAGCAAACAATCATTCCAAGGCTCTATGACTAATTGTATAAGCTGTTCGATCATGCTGTATAGTCCTTTGTTTTTGATAGGGTGTAGATTGTTGATGTAGGAGGTGATACGCACGGAAGTGTCAGAAGTCCCATCAAATTCCACCTCGCATGGGAGCTATTGGTAGTTTGTTGACCAGCGGTAGAGTTTTTCATCATTATAGAAGGAAAAGCCCACCCTTTTCAGTTCTCGAGCAGCACCTGCCACATTGCTTCCCTTGGGATGGACTTGTGGAATTTCAGTAGTGATACCACGTCCGTATGAGTTGGAAAAGTCGTTCAGACCAACTTTCCTCCATTCAGTAAAACTTTCGCCTTCCGTAAACGAGCGCAAACAATGATGGATCAACAAGATTAACAACTTGTTTATCTCGACAAGAATTCTGCACGTCATTTTTGTCGAACTGAGCGCGCAGTTCCTCGATAGTCATGTTGAGCTCTCTCATTAGCGCTTTAGATACGAGAGTATCTGATTTGGAAACACAAGCTCCGGCGTCCAAAGCAAGAACACGATTTGTAGTACGAAACAATCTCGCCTTGTCTCTCAACTCAGCTAAACACCACTCCCAAGCTTTCTCACTTATCAATTTATGTTTCATGGCTATTTCGTGCCATCTTGCAGTATCTTTGTCATTGAAAACATCTATGTGCCAGTTAGGCATATCAGTCAAGAGATTGGTGAGACCTATCATGGCCAGCTCTCGAGCTGTCAGACGAGGCTTATGTTCCCACCCTTCTTCCCAATCATCTGATCCTTGGTGAAATCGCGAACCTTTGGGTAGTTCGCTGAATAAAGATATATCACCATGTCCGGGAATCTTGAGAGGACCTTGTCGGCTGTTATCCATGGTGAACTCACGAATGTGATTGTTTTGATTCATTGTTATTGCTTTTGATACCACGTTACCTACACAGTATCAAATGCTGTGATCGCAGAAAAAATAATAGACTATGAGGGAATGAAATGGAGAATTTGCCTTTGGACATCAATTATTTTGCATCAACGGATTTCCTCTCATTTATACTATTACATTAGCCCAGATGACTCATCGGGAGGGATTGGAGCCTAAAAGTTGATACTGTATGATGGGTCATTACCGCGGTATTGGCATAACAGATTTGCATAAAAGAATATAGGTATTCACAGATATGTACAGAAGGAGCTTTGAATCTTCGCAAATTCCCAGATTGGAAAATAACTGCTCAATGTCCCATTTCCCAGATATGCAATCGACCATCGCGAAACATGATTTTGCCCAACACGTCAACGGCCAGGAAGATGAGAAAAGCTTGAACCTCGGACATGATCCCACAACCACGACTGTCGTTATGGAACCTAGATGTTACCCATTCGATCTCATCAAAGCATACGAAATGGATGTGTCAAGAAGCGGACTAACTTGAACAACAATAATTTAAACTTCCTCATTTCGTAAATTGCTTCAGGTTCATGCTCCTCCTCTAATGATGGCCTTCGAATAACAAATGGCAGCATTGTGTTCTTACAATAAAGGCCAACAGCATGTTCCAATGCCCATGGCAAATCCACCTGGAAATTTTCAACATTCTTGACCCACACCAAAGGGTACAGGAGGGACGTCTCCAAACGGCGACCTGTAACATCGTAGAAGGTGATATGTAAATCCTTCAACCTTTTCACTCTCGAGAGTAAGTCGCAAATGTAAACCAAATGTTTAGCTTGCCATCTTGCAAGTTCTTGATCCTTCTCTTGTTGCTTCTCGAAGGCGGGGGAGCCCTTGGGCTCATAGTGAAAACATGTGTAGATTGGATGCTCTATTTTGTGGGAAACGCGGAGAGACCGAATGTCATCAAGTTGTAGCTGTGGAACATTCTCGAGAAATTGAGTCGCGCATTGAAGCCCAATCAGATCAAAAGTTGCAAATGTGTAAATGACATATATGAATTCAGCATTTCTAAATGGTACAATTATCATTAGTCGAACTATCCTGCCAGTTTATTACATCGGTATATTACTTACATATACTTGCAACTCAATAGAAGCGAAATCAAATTCTATGGTCTAGGGGCCGTTTTCCTCCATGATTGACATACCGCTCTCACTATCCCAATTTGATCACTGGAGCCACCCACTCCCCAGCTAAATGGATCTATGCACTTTGTATGTGCAGATTGCCAGCCGCCCCAATGTTCAAGACCAACATGGCCTTCTGGTCCAGCGATACAAGGCAGAAGTACTTGCTTAAAATGCTTTGGATTCTGGCTCCCTGGTCGTACATCTGTCACTGCGATGTGCAAAATCAGCCCAAGATCCACGACTAGTTGCTCATATACTGATCTACGAATATCGAAACATAGTTTAGAAAGAAAACCACTCGATAGCTGTTGATCCGGTCCAGAGGATTCGGAAGCTTCTACTGCCATGTTGAAGGCATGAGGCCTTGCCATATTTGCTTTTCGTAATTCTCAGCCTCGGTGTGACTTGTTTTGATGATGCAATATTAAGAGTCTGGAAAAGAAATCCGGTGGTGTGGTTTAGTGATATTTAGGAGGCGAAAAAGACGAGTAACATAATCAGCAGAATTTCAGGAATTCGGTCGTTAGGTGATCTCATATATCGAAAGATTCGAAAATTTCACTTTGGCTAGCCTAGTTGCCAATATCATGCTGCGTGTTTCCGGCACGGAATAATCTCACGAATGCTAGGAGTAGAGAGACAGTTTTACAATCAAGATTAGACATAGAAAGTAATAGAAACAGCAAGATATAGTATTTGAAAGTTCCATCAGTTTAAGAACTTAGAAGGGAAAACATTACACTTGCCAAGAGACGTAGTAGACTTGAATGCTACAGTAGCCAAAGAATACAGAAAGAATAAAATAATATAATATACATACGCATAAATAAACGCACACATAGATAGAGACACAAATTATAAGCACACAACACACTCTCCCTCGCTCCCTCGCATCCTCAAACGTCAGAAAAGGCACTTAGATACTCAAAACCCATCCCCTTTCCCACAACTACAAAACAGCAACTGCACACGCCTAATCATACAAAAGGAAGAAAGAAAGAAAGCAACTGTATACAAATGGCTTCAAACTCAAGGCTCAAGAGCGAAGAATTCCCTTACTAGCTATTGCGAAAATTCATCGACTCCAATCCTGCCTCTTCACACCAACTGTCCATATCTCCACCCCCAAAACCATCCATCTATCAACCTATCAACAGAGAAGACAAAATACCAACCTACTACCCTCCCCAAGAAACCACCTCCAACTCATCTCAACTACCTCATCTTATCCAACTCATCTCAACGCTACCCCAAACCAGCCCCTCCCCACTCTGTAAACCACCAACTCCCATAAACCCTTATCAACCCTCGCTCACCAATCGATCAACAATTACACAATTAATACCACATCATGAATACGCCAATTCCCTAATTTCTTACTTCACTTTTCTCACAAACACAAACACAAACAAAAAACAACAAATCTTCCGAGACAAAGTTTTCTTCAAAACCAAATTCAACAATGAAGGCACTCGTGCCGGGAGGATAAAAGAAGTTGACTTACTAGCGCTTGAAAACTCACACTAAACCGGCTACCGAATAGAAATCACCAAAGAACTTTATTTGTTGTAAGGTTGCATTTACATTCCCGAGACTTTATGTAATTTAGAGAGAGAGAGAGAGAGAGAGTCGAAAAGAGACTTCTCACTTATCGGACATGACTACGAGTGATAACTTTCTAGCCCCCTCCCTCAACATTGACGTCACCATATAAACCTTAAAAGGAGTGGCCGTGATAAAATAGTACTTGCAAAAAAAAGGCTAAGAAAAAAAAGACTACAAACAGAAGTGAGAAATCGCATAGAAAAGGTAAAATAGCAATTAAGAAGTAAAGGAATAATTTTAGGAAATACTTCTTCGAACAGAGATCTTGTACTCACCCAAAGTTTCAAAGCTGCAATACATCATTCACGGGGGTCAAGGACAGCCAACTAGCAAGGCCACAACAAAAAGACAGAAACATTCAGCAATCATGCAAAATGCTAAATTGTAAAAAAAAGCGGATATGTAATTTGACTCAAAAACTATATAACAGATCGACCCTATCTCTCCCATGAAAGATAACCCTAACTATATTACCACCCATACACCCAAAGTCAACCACCCCTTTAATTGCATCAAAACCATCAAAACTCCTAATAGCCACTAGGAAATAGAGATAGATGGGCCTGAGAACGCAATTGATGGAATGGAAGTGAAGATGTTAAATATGCTAGTTCCTTACGCCCGCTAAAACCCATAATGTAAACGAAGAGAATTAGTATGTTGAGCGGGTGAGTAGAGGTGATCTCAACCCGAGATGTATTATCGCTAGTGGCTAAACACGACTTTGGGGAAACCTAGATTACCGACATGGATACCATGTAAAATAGAGTTCGATGGTCAAAATGACGATCGAGCAGGTATGTCTCTTGTCCCTCCGTGTATAATCTCGGGCGGGATGCGTTTTTCAGGAGAGAATTGGGTGCCTAGATACCCTTGATGACTTGGGTTCGCTCGGCATTTAGTTGAGCTGCATTTCGGTCATGACATTCCTTCTTGCACTATAATGAGATGAGTCAGCCCACAATTCCATCTTCGCACATTATTTCTGAGAGCACATCTCCTAATCCAACTTGCCACCATTGAATCTGTTCTTCCATTCTAGATCCATCGAATGCCTCTCGGGGTACAGATTCCCCAGCACTGGACCCAGGAGATACACCATCGGAGATAGGGCAACTCACGTCTTCTAATTTCACACACTTGTGATCCTCCAACATTCTATGCTTCCCACAGAACTCTCCTTCACAAAATCCACAGTGTCCTACAATTCTTTGTGCTGCCACCCCGCAGTCCTTGTAATTGCACCTAATCTTCTTAGGTGGCATACCGCCTCTTAGTGTTCCTGCAACGTGGATTGTCGAGTCTCGAGTAATGTTATTCGAGGTGAGAGTTGAAGATGGTTGTAGATGTCTTCCAGCGTGTACGAGACGAAGTGATGACGATGGCGAGGATGTGCGGATAGAGAGGAGATGGGCGAGGTTCGAAATGGTGGTATCTTCGGGAACGGTTATGGGTATAGCTAAATAGTGAGTTAGTTGGAAACTTTAAGAATGAATGGATTTGGGAATAAACATACTGTCGCCGGACAAAACCTTAACAAAGATTTGCATTGATTCCGATTGTAATTCTGGAGAGGCGGACCTGGATGAAGTGGCGCTTGAAGGAGTATACATGATGGATGATTAATGGTATGTAAGTTAATTGAAGAGGAGTTGAGTATTATCAATGAGATTAATGATGAAAGGGAAGAGTTGTATTGATGAATGGAGAAAGGGAATTGTTGAATGGAATTGGAAATGATTATGAAAAGAAGATTCGGTGTCTTAGTTGTATTCGTTGTACTTGTATTCGTAAGAAGAAAGTAATCGAAGGTTCTTGGTGACAATGCGATTGGGTGTCTTGTGACGAGGACCGGAGACGAGAACGTAATCTACCGCAAGTATTGGTACTGGTGACTATGACTGTGACTGGGAATGGGACTGGGACTGGGACTGGGACTGTACTAAAAAAGTCTTATCTGGAGGCGGGAGTCGAGGCGGTATCGGGTTATTGGATTGGGTTTGATTTCGATAGTCGGATTATCCTTTAATGCAACTGTTTGTTGTCGACTTCTTATTCCTTGATGGGGTGATGAAAGAAGATGGATTTGTTTCGTTCGGTTTGTGAGTTGTGATAAAGTGGTATGGAATGTGATTATCGAGGGGGAATATATATATATATCAATGAGGATTTTAAATATGAATATATATAACACATATAATAAATACCTTACACATGGCTGTAAACTCACAAGACTGGCTTGGCTCCATTCAGAGAGGCCAGCCAGGTATGTACGATGAATGTATGCCATCATATCATACCGGTACAATCATTTCACTTGACTGACTTGAGAGATGGATTGAGAGTTAGTATGATTAATAATTCAACACCGGCGTGAATCTAAGGGTGATCTAAAAAGTCCCCTAGATCCACTTTTCCGTGATTGAAAGCATGTGCTAGCTGCTGACTAGCCGAGCTAGCCTTATAGAGCACTAGCTTCTATACTAAAGACACACCTTAACCTTTTACTTCCGCACTCTCCATGTACGATCAAGTCTCCTTGACTCCTCTCTCTCTCTTTCTCCACTCCCATGAATTCGCCTCACTTCCTCTTCATAATGTCAAAACGCTCAAGGACATACCTTGACATGGAACGATTGATATATATCAATACATCATGCTTTCATCCCTATATCATTATCCGGTCTAGAGTATGGATGCTTCACATACTCTCGAGACTCTTTATTTGGAACCTATTAATCACCCATCCGGAATCTCATAAGGACTTTAAATTACAGTACCGATCATCATAAATTGGTGGTTGGCACAAAATGATCATCTCTCATACTACCGGCAGAGGAGCATCTCCGAGAAAGTTCATGGCGTAGAACTGAATCGCCAATTCCATCTATCAAGCGTACCTAGGCAATTTGTATTACGGCACTTGATTGAATGAAAGACCAGATTCCAGAAAATGCCTTGCTTATTATATCGAATTCCGGATTAGCTATTATTGATTACATACTCTCTCGTATATACCGTACTCTATTTACCACCGACTGCTCCTCCTCGTACCATCGATGGCATCCATCTATCTAACCACGCGATTTCAAGCCTCGGAAAAGTATTGTTACGGCATTTCTTGACGTATATGGGTACCCTCTTCCAAAAAGAGGCCCTAAACCCCGAAGTGAAGTTTACCAGGAAAAGCAATTCCGCCTTATCTCTCATCAATGGCATCACACTACTAGCCACTTCGCACAATCTATCTCGAGCTCTCTACCAAATATCTCACAACTTTCTGAATCTTCTGAGTACCGGTTTGATTAGACAGATCAAGGAACCTAAGGACGTCTGTTCTTCTCTGTCATATCCTCGACTCAGCTACATTCGAAACATGGCTCCTAGGATGAAGCAATTCAGAAACAACTTCGAACTATGCGATGCTTGAAATCATGAACATTTCTCCTTCATCCGACTGAGTGGATTATGAAGCATTCAGCCACCCTGACTCATGCCACGCTACGAGGCTAGGTAGCTGGAGGTAGGTAGGTATCCATAAGTAAATGGATGGATCCATTTACTCCATACGCCACTAGCCACCACACCACACCAAAGATGTAGCCACAAGTGTTCGATTGTTCGATTTTTCGATTAACATTCTCTTAGCTTGCAAGCCAAACGGAGTACATCGGCGTTGAATCGCCATTGACCCTGTGGAGTACATCAAACTTTATTCACTACTCGAGTACAGTCAAAACCATATACTTTTGCCACATACATCATATGTTTGATAATCAACCAACTTTGAATCAATTTTTTCAGAGGTTTAACAAGACCATTCACGAGAGTACCAACATACTACAACCCTCTACCGGTACTCCACACCCAAGGCATCCTGACTCACTACCCATGAAATATATTTCTCCATTTCGATCAACTTGCATACAACCTGCATTGCCCAATCCCTTGATTCGATCGGCAACAGCGGCATCAAACCGTCCATGATTTCCTTTACCGATTTTCTTCATGCATGCGCCATCTGCACCGCTATAGTATCCGAAGAACCGCAATATGCGCCTCGAATCCGTCGACATCTGTACAGTTATTCGAACCATGCATCGTCAAACAAGAACCCGAATCGCTAATCTAATATCTACATCTAGATACATTAGCTTAACAGATACATATAGAGCTAATACCAAGACCTTCAGATATGCAACAAAGTGACAAATACAAGCGAGTTTTGCTATCTTCTTCTCCAGCTTCCCCGGAAAAATCTTGATGACCTAAGGTTATAAACAAGCCTCGATGAAAGCATGAATTACATCCCAAGATCAAACACCTACATCTCATCACTCTCCAATCTCCTAATCTAAGCCACAAATGCAAATCAAATCCCTCTACCGTATTCCTCAACCTTAACTCTTAGTTGGTATCCCTCCCACTCAGAGGAGACAAAACAGGCCAATTTTGACCTCCCCTAAATGGCAAGCAAATCCTACAACAAATCACCCACCCACAACTAAAAGCATTGCATTTACCTACCTACCACACCAACTAACCTTCAATCGCAGTACTATGTAGTTTAGAATATCATTTATTCCCTTTGCCCTTCATATCGTAAAGAATCCATGTCATTACCTTACTAAAGAGCTTCATTCGCTAGTATTCAATTCAATTCCGATCTTATTTTTCTCTCTACTGAATAGTGGGCCCTTCTCTCTCATTCATCCTCTCCTCCATCTAAGATATTATATTATGTTATACAGCTAGCTTATTCACCCACTACACACTACCTACTACTCACTACTCACTACTCACCACCAATACACAATTATAGCCCAACGCTCATCTCTTCAAAATTCATGATATCATTTCATCTCATTTCGTTCCAAATAATCTAATTATGTATATGTACGTACCGTATATTCATATACATCCTCATCTCATCCCATCCCATACCCTAATTCCCTCACCTCCTCTCCAATTCAGTCAAAATCGAAATCAAACCAATCTAATGTAATCTTGTTATTCCCAATCGTATCCTATCACACTCCCAGTCTGCATACTGACCCATCCCATTCCGCCCTAAATAATTCATCCTAACCTAGCCTGAGCACCTAATCCGTAGATAAAAAAATCCTAGCCCAAACCCAGAACCATAAACAACTCCAGGTTTCATCCGCTAACTCTATAGGAGAAGGAAGAACGACCAGTAATCAAGAAAAGGAAATGCACCATTCTCAATGCTCATACAAAAAACCCCTTCGCCATGCTTGCACTTGCGCAATTTCGCAATTTAAACAAATATACTATGACATCAATTTCAACCCCTTCCTTAATATTCGTGATTGCTTGTTTGGTGTTTCCTCCTATTTCGCGCGGTCTTTATGAAAAGTGAATTGGCTACGGGGAGAAGCTCAATGCTTTTTATATTTCTGAAGAACAAGTTAGTAAATTATTTCATCAAAAGAATAAAACATCAAGATAAAACTTACAGCATCAACCCTCTCCAGATTCTTCTTATCTAAAGTATTCGTAGCCCCCATCAACACTTGTCCAGCCCCCTTTGCCACTCCAATCACTGGTCTCAATATCACAGTAGGAGCATGTTTCCTCACGGCCTTCAATACCCCCTTCGCATTGCCATCTTCCATGACCTCTCCCGGAACTGCGATAATTGCATCTCGAGCCATAATCAGATCTCGCTGTAAGCTAGCGTACCCGCCCCTGAGGCCCTGCATTACACCAACAGGTTGATTGGCATAGAGTGAGATTTGCTTGCGTTCATCTTCGTCATCGCTGGAATTGCCATGGGATAGAGAGGCATCTTGGGGCCCAAGAAGACCTTCAGCCCCTTGTAGGACGGTTTGTACACCAATGGCAACTTTAGCACCGAGTTTGACGAGTTCGGTACCCGTGGTTTTAGCAAATATGGCGGCGCCTCTGGAGATGTTCCGAACGATTCTTCCATCCTTCTTATATTCGTTCATGGGTACCGCCACGAGATCTTTGAAACCACTTCCGACGTTAACGATAGAGCGGACTGGAGCCAACCCGGCCAAGATACCGGGAAGTTGATGTTCTTTGACATCTGGCGTCCAAATATCATTGAGGACTTGGCCCATCTTGTCGAACCCTGAACAACCGTGAATGATACAATGTCTGAGTGTCAGATCAGCTCCGTCAAGTATCATGAAGTTCATGAATTCCGTAGTGCGACCGGAACGAAGACCAGAATAGTCGACACGTTTTGGCTTGAAATCCAATTTGACATCAATGGAATTAACTTCCACTCTTTGTAGGAATGGTTTCTCGCCCGGAGCTTCAGGTTCGAAATCCGATTCTACCTTGAATTCGAAGAATCTAGTGATGAAGTCAAGAGCGTCTTGATCAACGTGAAGCCGAAGTGGAAGAATAGTCACTTTGATAACCATCTCAGTTGCAGCAAGTGTAGGAACAGGTTTCACATTCATGATCTCGATGTGAACCATATTTGAACCCTTTTCTCTTTCACCTGCATCTTGCATGTAAGTAGCGAATTTTCTCCAGGTCGAGGTGCGAATGTTATCAAACACCTCGAGATCATGTACACGAACATCAATGGAACTCTGGGTTTCACCACTGAAGGGCGGGAAAGTCACAAGGTCGACACAGACTCCTTTCAACTCGAATGCAATCTTATGGTGTTTAGTTCGATTGAGTCGAAGCTTCTTGGCTGCGCGTCCGCCTCCTTGTCTGCTTGTGGTGGCAGTATAACTCGTGGTTGCTACTGATTCCGTTTCGGTAGCATTGTCGTTCAGCTGTTGATTGATAGCTGCAGCGAGCTCACGGGGATCACGACTGTTGGGAATGTCGATCCACATTGAGTTGAGCAAAAAGGTTCCACGCTCAGTATCTTCGTCATCATCGATATCCTGCTCCCAAGTTGAGCGTCTTTCATTCCGAGCACGCTTTTCAATGGCTTTGGATTCGATGTCTTGTACAGCTTTGGAAATTGTATCCCGAGTTTCTTGCCAATCGTAGCCATCAAATAGATTCCAGATGATGTGTACATCTCGTACGCGTAACCTCAATGGGCTCTTCTTGACTTTGCTGTAGCTGGAGGTATCATAGGTATTCTTGGCCGAGTTCCACCTATGAGCGGACTGCTCCAGTGATGTGCCTGTCCCAAAATGGTCCTCGTGGAACGATAGAGCTACGTTATCAATTTCTGGCTCTTCCACAAAGCTGTCCAGTAAAACACCATCCCGAGTATCGCGTGCGGTGAGGTTCAGGGACGCTAATGAATCCTCTGAATCGTCAAGGACAGCTTCTTTGTATCCGTCGTCGGATCCACCTTTACAGTAATCGGAATCGAAGCCGAGTTCGCTTCCTCCTTCGTCAGTTAAGTCCCCAAGCTCTGTGAAATCATTGCTAAATTCGTATTGACCTTCAGGAGTTCCAAAGGCATCTATTGATACAGAGGCCAGAAGATTGTTAAGCGGAACAACCTTTGTTTGATAAGTGTTCTCCTCCTTTCTCGGTGCTTTTACCGGTGGAGCTAATTTACCAAGCACGCTGATCAATGTTTGAGTGGAGTCGGCGCATGATTCAAGCACGAAGAGATCATCTCGCAACTCAACATCAAGGCAATTCCGACCATCATCGTCAACGGAAAGAAGAACAGTGGCCTTTGCAGATGAAATGTAGCTGACTGACACATAGCCCATTGAAGTGAGATCTGCCACTTGATTACTGCTACCATTAAAGGAATTCCTTTTATGATCTGATTGCGCAGTACTTGCAAGATGAGCAACATTGTCAATGACAAGAAGAGAAGCCTTGCTTAACTCAGCTGTGACACTTGCGTTCTGATCCTTTGGTAAAACCGCAACCACATGTGCTTCGGTCAATACGGCAAGAATTTTCGAAGGCAAGCCCAAGGGATTGAGACCCACGATGCAGTCTTTTAGAACGACATCAATGGCCATTGGTTTGGCCGGACTACTACTGGACGCGGGGCTTTTTTCAACACTCTTCTCCTTACCCTTTGGAGTTGGTGGCTGTGCTAAGTCCCGCAGTGTAGCGACTGACGTCGTGATACTAGCTGACATCTCATCTCCAGTTGCAGTATCCGCCAGCCCGAGCAGCATCATGAGTGTAGGAACGCGATATTCGACTTTTAGATTCCAAAGTTTGATTTTCACGATAGGCTCCATCTCATCACCAATCAATCGAGCCATAATGCTTGGAATTCGTAATTCTGGCCTATTGAATACTTGATCTGTGCCCGCACCAATCAACTCCTCAGAATGGTTTCGGTAAGCAGAAACCGTGCCGACACTTAACGCTACTAGCGATGGTATAGGGATTTGCGCCATATCCAAATCAGTAGCCTTGAGTTGAAGACTACCCACAGAGCTGTTGACATCGACGTCGGCACCAAGCTTCTTGACTTTGACCAAGGACAAAAGACCCGGTCGATCATCGTCGGGTAAGTACTTTGTGACTGTGGATAGCCTTGCGACCTCCTCACCCAATTCTGGAAGATAGCTCAACTCTTGCAACTTACCAATTTTGGCCTGTAGATCATCCACAGTAAGTCGGAGTACAGATCCTTGTTGTCTTTGACGAAGTAGAGTATCAAGAAGAATATCATCGTCTTGATCATACTTTGAATTCGATGGTGCGATTAATGCCAACAATCGATCTATATCGTTGTCCTTGGGTGCGTTTAAGAACTCAATGCGCGTCGTGGAAACGTCAATAGCAATGGCGGGATCGTCAACGGAATGCTTGAGATGTGGCCCAGACAATCTGATCTTGTCAATACCAATGCCGATTCCTTCCTCGCGACTGATCAACTTCACAGCAGAAGTTTCAACTCCCACGCTGCATTCAGTGCCCACCAAGTCAAGAATCAACCCACCGATCCTAACATCTGCCTTGTTCTGCACCGCCACTGTTTGATCATCAAGTTCGATAGGCGTATTGAATTTTACGCCTTTCGTCTTCGGCTTTATTACTGGGCTGGAAATGACTGTCGAGTTCGACGCCATCGAGCTACCAAGGTTGAGTACACTGCTCAATCCACCAAACCAGCTAAAAGTCTCATCAAGATGCTGCAGGTCAACCGCCACATGCAAGGGCAGCGTATGGACCTCAAATCGAGTACTGTCATGACTTTGGTATATATTGGCAGACACGTCAATGCCAGCAGAAGCGGCAAGATCACGAGTAGAAGCTCTCACTTGAAGACCTGCATCAAAAGAAATTATGTTTTCTTGAGCGTAGCCAAAAATGAACTTCTGTAGTGTTATGCTAGTCTTGGTAGTAGTGCCCGAAGGATCTCTAGAGACATTGAACCCCTTGATTGTGGTCTTGAGAAGAACATCCGAATCCGATGACTTCGTCGGTGGTTCTGAAATCTGTGAACCCAAAGTACCCTTAAGATTTTCCAAGAACTTAAGTGATACAATTTGCGCACTGACCCTGAGTTGAGGTTCAGGAGAGCTAGATGTAGGCTTACTTGATACAGTGGTTGCTTGTGTCTTCTGTTTCATAGACCCTTGAATCTGGCAAACGAGCTTATATATAAGTCTGCCCACAGATACATCAAATTGAGCCAGTAGATTTCCCACGTCAACCTCAATTGATTTGTTCTCTTCAGGCTTCTGTGGTGGCTGTATTGGAATTCTCGGTGTTGGTTTCGGCGACGACCGTGAATGTTGGTCTCTGGGTAGATGGATAGAAAATGCCCCAGGAAGATCCATTGTGTTTGACTGCGAGTCATTGTGGCCGTCAAAAGTGCTGCCAAATAGTGCTGATTCAGCAGCTGCATCTACAGGATCAGAAGAAGGGTTATTCATCGCCGGAATATAGATAGCGACTTGATCAAGACTGAAGATCTGCTTCGTCATTCGCTTATAGTCACTAGAAGCAACAACAGACTTCACTGAGAGATCGCTCGAAACTTTGTGTAAGATCTCAGGCTGGCGTGGAGTTTCCGGGCGAATAGAACCTATGCTTCTATTTGATGCATGTAGTGAGCTTGAGGGCAAGATCGTGGATTTCTCAAGAAAATTAAGGTCTGACGCGCCATCCGAATGCATAGAGTGGCGAGCATGCTCAAGATTGTCGAGCTTTTCCACTCGTGTATCATAGTCCCTTGGGGTAAGTGGTGGAGATCTCGCATCTTCGCTATCAGTGCCTGAATCTGCCCACCCACCGGGGATTGGAGCAGCAGAAGTAAATGAGACCGCACTCATGTACATGCTCTCAGCCTCTTCATGACTGAATAATTGAGACTGCGCAAGATCATCTCCAATCTCCTCATTGAAAGTGGAGCTACTACTTTCACTCATAGAATCTTCCGATGGAACCCTAGACTGCTGAACTAAATAAGTCCGATCAAGCGGCGCGGTAGTGGGCGGAAGTGTCGGCTGTGAATGAGATATTCGCTCCACAGAGAATCTAGTATGAGCTCTGGGGGGCAGCATGGTAGATTGTAACATGTTGTGAGCTCTGTTAACGCTGTGGAATGCATTGAATTCTGGAGCCTGACCAGAGGGCGAGGAAATGTGAGCAGAGGCCCTTGGCGTTGAAGTGCGTGAATTTCCGCCAGGTGTGCTATGTTCAGATTGTGATATTGAAGATCTCATATCATCTCCCTCAGGATGATCCAAAAGTAGGGAGTCGGTGACTTGGTCAAGAATTGCTGAGCTTTGAAGCAAGCTATCTCCCATCTCGCTGTTGTCGATATACCCATGCTCGCTGCCGGAAGGACTGGAATGTCCATCTTCTGATGCATCATCAGATCGTCCACTATCATTAGCAACAGTCGAACCTTTAACCACTGGCGAGGGTTTCACGGGCCTTGAAGGAGGTGAAGGACGTCTTATTTCCGGCAGTGAAGATTCGGAGACTCGTAGTGACGAAGCAGGAGATGAGGGGGGGCTAGGGGAAACAACTCGATCAGATGCACCCATGCTTTCCACAGAAATGGTTTGTGTTTCTTCTGATGATCGCTTATCTGTAGCCCGCCGAGATTCGGTTACGTCAGAGTGCGGAGGTATTGGCGATACAACGGAGGATGATCGAGAGAGAGTCTGAAATAAATTTGCCTCTGTGATAAGTGCTCCTTGAATATTGCTGAGACAGATCAGTCTCTTTCCCTCCTTGAATAACGATGTTATGTCCTTCCCCCCTCTCGTCTGGGCGGACTCAATATCATGTGTAACTCCCTCGATATCGACATCGTCAATCTTCAATTGAACTGTTACTGGATCCGTGGTACGGTTTGGTGTCGGTCCTTCTGCAGGAATATCGAGATCCACATTGAAAGTAATCCCACGCACCCGTACTTGTAGCCTGTCCACAATGCCCTGCAAAAATCTAGCCATGAACGCCGGTAACGAGAGAGCCGTCCCAGTCCCAACAGGTGAGTCTCCTCCCTCATTAGATGTAACAGACTCTGATACATCCTGCGTCTCCCCAAGAATTGCGGCTTCCAACTCTTCTTTTTCTTCTCTCGATTCGGTTTGTAGAAATGATGCCGCAAGGTCCTCTGCAGTTGGAAGTGTGGGATCTGGGTCCTGGTTTCTCGATAGCGACTTCTTCCTTAACCTGTCATGGTTTGTCCGTGAACTATATGCACCCTTCTCCTCCCTAACCCTCAACTGCACATCCACCCCATCAACTTCGACCAATATCGGGCTGCTATATATATCGACCGGTATCGTGAGCCGCAGCAGTAAAACTTTCGCTTTACTTAATGCGATCGTGGAAGGAAGTTGTAGTAAAGTCTCGAGTTTCTACATCTCGCATATTAGCATGACATGCTCATCCTCGACGTCAAGATCATGATATAACTAGTACCTTTAATCTCAACCCGACATCCTTAAATTCAAACGTGCTATTTTTCCCCCACGCAATATCCAAATTCTCTAAATCCAATGCATCCGTCTCGAAGACTTCCAAACTAGAGAGCGCATATTGGAGTAATCGTTTGGGCATCGAGGATAATTGGAAATAAGACGCCATTGTTGCTTGCGACTTCGTTATGCAAGGGATTATTAAAAGTTATTAAGAGAAATCAACGCCTCTAAGCAATAATGTCTTAAAGAACACTGATAAGAAAGAAAATAAGAAGTTTCGGCGTATTTGATGGATGGTTTTATCTTAAGAAGAGGAAGGGCGGCTTCTGACGTCGACCTCGTGCACTGATATTGTCCGGGGCAAGATGGGAATCATACTTGACCGTACTCTCAGATGTTAAAGTCGCTACAGTTCAAATATATCAATAATAATCAGTGAATGTATTGTTCAACAGACCTTTGTGACTGTTGATAAAGATTCCCTACCGTAGATAATGGTAGGTACTTTAAATGGTTCAGTAATAGGTTGTAGGTAGGTAGAAAGGTGGAAATTTAGGTAGAAGAGGATAGGATGTATGTGGGTTGCGAGAGCGAGTGATTGTTTTCGGGCGATATCCTTATCGATAAGACCACTAAATTTCCTCGTGCGGCTTGGCTTACTGGTCCTGACGTGGATTTATCCAAGTACACACCACCCAGCATTAGCTGAATGATTAGATTCGATTTTCTTGTCGAACCAATTATTATCTTCTACATATATTGAGATTCCACGAGGTATTTCTTCTCTGTTTTAGAGCCTACGAGAAAATCATCATGCAGAGAGGTCTTTGGGTTTTGTATATTGTAAGGGCACTCTTGTTCTATATTAGGTTTATATAGAACTACCTAGGTATACCTATGTTTTATACCTAAAGCTAACCTTATGTGTTTCGTTAGTGTCCATGTATGATCATATGACATGATCTGGAGCTCTTTGATGTTTGGGAAGAAGGTTTAGAAGGGGTGTCTGGATAGAAGAAGCTTTTGAAAGAGAGAAGGGAGAAAAGAGAGAAGGAAATTATTCTACATAAGGCGGACTCTAAAACTTATATACAATGACTATATGTACAGCGCACACCTGAATTATTGTTACTCAAAGTGTAAATCAGAAATCGTACAAGCAGGATTACTATAGGTAGATAATTCAATAATGACCCTTGTGCATGACCATAATGTATGAGGGAACCTTGAAACCTTGGAGCTCTCTAACATCTGTACGAGTCTGACTACATAATCGCATAGGCAGTAGCTGGAATATAACAAAAGCTTCGAAAGGAGCTATTTTATCTGATTTCTATATAGATGATTATAATGTTGAATTTCGACTTCCAGTCGAGGGTATCGTGACCCTCCCTAATCATGACCTAAATCGCCTTGTTGAATGCACATGCTTCCCTAACACAAAACCTTTCAACTCCGAATAGGACTGAATTATCATCGGATATACTCAATTTAGTCCTGAGCAGCCAACGGACCATCCCCATCTTCTCTGATTTTTCTCGCACTATCTTCATCGTCGCCAAACTCCGTTACTATCCACAAGCAAAATTGTTCCCACTCCACGCTCCATTCTTGCAATCTCTTCGCCCTCACACCATTACCCATGGAAGCTTCCTTAACATCCTCTAACCATTTGCCAGCGCTTTGATCCTCGAATGCTGCCCATCTTACACTGTTTTCAGCCAGTGAACCTAGACCAGCAAGTCCAAGATTATCCCAGCCTTGCAAAGCTTGCCAGAAATCATGCGTCATACCATTAACATCCTGACCAAGAATCGAAGGGTCATCGTTACAGAGAGAGCAGGAAACTCCTCGCGCGAGAAGCGCTGGTAGAGGGTGTGACATGATCGAAGCACAGAGGCGAAGGACCTCGTTTGAGATTGGACAACTCTCCACGAGAATTTTCTTCTCCTTGACCAAGTCAATCAATAAAGGATGCTTGTATAAGGAGAATCCATGACCGATGCGACGAGTTCCGAGTAGAACAGCATCGAAGAGATTCTGATCAGTATCGCTACCATCACCAAGACATTCTCCTGCATGAAAGAAGAAAGGTATTTCGACTCCTTCTTGCGCGCACTGTTTCTTGAACCAGAAAAGCTCTGGCAAAAGATCTTTTAATGGTCTTCCAGCATCTTCTTGACCAACAAGATCATATCCGGATATGAGATCCGGGTAAGTCATCTTGATTGTTAAACAAGCATCCATATCTTCTACGATCTTTCTTGTATCCAAAACTCGAAGACCAGTCCAAATCATCCTTGCTCCCCAGAATCCCTTACCCTCTTCTGAAGCCTTAAACTTTTCGATTTCCTCTCCGAAAACTTTGAACATATTGCTGTATGTATCATCTGCTTTCTCTTGACCTTCGCGGTAATAAAAGAATGTGAATGCCAGTCGTAAATCAACCCATTTGACACCATCGGCAAGTAAAGTCTGCATCATTCTCTTCATGAATGCCTTGAATATAGGCTCATAAAAGATGGCTGTGTTTAAAATCGTAAAAACCGAAGAGAACTTCCTCCAGACTGCATCAACACCATGATGATGTTCAATAGACTCAGTATCAGTAATAGTGCATCGACTCCGAAGCCAACGCAAGAATCCTTCTCGCCCACCTTCGGGAAAAGCCTCTGCAGCATCCTTCAAGGGCACAAAACTAAATGGTTTATACCCCTCCTTCCAAATTTCCGCACCTTCTCCATCTCCCTTCTTCCTGAACCTAAACTTAACGGGCCCCGCCTCCCTACTTTCAGGAGAATCTAAAGCTCTATCACAGAAGATGCACATGCCCTCTGTCTTCAGCATTTCTTCAAATAAGAAATCATAATCAACCATCGCATCCATATGCGCATGCAAAAGCGCGCCCTTGGGCATCTTTTTCACAATCTGCCATAATTTCGTCTTCTCCATCCTTTCCTTTGCCAGACTGAACATCATACCTGGATATATATTCTTCCCCGTTTCTTGCGCAACATGGTCCTCGAATTGCGAGGTCCACGTCGAGGCTTGTTCTTCGAGACGGATGCGGGATACGATGTTACAGGCTTCTTGCGCGAGAGGTGAGAGAGTGGATCTGAATGCATAGTCTGTTGTAAAGAATATAAGTAAGTGAGAAATGATAGTATGGAAGGATATTACGAACCACTGCGCTGCTGTTTTTCCTGGTCTATAAGTGCTTCTCTTCCACCAATGTACTGGTTAATGAACGGTTCATCCTTTGCAGGAAGCCCAGCAGCTATTTCGGCATATTCGTCGTCTGGTATCGTGGATGGCCATGGAAGGTCTCTGACTCTATTAGACATGATTGTAGAGCTATTTGACTTGATTAATGGACTGTTGACATTGAAGAGCTTGATGGTAGGAGAAGTAGAATAGCTAGATAAGCTTGCGAAGTGGCTAACAAAGTTATTTGAGTATCTGAAAAGCTCAAAGAGTGGAAGCGATCTAGTTTCTAATTATCTCCTCACTCCACTAACAAATCTTCGAATCTCAATCTCGAATCACTTTGGTATGATGAATCATCGGCTAAAGATTACAGAATAGGTAGGTAGTAGTTGTTACACCAAAGCATGAATGGGGGATGGCGGGGTCCTTCCGATAAGAGCGATAAGCATTTGGTAAGAGTTCCTAAAATTGCCCTTATCCCTGATGAGTGGGAGCGAATTGGTTTAGCTACATATATGTTACGTATTTATGTGACCTACAAAAGTAGAATGAGCATCCTTAAATAGGTAGTCTGAGTATATTCAAGGATCCAAATTCAATCATTATGTCCTTAAATTACCGAGTACGAAATGAGTCCAATACATCAAATATCACTGGCTGGGAACTAGTCGGCAGCTTACGTAGAGAGCCGACTATTAGTTGAGGAAGATTTCTTAGTTAACATACCATAGCTCAGGTATGCTGATGAGATGTTAAGGTTGCTGCATACATTTTTTTGGAGTCCGCAGAAACGCGAGGGCAGATACAAAGGGGAAATCTGTTGTGACCTATTGCCACCTGAGCAGACCTATGACTGTCCCAATTCGTAACATACAATCGCGCCTCATGTTTCCAGAGAATACACAATAAGTTCGGTTATTCCTCTCCAGTGATCGAGAGCGTACTAAATATAAAGTCTGAGAGAACTTTATTATATCATACCACATTTAGCTCTGTAGCTCTAATTAAATTATACCAAGCTTGGAATGCTTCAATGGCGTGCTGTTCTCCCAATGTTTCTGGCCCTGTGTCCCGATGATCATCTACAACATACTCTTTGGCATATTTTTCAGGGCCTGCCTTACTCCCAAATCGCCCAATACCTCCTCGGCTCCACCCAAGATAGCATCGAATTTGTACCTATAAGATATCAGCAAGATGTTTCCGGTGAAAACTTCTCATAGCATGGATACTCACGTTCTATGGAACATCTCAATGGTTCTTCCCATCCCACTCTGAGTAAGCGCACGTCCACCGAAAATCTGCACAGCTTCATCTGCACATTCATGAGCTGAACGGGTAGCGAACATCTTAAGGAGACCAATTGGGCCCGCGAGATGAGTCGCTTGTTGTTTGTATGGCATCAAAGTCATCTGATACGTGATATTCTCTAACCATGCTTGATTTGCCTCACAGTGAGATATCATCTTAGCAAGCCTATAAAGGTCAATTAGGAGTTTCATCCGCACATGAAGGAGCCAAACTTACTTTTGTCGGATGACTGGCTGATCAGTCAATTTCTTGCCAAATACCAATCGTTGGTTACTCCACTTGATACATTCTTCTGTTGCTAGTCGCATCATGCGAGTGACACCACTAGCCATCATCCATCTTTCATGGTTGAAGTTACTAAGGATAACGTGGATACCCTTGTTCTCTACTCCCAAGAGATTCTCAACTGGTACCTTTACGTTATCGAAAGTGACATAAGCAGTTCCAGCTGTAGGTGAGTAGGAGGTTTTTATTGGTGTTGTCTCTACACCCTCGCCTCTTTCAATCAACACAACAGACAGTCCCTTATCTAGAGAGTGTGTTAGTATATGATTGAGCATGAGAAGTAATATTTAACAGTACCTGTTTTAACACCAGTTACGAAGTAATCGCAAAAGACTCCGTTAGTGATCCATTTCTTAGTACCATTTACGATATAGTGTTTGCCATCTTTGGTTTTCTCCGCGGTTGTTCGAATACCTGCGACGTCAGATCCGGCAAATGCTTCGGTGATGGCCAAGCAAATCTTCTTCTTCCCACTAAACACCTCTGCGGCAATTTTATTCTTCCATGCCTCATCGTTGGCAAATTGAAGAACTGCCGTTAAGGAAATGGTCATACCAGCCTGAGATTAAGTGTTAGTCACGCATTGAAATATAGAGTTGACTCTACATAAAAACATGGGCTTATAACTAACCATATTACCATCTTGAAATCCTCTTGCATTAGCGCGAACCATCTCCTGTCCGACAATCATATCATGAAAATAATCGAACTCCTCCCCTTTCACAGCGCCATCCATAAGGTTAACACCATGTAAATGTTTCCCCGGGCCCAATCTCATATGTAAGATCCCCATCTTCGACATTCGATCAATCAAATGTTGTGGAATATGCGCCCCAGTTTTTTCACACTCCTGAGCAACAGGTGTAACATATTGATCCGTAAAGATTCTCATTGCCTTTTGCAACCTCCTGTGACTTTCATTATAATAAGGACTCTTGAATTGTGGAGTTAACCATGTAGGTTCTCCGTATGGCACGACACTCAAATCCCCAACATTCTGTTCAATAACTTGCGATTTCTCGCCTTCAATTGTGCCAATACATAAATTCGAGTATTTTTGTAGGACTTCTTGTCGATGTAAGTTATAGAATGCTTCGGTTGCGTCTGTGCCGGCAACTTGTTTTAAGACGGATTCTCCTCCTGGATGAGCATCGACAAATTCAGTGACATCGTAGACCTTGCTGTCGATTATAAACCAGAGAGATTCCTCAGTATTATTTTTGGAGACTTCGTCTCGCGTGAGGGTGTGGTGAGGCATTGTGATGAATTGAAGGAAAGTAAATGGATGATGGTATATAACTTCGGCGCGAGATAAGACAATAAATGAGAGAATCAGTGCATGAAAGGAGAAGAAAAGAGAGATACAGAGTTAATACAACCTGGGGATCCGGAACCATTGAAACGCGCCGTGATTACTATTAGCAGTAGGGAATGTAAGGTTACCGAAACCTGGGGAACGGGGCAAAATACCGAGGTTCAATCAACCAATTGACGTTCTCGAATTACTAGCATGTCCGGACTGCCATCCAAAGCTTTCGGATGCTTGAACTGTACACTTCACTTGTGTGGGTTCAACGATTCTTTTCTTCAATTCGTACACTGCAACGATGGGGGTCGTATTAGCTAAAGCCACACCAAATTCAACGGTACTCAGGTATCGTCGTATATTCACAGAGCATTGCGTAAGTTTTACTCATACCTCACCAGGACGACTTGTACAAATGTGCATGTTTTCAAACCGCGTTGAGGCTCGCCGGAGAAACCACAAATTAGATATCAAATATCTTCATTGCTATTGTTGAAAACCATGATAAGTCTATTGAAATGCTTTGTCCATTTCTGGCTGATATTAAGCTCTAATTGTCTTCCCTTTTCATTTTAATCAATACTTGCAGAAGGAGGAGGGAGTGGAGGTGTATGTGGAATGTGTATTATAATACGTATCGCTTAGAAGATTGGCCCCTCATTTACAACCACTGTATAGCCCCGATGAGAATTTGCGGGTGTATTTTTCTGAAGCTCAAAATCGAGACTCCTACTATTGATCATGGCAATGGACATATTTCTCTTCGAGGCAACAACAAGGATGGTGACGAAGTGCGAGCGCGGAGAAGAAAGAAAGTACCTCGGATGAACCACTTGACCTACTAGGTTGTCCACCAGATCGACCAATCATATCTCATGTATCGTATCTATCACATCATCGCATCTGATGTGCATCGCTACTATTAGAATTTGGAATCTAGTGATTTCTATTTACGTGGATTACAGATCTCGCTCTTCTTTTTTATTCTCGTGGCAATAGATGCCGGATAAAAGACATGGATATGACTGCGATCCCAATGAAGTTATTCACTATCTCAGATCTTTCTCAAATTGGAACAGTTTCCGATGCATACCAAGCCGGGGATTGGCCGAATGCAGAGCAATGGCTTTGGAGGGGCGCATCAATAGCTTCTTTACATGTTCCCCGCGTTTACTGAAAGAATATGGGGTATATAGTTCTGATTCTGTCTAAAATCTTATCAAGATGGTTCATTGATCGTTGCGGGAACCATATTTCAAGCTGAAGTGTCTGTCTTTGAAATTGAACAATATGCTTCTCCAGGGTATCACCACATGGCTCTTGATATCTCTCACTGTAGCCCTGCCTGCTCCAGAGAGACGTCAATTGGCACCTACAGTTCAGATATCACATGCCAAAATCATCGGGTCTAGCACATTAGGAATTGACACATTCAAGGGAATTCCCTATGCTCAACCGCCCACCGGGTCTCTTCGCTTGAAACCACCCAAAAGTATCACCAGAAACCTGGGAACTATCCAAGCAACAAGTGTCCCCACAGCTTGTCCCCAAGGTTCAGCCTCCGGTCCCGTCGGTGAGGATTGTCTAACACTCAACATCCAACGTCCGTCAAACATTACTCGGCACTCTAAACTGCCTGTGCTCTTTTGGATATACGGCGGCGCTTTCGCAGGCGGCTCCACTCAATCTTTCGATGCAACGCAACTTCTTCGAACTTCCATTTCGAGTTCCCAGCCTTTCATTTACGTAGCTGTGAATTATCGTCTAGGAGGTTTTGGTTTCCTAGCCGGTTCCGAAATCCTCAGAGATGGATCTTCTAATCTCGGTTTGTTAGACCAAAGACTAGGTCTTCAATGGGTCGCCGACAACATCGCTTCTTTCGGAGGCGATCCCGATAAAGTCACCATATGGGGTGAATCCGCAGGTTCAATTTCAGTATTTGATCAAATGGCTCTTTATGGCGGCCAATACCATTACAAAAACAAGCCTTTATTCCGCGGTGCAATCATGGATTCTGGCTCCATCACTCCCGCCCAAACAGTCGATAGTCCGCGCGCACAAGCAGTATACGACCAAGTCGTGCTTGCGGGCGGCTGTCAAAATTCCACCCACACACTCAAATGTCTCCGCGCCCTTCCTTACGAAACATTTCTCGCTGCAACACTAGCTCCCCCCTCCTACACATCCTACACATCCCTCGCACTCTCCTATCTCCCACGTCCGGACCACAAAAACGGCGTCCTCCCTGCCTCCCCCGAAATCCTCGCTTCCCACGGCCAATTCGCCCCCGTCCCCTTCATAATCGGCGACCAAGAAGACGAAGGAACATATTTCGCTCTCGTCCAAACAAACCTCACCACCACCTCCCTCCTAACCTCCTACCTTCAAACCATCTTCTTCCCCACCGCTCCCCCCTCCAAAATCGCCTCCCTCGTCGCCGCCTACCCCGACGACCCCTCCGCCGGCTCCCCCTTCAACACCGGCACAAACTGGAACATCTACCCACAATACAAACGTCTCGCCGCCCTCCTCGGCGACATCGTATTCACCCTATCCCGCCGCCTCTTCCTATCCTACTCATCCCGCATCCACCCAAACGTAAAAATATACTCTTACCTCTCCAGCTACGGCTACGGCACCCCCATTCTGGGCACCTACCACGGAAGCGACATCGGCATCGTCTACGGCCAATCCCTCGGCTTCCCCCAACAATCCATCCAAAAATACTACCTCAATTTCCTGTACACGCTCGATCCGAATCGCGCCGCGAATCATGATGGATATGGCAGTGGTAGTGATACCCACAATTCCCACCCTAGCACAAACATAACCGCAAATACAAATACAAATACAACACAAACCCCCACCTGGCCCCCCTGGACTCCGCAAACCAAACAACTGCTCAATTTCCAAGCGGCGCAGAATATATTGATCACGGATGATTTTCGTCAGGAACAGTATGAGGTGCTCAAGAAGATAGTAGGCGTTTTGCATGTATGAGTGAGGAAGGAGACAAGACGTGCGAAATGTGGGGTTGTTGATTTGTGGTTTTTGCTTATATCCTACCCGTGAAGAAACGAAGGGAGAATAGCGATGAGAATCAGAATGAGGAAGGGGAGGGGGGATGCGTATTTACTGTATACTATATGCACCACACTGATAGAGTGTTGGTATCACGGTGCTATGTGGCGCATAATAATCCTTAGACTGCCAATAACCAGATAGGGAAAAGTATATCGTTCTTAAAGCTTTTTGTTCAATCCATAGCAATATAACACTCAATCTGGCTTGGGGATAGATATTGACGATTTTTCTTATAGTTTCTGTTGATTTGTTCGCTAAAATCTGTCTACAGATGTGTAGAGAGTAACAAGCGAAAGTTGGTGAGACCTGCACCATGGTATATATATGCCATATCCCCAATCCCATTGCCTCATTCCCAATCCCTTACCCAAGCCATCGATACCCTAATTTGTACGCTAAAAATCAAAGACTACCCAAACACCAGTCATTTTCCTCGCCGGGATTTCATAAAATCATAGTATGCAAGCATACATCGACTATTTCTTCTCATCTTCGACTTCCGCTTCATGATTCTCCCATCTTCTCTTAACCATTCGAACCCATCTTCTCCTTCTCCATTCTCCTCTTCTACCAGCCCCGTCAACCTCACTCGCTTCTTCCCAACTAATCGGTACCCCTTTCTTCCCTCTTATACTCCCTAAATTACTAGTACTCCCCGTATCCATGACACCTACGGAATCCTCCTCTTGCCCCTCATACCTAATATCATAAACCCATCTTTCACCCTCTGTTTCCACCTCTACACCTGTAATAATCCTTTCTTCAACCCATTCTCTACTCCACAAATCCAACGCCCATTTCTTTTCGCTCCATTCCCAACCTCTTGGACTCTTTACATCCTCGAAAAAACGACAACCGATTGGCCGCCCAGTTTCAATTCGCATACTGCTCATGGGATCATAAGGTGAGCTGCTGAATACGAAATGTTCCCACTCGCCTGCACGGGAAAGTTTTTGGAGCTCGAAGATTTCGACTTCGCGGGTTTCGGGAGATGAATCGAGGATGATGTCATGAGAAATGAAGGTTTCGAGACTAGTTTGGAGGGGTTTTGCACGCGGTTGTACGACTGTTGTATGTGTTGTGATCATTTGGCGTTGAATAGTTGGATGACCGAGAGATGTAATGGTCCAACCTATTGTGAGGAAGATGAAGCGCCATGGCATGAGATGCGAAGCGATGAACATAAATGCTGCTGTTACTACGAGGAAAAGAAACAGAGTAGATGATAGTGGTTCATTAGAGAAATTTGTGGAGGGAGATATTAGAGCAATTACTGTATCGTGGAGGCGAGAGAAATCTTCCATGCAGTTTTGGAGGTCGCGCATGTTACGGAAGAAATCTTTGGAAAGCTCTTTGACGGGTTTGACAACTGGAGCCGGAGCTATTGGCGGACCTATTGTGGAATATGTGAACGAGTCCGTCGTTATAGTTGTAGGAGGCGCGGGGTGACGAGCAATGAATGAAGGTATGAGGATTGCGAGGAGAAGAACCGCCAACGGAAGAACGGTAAGAAGATATGGATCTAGGCAGACGAAGGTATATACTGCAAGAAATGAGAGGGTATGCGACCATTGTTTCCAGCTTAGTAGACGTATCACTTTGGCTTGGAAGACGAAAACCACTCCTATTCTCGCATTGAATCTTCTGAAATTATTCGACATGGTCGTTATATTGAAAGCAGGTCGCTCAACAAAATTTGGAGGAGTAGTAGCCGTATCTTTTCCATTTTCGCCAAGGTCCTCCACTGGTATTACCTGCTGTAGTAATCTGTTGTAATCAGTAGAGTCCTAAGACGACCAACGTCGCAATGTAGAGTTTCGACGTACTTTTCAAGTAATCTATCTTGTACAGTTGCCGAAGTTTCCGAAGCTTTACTGTGTGCCTTTTTGAAGTTTTCCTTCAACTCCGATTTGTGTCTTCTCAATTTTTCTCGCGCCCCTTCTTTCTTAGACACTCCGTTTGCATCCTCCACATCGCCATTAAGGTCGTCTGTATGATCGAATCTTATCACCGGGATAGGATCATCACGATTCACAAACGCATTTGCCGTAAAGTCATCCATCTTCTGAGACTTTTTGAAGTATTAGGCTTCTTCGCGGAGATTGAGGGGTTGTGTCTGGGTTGGGATTCCAACGATCCTTATAAAGATCAATGAGGGGGGAATCTATTCATAGAAGAAACCGTTCAGTCGCAGTGTTTCGTTTCTTCCCTGATAATAAGGTTCCAGCCCATGTGGTAAGTGAATAACATGCTTCAAGTTAATTGAAAAATGATTCCAGTTGTGAAAATTTAGTTGAGGTTTGACCAATTCTATAATGTTTGTCTACGAAGCTCAAACATCTTGGTGTTTGAAGTTGACGCGCTTAGCGATCGATGAACCTACCTGCGGGAAGAGGAGGCATGACGTTTTTGCCGCCGACCACCGACCACCGACCACCCGCAATTGGGCTGAAGGGGTTGGATTTCGGACTTGACTAAATTTCGACTAATTCGAAAAAATAAATTCCCTTCGTTCCGTCTTACCGTCGTAATAGACTTCTTATCCACCCACGCAAGGAGCTATCATTTAAGTTTATTGGGCATGTATTGAATATTCGATCAGTACTTTTGGGATTCGGGAATCAATTGAAGATTCCCCAGAAGTGATAGCAAATGATCTTGGGACAGAGGAAAACGGCAATAAATAAGTATAAAACGCTTTTAACCCATGATCACAGTAACGGCTAGATGATACCGCTTATGCTGTTGTGTGACCCCTTTTTCAAGCTCAAGCTCAAGCTCAAGCTGTAGGTAGATTATACATGAAGCAGTACAGTACCATACTTTCTGTCGTACAGAAACATTCTGCGAGAGTACAACACCAACCAGCATGAATAGCATCATACCATGGCAAGCATGGCTTCCAACACAAGTCAGTTCTTGTCGTTGAAACATGGTTTTAGCCTTTATCAATCTTTTAACTGGGTAATGTTCTTATCATTCGGAATATTTTTCTTACTCAAAACATTGCCTGCACGTGTCAGGGGCTCACAAACTAACAAGCAAGAAGAAAGGCAACTGGCTTGGTCTTACCTACCTACTCGTTAGTATTTGGTGACGGAAGCAGGTGATGCTTTGATGGATGAAAACTGCATCTTGGAGAAAAGGGGTGTGACATCCTGTTTGCATTGTTGTACATTCTCTATGCTCTAGGTGGATCTGTACCTCACAGAATTTGATGTCTAGATACTCCCTACATGCGATATACATTAGTGGAGGAATTAGTTGGTGTTGCCATGGTGTACAAAAATCTGAAGCCGAGTAGGGCAGAAACCTTCATAGTCTCCATAAGATTGCATGTATGAGGAATGGGAATTTTATGTTTACGAGAGAGGAGGAGGGAACGAGGGCTCACTCGGCACAAATCCAGATCAGATTAAACTTTGTAGAAGAAGAAAGTCTGTTGTTTACCTACCTAGGTAGCTAGTACTTGTAATCCAGCTTCAAGTTGCGATATCGATTTGATTTGTATACTATATATCGAATTACCTAGGTATCAACTTGCATCCTGGGTATTCGAGCACTAACTTTCAGAAACCCTACACTCATAATCTTACCAGTCCAATTTGCCATGTATCATTCACATTCACACAATATACCTTCACGCCCAATAATCACCTTGACTTATTAGACAGACCACGATATTTGCAGACCTGGATTTCCCTCCACCAGACCATCAATATTTGATACTCGATATATACTAAATACAGATTGCTCGACCCGGTAAACAATCTACACGTCCGTCCATACATGGGTGTCCTCATTAAATCAATGATATAATTATCAAATAATCCTTCTCTATAGTGAGGAAGCATTGAAAGCATTGACAGTGGTAATAAAGTTGTGATTGCATTGCTTGGGTCTCCTGGAAAGAGTTCGTCGTCCTGCAGCATGTGTGATTAACTTTATTGATGGTCTCAAGATAGATAGCTACAAGGAGAAGAAGGTGTGAGGGGGTGAGGGAGGCGTTGTGGTTTGAGGTGCAGGTGGCAGACTCAAGAACTCAAGACTCAAGACTCAAGACTCCAGAGTGAATAAGATAACAAGCCACCTTGACCGCCGAGATGATCAAAATTCATCACAGTACGGTCTCTATTAAACTGTACTACATTTTATTAGTTTGGTTCATTGAATGGATTTGGTAAATTTCTTTAAATTTTGATAGGCTCAACATATTTAAGTCTACTCCATCTTGTTCAGGTGTACCGTTGTCTCATTGGTTCATTGATGGGATTTTGATGATTTTGATGATTTTGATGATTTTTACGATTTTATTGTTGCATCTATTCCAATTTTGATAGGTTGGTTCAAAAAGCATCTCGTTACATCTTGCAAAAAGAAAAGAGACTTCCCTTGATGCGTCCATACTGTACATACCATACCATACTATACTACTCTACTCTACTCGTACATACTACTCGCACGTACTACTCTACTCGTACATAAACATAACGGTACCAAAAGAAAAGGGACCCCAGTCCTCTAGTCTTCCAGTCGCCCAGTCCTCCACTCCAGCCCATTCATTCAATTCAGTCTCCCAGCCGAGTCTCCAAGAGTCCAAGTACAGTCCGTCAGTCACTCACTCACTCACTCACTCACTCACAGTCACTCACTCACTCCATCCAGAATCTAGATCCACTTTTTGTTTCTATAGGCAACGGAAAAGACCTTGATCATAAACCCCCCAACCCTTACCACCCTGACTTCCCTGAGCCACCTCGAATCTCGAAAAGGTACGGGAAACATCAAGCTTTTATCCCATTCGCAGTACCAGTAACCAGTAACGGGAACGGACAGGTACAGGCTTGCAATCCATCCCCAAAATATTGTTCAACTACTCTTAGTCTATCTGCAGCCTCAGAGAGACTGACTCTCCATACAATAAAAAAAATACATCTGCCACCGCTACCTTCATTTCACCACTAAACACAATCCACGAGCCATTCCTCGAGATATATTCCAAACTTCCAATACAAAAAGAGGAGACCATCAATTGACGCGCTTTATTTCTGTGGAGAAGAAGGGAAAAAAAAAGATATTGACTCTCGAGAGACACTGATACCGATAGCTTTCCTCTGCATTTTACTGGGTCACCATTTACAACGACTTCCCTGTTTACTAGTTATACCCTACGACGGCCATTTGAAATGAGATAGTCTATCGACAAACTCGGCCCTTAAACGGACTGAGCTCAAGGAAAAGCAAAATCCTTTACTCGAGATTAATTTCTGTCGCTGGCTTCCCCCAGTGACTTTAGTTCCTTATTCATGATTCGGGAACAGAGGGCTCCTTCAGGTCCACGACCTGACCTTTCACCCACCAGACAGTAAGATTCACAACCTTCAAGAAGGGAGCCATTCGAGGCGCTCATATTTACTAATATTTTTAACAGAAGGATTTCTGAGAATTATCCTCCCAGTGTAGGCACCGGAGGTTCGCGTCTGATAGCTGGGACAGAGCCTACACTGCATGCTCCACAACGAAACAATCACACCTTATTTACATTTGGGGGTCACAACGACGATAATTCGACTTCTTACGACTTTTTGCCTTCTCCCAGTTTTGACGACCTGCAAACTAGCATCTCCAATGAACTACAGCTTACAGCACAATATCCGGCAACAGGTGGGGGAGATTCAATGCCGAGAGAGAAGCCCTCAATGGGGGAAATTAAAGCATCTATGAACAATGGGCGAGGGATAGGTTCTGCGCGTGGAGTGTCTGGACCACGACCCGCGAGAACCTCCTCTTTTCAACGTAGGCAGAGTGTGAGCAATCGTCAAGGTAGCATATCTTCAACCACTTCTTCAACTGCATCGGGGAATATGGATCCACCATCTGCTCCCCTAGCTGTTCGAACTCGACGAAATCAATATCCTCCGATATCTGGAAGTGCTGCCTCCAATGCGCCTGCTGCTAGAATACCGCGCAGATCTGTAGGAGGTGCTGAGTCAGATAGCTCAAGCAAGGCAGGGACCACACCAAGACGACGTCCGAGTCTTGCTCCAAGTACATCATTGCAATCTTTGTCGGATGCTGCCAATGCATCTGCAAGATTGAATAGTACAGGAGTTCCGAGTTATATGGATGGAGCAAGAGGTACCACTGCCTCGAGAGCAGCTAAAACTAAATCATTGCAACCTCCGAGTAAAGGGCAACCCCAAGTTTCTATTCAGCCTGGCACACCAGATCACAGTAGATCATCATCCCTTGCTGCAAAGTCACCAGGAAGGCCCAGTGGAACAGGAATACCTGCAACCACACCATCATCAACCTCGAAGCGGATGTCAGTCTTGCCAGGTACTTCCCATGCAAGTGGACTTGGGGCTAGAACCATCAGCCCTACGGATACTCGAAGAGCCAAACGATTATCGACTCATCAAGGAAATCCTACTGCTTCGCCAGGTACACCGCCAACTCCACAGCCTGACTCGTATCCGGCGTTTACTCCTCGAGGGTCTTCAAGGTCCCCTTCAATGTTACCTCGAAAGGTGCCCACACCTTCATCATCTCGAACTACTCCGGATAGTAACCGTAAGTACAATTCTGCTATTTCAGCTGCGTCGAGTTCAAGCTGTAACACATCTCGAATTACTACAGGTTCCTTACAGCCTCGAGTCTCGTCACTTGCCCCCACAACATCAAGGTTACCAACACCTAAGTCACGAAATGTTCATAGCTCGGCTGGTAATAATGAGGAGGAAGATGTTCCGCCAGTTCCTGCGATACCCAAAGCGTATGAATCCCCCAAAGATTCTCCCATCGAAACTCCGTTTTTTGCCAAGAGGAAATCAAGCATGCCGTTTGATGCCAGTAGTATTAACAGTACTTCAACAAATAGCATTTCTGGTAGGAACTCTGCACGTGAACCAACCAAGATTGAACGAGAGCCAAAGAGGTCGAGGCATGCGCCACCTAGCTCGAATTCAGACCTTGAACAGCAAAAGCAAAATACCACGACTCCCAAGAAAAAGAACCTTCAACCACTTCGTCTGCCACCCTTGAATTTGTTACCATTAAGCGCTCCTACGGCTGCAAAAGCTGCGGCCATATCCAATCCTGAGCCTTTACCCAATGGTGCCATTACACCCCCGCCTAAGCGGACAAATACAAAGACCCCAAGTTCGCCCATGACAGCTTCCAAGACCTCGTTCTTTTCCCGTCGCAACGAAGATAAATCGGAGCATCATATGCCTAAAATGCGAAGCAATAGTTCTATCCATCATAGACCTACAGAATCTTCGCAAGTATTTGGAAATAACAGTGGGACAAAGCCAATACCTATAGCCAATAACCGACCACCGCCGCCTAGGGAAACCTCTCCATATCTATCCTCATCTCTTCCCAAGAACAACGCTGGCCAGCATCTCATGCCTCGGTCCAAAACTAGTGGTGATTTCACTACAATGGACACTTCGACGACTGAAAACAAGCCGGCAAGATTGACTGGGCCACGTGCCTTGAAGGTGAATAGATTAGCCAAAACAGATACTCCTGCGGAAGTCTCAAGTCCGGAAGAACCCCCAACGCCGTCTTCAACAACTTCGTTGCGAAGGAAGTTGAGTCTTGGTTGGAAGCGATCTGGATCGAAGAACACCGCCAGCAATGCTCAAGCAACAGGCGGAAGAGAAGCCAATCAACCACCTCCTCCGCCAAAACATGATAATATGCCACCACCTAGATTGCCTGCTTCTTCCACCATGAACAATATGAGTAGCAATAACAAGGAAATTCCTAGTCCTAGTCCTTCGGTCAAGTCAACCACTACTACTACTACTTATCTCAATTCCAGTCGAAGGAAAAGCTCGGTTTCGAGCCTTAATATGATCACAGGTCACGACAGAACAAAGAGTGATAGCTGGGGTTTGAATCGAAACAGTCCGAAGAAAGAGACATCAACTGACTCTATGGCCTCGGAGAGAAATATTCCAACCGCGACTTCTCGAACTACATCTTCTGTTATGCATAGAATGCTCAATCCAAAGGCTTCTAGTACTAGTATTAGACATCAAGATCACTGGACAGCGGAATTAGACAAGGATGATCTTCTGGCGGAAGAGGAGATGAAGAAGCTCGGCAATAAACGAAAGGAAACAGAGACGGCAGCTCGTCAATTAGATGCTCTAAGAAAACGTGCTACTCCTAAGGATCGAGCGAACCCTCAACAGGCTCTCAAACTTGTCTCGCATCTCAACATTTACGAGAAAGGGGAAATTGTCGATTACAAGGACATTTACTTCTGTGGGACATCTAGTGCAGCCAAACATGTTGGTCAGCTTCAATCTGATGCCGCCAATTTCGGGTACGATGATGAAAGAGGGGATTATCAAATTGCCACTGGAGATCATCTTTCATACCGTTATGAGATCATTGATGTTCTTGGTAAGGGAAGTTTTGGTCAAGTCGTAAGATGTATTGATCACAAGACTGGAGGATTAGTAGCTATTAAGATCATCCGGAACAAGAAGAGATTCCATCAGCAGGCTTTGGTAGAGGTTAATATCCTCCAAAAGTTGCGCGAATGGGTATGTAATTCCAATCACTTCACTCAGTAGCCAGCTAACAATTATAGGATCCTAAAAATAAGCATAGCATGGTCAACTTTGTTCAAAGCTTCTACTTCCGTGGTCATCTTTGTATCTCTACTGAACTTTTAGATATGAATCTCTATGAGCTCATCAAAGCTCACTCTTTCAGAGGTTTCTCACTTAAGATCGTTCGACGATTTACAAAGCAAATGCTTAGCAGTCTGTTGCTTTTGAAATCAAAGAAGGTCATTCATTGTGATTTGAAACCCGAAAATATTCTGCTTGCGCACCCTCTTCATTCAGAGATCAAGGTTATTGACTTTGGGTCAAGTTGCTTCGAGAACGAGAAGGTGTACACGTACATTCAATCCCGATTTTATCGATCCCCTGAAGTTATCCTTGGTATGACATATGGTATGCCGATAGATATGTGGAGTCTTGGGTGTATCTTGGCGGAGCTTTTTACTGGAGTGCCCATCTTTCCTGGTGAAAACGAACAGGAACAACTCGCCTGCATCATGGAAGTGTTTGGTCCACCGGAAAAGCATTTGATTGAGAAAAGTACTCGCAAAAAGCTTTTCTTTGATTCTCTCGGGAAACCACGTCTCACGGTATCTTCAAAAGGACGCAGACGTCGGCCATCCTCAAGATCTCTTCAGCAAACCATCAAGTGCGACGATGAAGTTTTCCTTGATTTCTTGGCACGTTGTCTCAGGTGGGACCCTGAAAAGCGTTTGAAGCCTGATGAAGCTGTTAGGCATGAATTTATCACTGGTCAAAAGGCTACTGCTCCACCTCGTATCAATACTCGAATCGACTCGCCAATAAAGCGACACAATACCACCGCTGCACCTGCTTCCAATAGACCCCTTCCAGAACCACCTGCTTACAAGAGTGGTTCATCTGTTCGGCCACCCGCGGCTGGGACAAGTCCAAGTAAAGCTCTTCCGCCTCGAAGACAATCCAATGCCACAACATTGACCGGACCTCCTGGGCCGAAACGTACAAGTACTGGAACCGTGGCAATTTCTGGTGGTAGCAGCTTGCCCCGAGTCACACGAAGTGTCAGCTCGAAACAGGATTTAGCATCAGCGGGGGCATCGGCAGCTATGAATAGTCGGCGAGCATTATAAAATATGTAATGTATGAAACGAAAAGTGTTGAGAATGAAAAAATCATTCATACCACTCATTGGGTACATAAGGAGCGGATTATACGAATAGACGAGTTTTTATTACTTCATTGCCATTTTCTTTCTTTCGTTTGAAGTTGTCCTTTATTGCATAGCAGCGAGGTCGGCCGGAGCATTTTTCTTTTCTTATTTTTTTCTTGTCACATGTCTTTCCATGATGCATACCCACTGCGCAACAACTATACATACCTCATTCGTTCAAAAGCATAATGCGAATCGTATAACTTTAGCTGAAGTCTTTCATTTGATATACTGAAAGTTAATCAGGCGTTCTTGTGGCAGCAGGGCTGTAAGCTGGAACAATCTGGAGTATCCTTTTTGTGGGCGGACCGCGCATTCATTGATACGCATATAAACACTACTATAATTTAATTTGACGTCTTTCATTCACGAGATTATTTACTGGGAGTTTGGGAGTTTTTTAATTAAGAAAAGATGGGGCTGAAGGGAGAAGGGGGAGGAGGAGGGGAAAAAGATTTGTAGGGAGGAGGAAGCTTGTTTGCATGAAGGAGCTTGTTTGTATGGAGATTCTGGTTCGTGGTGAATGCGATGCATTGTAAAAGGATGGAAGCGGGTACGGATTGGAATTGAATTGAATGATAGGGAAATGATGAATAGCATTGAGATGAATAAGATGAATAAATTATGTATATTAATGTTTTGTACTCTTTTCCTTCTCTGATGGTGATAATGATCTTGATTTTAATCTTGATGGTTTGTTGATGTTGATGTTGATGCGGTTGTTGAGTGGGTGTGTGTGGCTGGAAAGTTTGAAGCTTGAAGCTTGATAGATGAAGTGAAGGGGTTGATCGATTCGATAGGTAGATAGATGGATGGATGGATAGATAGATAGATAGATAGGGAAGTGGTGGTCTACTAGGTAGATTGTAGGCTATTATTGCATTCATGCTCTTGTCACTGATTACTTGTGGAGGATTAAAATTTAAATTGTAGGGTAGCTGGTTTGTTGGATGGATGAGTGAATTGGTGAATAGATTGCTGAATAACTGAAGGAATAGGCGGATTAAAGGAACTCTTGGCCCTTCGGATATCGTTTTGTGCTGTGTTATGTTATATGGTGTTACATTATATTATATGGTTCCTACTACGGATTGTTGTGTCATCATCATATATATCGTCGTGTGTTTTGTTTTGTGTTGTGTGTGTTGTGCGGTTTAGCTTTGGATATTTGGATATCTGTGTGTATTGGTATTGGAAGTACCTACCTACCATTCATTCGTCATATGCAAAGTGTAAAGATAGCTTCCACGCTCTTGTTGTGTTTTAGCAGTAAGATTACAATATAATGAGTAAGACAGGTTCTCTCCTAATACTATATCCATACAAGCCAAAAGCAGATAATCAAAAGAATAGAAAGGTGACTTTTTAACCCTCTCTCTGCACAAATAGATTTCATCCACTTTTCATTGTAATGTCATATCATTGAGTTGTTAAACTATACCGCCTCCTCAATCTCCAATAACATTTCATCTCCCTTCCTTCAACGGCATTCATTCAAATATCATATCCATTCGTACTCCTACTTTACTCCCACCAGTTCTCATTCTCATTCCCCTTAAATTAAGAGAATACCCACTCAAATCGTTAAACCTTCTTATTCTCGTATAACCTGCTACCAAAAATTGAACATCCATTATCAATCCATCATCCATAGAAATTATCATTAAGGAGAGTCGTCGACTCGTAAAGTCATAATATATCATGCGTATCCGTCGTGGGTGTGTATGTATGTCGTCCAAAACCATCTTCCAAAACTGTGTAAGAAAATCGCCAAAAAGTCCTCCATCATCTTCATAAATACCATCATCAGGAGTAAGGAATGTATCATATCTTCATCCCTTGTCTCCTCCGCATCCACATTTCATTCCTTTTTCTCAAACATAAGAGCACTTAAAGAAACCAAGCAAGCACAGCACCCGCTGCTGCGAGACCACCTGCACTGAGGATATTAGCAGCACCTGTATATTCAGGTGCACCAGTTCCGGTAGCAGTTTTAGTTGGTCCAACGGGTGTAGCAGTTGCGCTTCCGCCAGCACCCGATCCACCAGTTGTACCATTGTGAACTCCAGAGCTACCAGCCCCAGATCCACCGCCAGATCCACCACCCGAGCCTCCTCCCGAGCCACCAGTTCCGACAGCGGTACTGACAGCGGTACCGGATGAAAAGATGACAGTGGTAAGACCCGATGACGGGTCGATAACAGGAGTTGTAGAGACAGTAGGCGCTGTGATTAAAGGAGGAATCACGATAGAAGTTGAGACAGTGGGAGATGTGATAGATGGGAGAACTACTGGGGTAGATGTAGGACAGAAGGTTGTGGTGTAGGTTATGAGTTCGGTTTTTGAACCCTCGATGATCGTTGATGTACCGGTCGATGTTGTAGTTGTTGAAGCGTTGAGAGATGGGGTAGCGGAAGGATTTGGAATGGGTGTGCAGTTGGGAAGGGTGAATGTGCCGTTGAAGTTACCGGAGGCACCTTGGACGATACAGCTAGGAGTTGTTAGTCGTGTGATATCCAAGACCAATAGTCAAAGATAAATTGAAATAAGAAATTCAAGGATGGTCGATGAGAGTTGAAGTGGAAGCTATAATATGAGATAATGGAATGAGATGTAATAACATACTTCTTAGAGCAAGCAGCATCACCACTCTTCTCACTAGTCTCCCAACATGGTGAGTAGTTCACACCATAAGGGAAGTATCCGGCAAGGTTGTCATCACAGTTCCCTGGTTGACCAATGCCATTTGTACATCGAATGATGATAGGACCACCGAGAGATGAACTTGCGCAGTAAGCACCATTGGCAATTGGGCACGAGAAGGTTCCAGTAGTCGAGTTACTATAGTGATGTTAACTCAGTCGAATCTAATGAAGGAAGAGAAGATCTAAAGTATTGATCTAGGGCTGGAGGAGTAACTGACTAGGTAACTTGAGCACTGCTTATACCAGCGAGAGCAGCAATTGCTGCACTAATGGTAACGAACGACTTCATTGTTTTTGATCTTTGATTCAGTATGTTATGGATTGATTATCGTTGTAACCAAAACTTTCATCCACTAGATAGCGGTGTTGAGTTCCAAGAGTACTAGGTATTGTAGTAAGTGTTGAGTGTGGGACCAAACGATTGTGTAGATGATTGATGTTTTTGTTTACTTTGAAAATTAACGACAGACAGACAGTAAGGTTTGATGCGACTATGCGCTTTGTTATGTTAATATGTCTATTGGAAAGTGATATGTACGTTGATGTAAGAGGAGGCAAGAATTCATTGGGGAAAGAGGGGGATTTCATTTTATATGTACATTGCGTGGGAGGCAAGAAGTAACTGCTGATCAACTTGACTGGCAGGTATATATTGCTCAATATGGAAATACGGTAGCTTTCCTCCCACTTCACATCTATTTAGGCGGGACCAAGAGACGAGGCGCTCCTGCATTTTTCTATCGTGTTCTTTGATCCCTTGTATGAAAGATGCGGGATTTCATGGGTCTTTCTGAGCAGAGCAAAACGACAGGAAAGTAAGAAATATCTTGTTAAGTAAGCAAAGAAAAGAAGAGATGGGCAAATCAGGTGTCATCAAAAATGATGATATCTCACGAGTCAACGATTCCAAAAACTAAGCCTCTCACCCAAAACTCGGTACTTCCGATTGTAGGGCTAGGCTCCTCGTGCCTTTGTACCTTTTTTGTCTCAGATATGAGGCTATTTGTAGCAAGACTCCTGTTTGCCCTCTCGTATCATGAATTCAATTTGTCTATATTGAATGAAAGAACAAGGAAGATGAGAAAAGACACCGAGTTGTGCCGAAGATTCATCAATAGTGGCATGGTATAGTATAATGCCTCGTACTTGTCATCATTCCATTTATTGGATGCTGAATCGATCCATACCGGATGAGTTGGTTGTACGGGTCGATTCAAGCGATGAGTAGATGGAAATATACCTTGGCATTCTGATAACCCATTTGTTGGCAGGGTTGTACTGCATTTGAAGACCACAGTATCTGGCATTCTGAGAATCCTGTAGTGATGGTATTCAGAAAAAGATTGTCGGTCGCTTGAGCGAAACGAAAGGAAAGAAAACCAACAGGTGGTACAGTGTTTGCATGATGAAAGATAGTGGTGTGGCTGGAATGAAATATGTTTGGCTAGCCATGGGACTTTGATCCGCTTATTCATCGCGGGGTAGTTCTTGAAGTAGACTGAGAAATGGCGTGAGTTAACAGTCGACAACAACATCAACATCATATCTACATTTGCCCCCTTCATTTCAAGGAATTATATACATATCATATAATCTACAACTCAAGAACTTTCTCAACATTTTATCTTTACAAAGTATAACAGCTACTCCATTTCGAATCTTCGCATCTCGAATTAATATATCCCACCTTTCTATTCTCACATAGAAAACAACCCCGGGTCCAACGACAAACATACCTTGGTAGCATCGCCCCGAAAAGATCCCCAGACCTCGTATTCAAGACTCTCGCCAACACCATGTACGATTCTACCATCACATTTACCTTTGATACTATTTGTCCATGGTAAGTCGTCTCCGTAAAATCCTCTACATTCCTTCTTTTTCTATCTTTTTTCTTGATTCATTGCGATTTTCACCATCAGCACATTGCATATGCGGGTGATTATCCAAGCACATTTTGATGGAATACGAGATCAAGAGTATGACTGATCGTGTTGGTCGCAACTAGGACTTATCTTGCCAAGAAGAGGTAAGGATATTCAATATTTCATGGGACTATTATTGGAAGTCTGAGAATACGGATTACTAACTGCAGCAACGTTACTTAGATTGGATGAAGGTAAGAATTGGGCTTTTCTTCCATGTTAGAAGTCGGTTGAGAACTTGAGATGATATTACCCAAATATCCAAAATATCGGAAATGGATTGGGAAAGGATATCACTCACGTGATGATGATCAACGTCGTCTCCTCCTTTCCCCCGCCCCCACAATCACTCAGGTCCATACACATCTCCATCTACTAACAATCCCTTTAGCACTCCGTGTCGTCCGTTCAACAGATGCAGCTTCGAAAGTTAACTTCACCATCAAGTTTTCACCATATCAATTATATCCCGGAGCCAGCAAAGAAGGCGAAGATAAATATGCTTGGTATCGCAAATCCCGTTACGGAGATTCTGAGGACAAGATGGAAATGTATATCAAGTTAATGACTGCATATGGAAAATCCGCAGGTATAGATTACAAATTCGGTGGTACAGTTGCCAATACTCTCGATGCCCATCGAGTTGTTCAACACTTCCAACAAGAAGATGTGAAAGGTAGTGGTCCGGAGATAGCGGATAAGATCGTCATGGCGTTGTATCGAATGTATTTCCAAGAAGAAAAGCATCCTAGTAGTAAGGAGACATTACTTGCGGCCTGTAAGGAAGCGGGGGTGGATGAAGGAGAAGCAAAGAAGATCATTGAGGATGAATATGAGGGGTTGATGGATGTGAAGAATCTGATTAGAGAGGCGGAGGGGAATGGTGTGGACAGTGTACCGGTTGTCAGTGTTGAAGGTAAAAGGAGAGATATAACCTTGACTGGAGCACAGGAGGTTCATGACTATGTGAAGATGTTGGAGCAGATTGTTAAGGAGAGCGAGTAAATTGTTGATGAAGGGGTACTTTCGAGAAAAGTTGTGTGATTAATCATTCTTGGCTATGAAGCGATTTTTCAAGGACCCAGTTGGAGGCGGATGTATTGTGTGCCTCTAATTATCACTCTCGTTGTTTATCTCTGTGTTTTGTTATTCATGTGATCTCGAAAAGTGCCATCGTTGTGCGTTTTCATTTACTTCGTATTGCATCAATTTTTCCTACCCTACTATAGTTCTACCTGTACGCAGAATCAGAAAAAATTGTTTAAATTGTTTCCCTCTATCGTCCATCTTCTCTCACCCAGCGTACAGCAGTTTCCACATCCATAATCGCTAGTAAATCCAAACTGCAGTGTGCAAGTCCAATCAAAAGCTCTAAAAATCAAGGGAAAGTTAGTATACCAAGTTAGAAACGCTAAAACTATTCTCTTTCTCAAGGCAATCCTACTACGAGTTTACGGGAGTATATATTGGTCAATTTGAAATCCATTCTTCAAGATTTGTAAAGATTGGAATCGCCTCTAGGGCGATGTTGGGATTGATCGAATCATGCTTGAAGAGCCTCCTCAAATATGGAACAAACCCATATAGTGACTAAGAAAAAGCTTGTTTTCAGCGCTAATTTCTGGATTCACATCGATATCATGTTTGGGGAGTTGTCAGCAAGTAATAGCCCTATCAACATATCTGATACTTGGTTATGCTGCACCTTTACTATTTTCGAACATGACTGCAGTTTTCCATACACTTTGAGATGAACATGAAGATGCTAGTGTGTATATTAAAGCGAGTATCCAAAAGTGAGTATCTGGGATATCATCAGATGTCCAACAAAACAATACTCACTCGCTTTACTCAAACTCAAATTTCAGTGTTGATACTTGAGAAACCTCGCAAGTTTTACTTCAACCAGAGAGACAGAACCAGCAAATAGCTATATCTTTGTGAAGCTCTACCCGGGGGCAATCTGTACTTCTTTTCAACATGTCTGTTTACTTATAAAGGCAAGAAATGCAATCGAAAGGAAGTAATATCGTTTCCGAAACCGAGTATCAAGATGACATCAGACGTGCAACAAATGTAAAAGCATACCCCTATTTTCTCTAGCTTACACTCGATTCTGCCAGTAAAAATATGTGCAAATCATAAAATCTCACTTTGCCTGCATAGAAACCCCCAAATACACGAGTTATCTAGTCAGTTTTAGAGATTATAAACCTTTGCTTCTTCTGAAGATTTTCATAACTTTTGAACCCCTTTATCCTAGATCTAAAGGCACAAAATAGGATTTAAAGAGAGGCATCTGGCTTAACATTAGACGTGCAAAAAAACTCCGTGTTTGAATCAAGCTGTTTGTTGCATATATAGAATCGTGACATTTCTAGCTTTGATATAAACTCTTGGTGTTACTAAGGTTGTTTGCTATAGGTCTCAGTACTGAAATAAATCCGAAGTCAATAATCTCTCATTCCTATTTATTGCTTTCTCAACGTGTTGAAATTTAGCTCGTGACTTTGTGAAAGGGAAGGCGGAGTTGTCAAAATAGTCACTAAGTTTTGAATACGGCAAGAACGACTTCTTCAGGTCAAATACATTTTCGCTGCACTTTCCTTTTAAAAAAACTCCACCTTGCAGAAAAGACTGAAGCAAGTGTGATCTTATTTTCATCCGTTTCTTCTGCCCATATTTACAGAATTGTGAGTCGATAATCGACTTTTATATTTTCATCAGCTTTGTTAGTAAGTTTATTTTCTGGAAACTTGAGATTGAACGGTTTATAATTATAGGAGGCCTCTTGAACTACTTTTCATTCGATTCTGTAGCCTTTGGATCGAAGTTAACATATATTTCTTTGTACCGATTATCGTTATTGCAACACGATTCGAAGAGACGAAGAGGTTGTTTGGCGTGTTGAGAGTGTTCTCTTATTGAATAAGACGTACAGCGAAACTCTTGTATCTTGAGTGAGCATATTCACTTTCTGCTACCTTCACTATAACTTTGACTTCTATTTCTACTTCAGTCTTGAAAAATTCTAGACTTTCTCTTCAACTCGAACTTCGTCGATTCGGGACAACCCTCAAAGCTATCACGCAAACTAGCCTTTTTGAATTTTACATAAACCTCGATTGATCTCAACCAAATCAACCAACCCGATATCCTCCAAGATGTCGTCAAACCCCTCTCCCAAATCCAATGGTACTTCGTTTCCAGATTCCAACATCCCTCGCCCTTCTGAGGATACCGACATGCAATCTGTTCCCGAAATTACCATATCCAATCCTGCAGGTGTTGAAACCCCAATGAATTCCCCAACTCCACTTTTCCCGCCTGGAATAGAATCATTTGTTCAGCGAGGAGCTATTGAGCGAGCTAAAAAATCATATTTGGCTGAACTCCGATCTGCTCGCGCAACAAATACTACGGTTAATTCTACTGATTTACCTGCTTCTCCTAATTCTCCCAGAAGACGACAGCTTCGAGACAACGAGGCTTTACTCTTTCTGGGCACTGGAAGGAGTATATCACCTGGTGGTACCATGAGTATTCGCAGGCCCACGTTAGGTGAGCAAACACGTGCGGTCGCAATCCCCGGAATGGATTTCCAATTACTTGATGATGACATGGATACTGAGCTCCCCACGATACCTGAGGTAGTACATGCCGTTGAAGGACACGATTCAAGCAGCAGAGTTCGAGCAATCAGAAGACCTCGCAGACATCGGCGTCCGGGAAACCATTCTCGCAGACAGGTGATCACTAGAAGAAACCGGACTTCTCAAAGAAACGCCATGGACGCAGTATCGGGTCGTCCAGTCTTGACTTCCATTCTTAATCGAGAATCTACAAACACATTAAGCTCAATCTGGCCTCCAAGTAATCAAGATGCAGATGCGGATGATGAGGCGGTGAATCTGGATTCACCTCTACCGGATCCAGCTATGAATCTAGATACCTTTACCGCGCGGAGAAATGTTCGCAGTCGTAGCGCATTATCTAATGTAATGTCTACAAGCGATATGGAATATGAACATCAAGAAATGCTCAGTACGAATACCGATCTGAGTTACAGTTCCGAAACACTTCTTGGGAATTTGCAAGCAGGAGACTATGAGGTTCCTACAGATCAAAGGGAAAAAAGTGCACTTGATACTTTCACAACACCTGTGAATACAGATTCGCCTTCGGTTGCATCAACATCGACACCTACATCTCTATCGAGTAGTACGACAGAACCACAATTCCGATCTCAGGCAATAGGGACTGGAAATACGACAGTGAGTTCTCGCAAATTATCTCAAGATGCATCGGTGAGATTGTGGAAAGCGATGTATCGAACTAACGACAAGAAGCAGCAGGATCTGGAGACGATGAGGGAAGAAGGCGTGGATGATATACCGATTGCGAAATTATCGATAGGAGGTTCGTTTCGGAGGTAGAAGTGACTGATCGGTAATGGATGATGGCGAATGGGGGTGGTGGGTTTTCGACGATACTTGGATTTTGTGGTAGAAGTTCAAATATCGCTACATCGCCTCATCGTCGACTTTGGATATCGAAACCGATACGAATAATTACCTACCTTGTCAAACTCGAAACGAACAATAGTCTTGGATGGTACGATGCGTTGAAACTTGAAACTTGAAACAGAGAATAATAGAGATGAAATAACAGCGATGAGATTATTATGGAAGTTAATTTTCTAGCCTTTATGAAGTATGAAAGCAAAAATGCTCAAGATAAGGTTACCTACTTAAGGGTCAATAGCGAGAGAAAGGATGCAGAGATTGATTGATTGATGAATAGATGTTAAATAGCATAATATCAATATACCTACTCATTCGCCGTATGTATTGTAGTTAACTGTGCATTTTGTGTTTTGTGGTTTGTAAAAAAGTGAGTTGAGTTATCTAATCTCCTTTATTATTTACCTATAGGTACCTAGGTATGTAGGTAGGTAGATAGATATCCTCTTCATTTTATATACCTAGATACAGATAACGTGGTTTATCACCGGGTTGTCAATATCACCAAGTCGTCATTTCAAAAATACACTAAAACTAAGCTTTTTTTAATATTCATATCTTAATAACTAATCATTATTTTTGAAAAAGAAAAGAATATTAAATAATAATAAGAAATCAATTATTCAAAAATCTGGTTTTTATATCAATATTTCTGTTCTATTTCGAAAAAAGCCGAAATTTTTACGATTTTCGTTATAAATAAATTGTTTTAATAATAACTCTTATATTAATTCAATTTTTTGATAAACAATCAGATTTTTGTAATATTTTTATAATTAGATTTTATATTTTCAAATTTTATAAAATTATATCGAAAGATAAAGAAAGTGCACGGTTACATACGAACGTTTTTTGTATGTAAAAATAATTGGCGATCCGGTGATATTGGCGACCTGGTGATAAACCATGTTACAGATATAGATAACGTGATTTATCAGTGTGCAGGTTATATCAGTGTGCGGATCACTTTCACCTCAATTCACTCTTTCAAACTCATTTTATTCAATAATTATTGAATTAATTAATTAAAATTATAAAAATTATAATAATCTAGAATCTATTATATTATCTTAATAAATTCTTATATTATATTCAGTCTTTCTATATTTACTACAATATTAATTAAAAAATACTTTTTTATTAGAATTTTTTTTTTTTGATATTCGTTATATTAAATTTGAATATCAACCTTTACTGAAATAATATATTAAGAGTTTTTTATTTAATAAATACTTCTCCTTAATATAATTAGGTTTTTTTTATATATTGATATTTATTTAATACTTTATTCACTACTCGAAATATACAAATTTCTATATTTAAAAGTATATTCTCATAAACTAATCTCTTTATACCTTTAATTAGAGTTAATATAATTTTAAATATAAATATAAGAAAACTTAATTAATATTAGATTATTCAAGATTTCACTAAAATTGATTAAAAACGAGTTTTAATTAGATTATAAAAAATTTAAAAAATTTATTAATCTAAATTGAAAAAAGAAGAAATAAATATACAAATTTGAATATCTAATTTTGAAAATATAACTTTAAAATTAAATAATATTAAATCTATTTCTCGAAATTTTGATTTTATATTCTAAAAAGTAATTAGTTCTTTATATATAATTTTAAAAGTTATAGAGAATTCAATCTTTGAAATATAATTAATATATATCTTAATAAATCCATCAATTTAATTATTATATAAATATTTCAAATTATTAAAACAATTTATATCAAATAATTGAATTAAATAACTTGAATATAATAATAAATATAAATATATGATATCATTCTCTTTATAATATACAGTCATCATGCACTTCTATTAGTCGAAACTCTACAAAACGCGTTTTTTCACACATTACATTCCCATAATCACATTTTATTATTTTAATTATATTTTCAATTCATAATACATAATATATTAGAAATATACAAAATAATCCTTATAAATATCTTACTTTATATATATATAATAAAATAGTTAATAAAGTAAAGAAAAGCTTTAATTCCTATTAAATTACAAAAAATCTTAAACTTTCTTACAAAATTATATAATATATTCTCTTACAAAATCTAATATACAATAATAATATATACCTACTACATATTAATCGATTTAAATTATATACTAAATAAAACAAATAAATATTATTATAATATATATAATTATTTTCGAAAACTATATATAAATAGGTTATTCAAAAGATTAGATTTGATTATAATATTAGAATTATTAAGAGGATTTTGATCAAATATAGTATAATCAATTAAAAATATATAAAAAAACCAGAGTTTATATTAATATATATTATTAAATAATTTAAATAATGTTTAGCTTATAGGGGATTAATAATTAAAGAATAAGGTCTAATTATATAATTAGATAAATACTTTATAGAATAAGAAAAAGAAAAAAGATTAGAATAATATTTTTATATTAACTTTTAGAAATAGAATTTAGAAATAATTAAAATATATAATATAAATAAGAATATAAAGATTATATATTAAAAAAACTTTTGGAATATTAAAAGGAATAATCTATATATAATAAATAGGGATTTTGAGAATGTGAAATATGAATATAATATTAAATCTTATTTTGAGGTTTTTAAAACTAAAGTAAATCCTATTTTCGAAAAGCTTAATCTAAGATATAAATTTATATAGAATAATATTTCTATTTATTATATTTATAAAATACAAGATTGATTTTAAAAGAAAGAGATTCCTTTATTGAAGAATTGATCTCCTTATTCCCCCAATCTTAATCCTATAGAGTATATATAATAGACTTTAAAGATAAGAATATATAAAATGTTTTTTGATATTATTATTAATAAAAATAAATCAGAATATATTTATCAAAAACTAAAGAATTATTTATAAATAATTTAGGTGTCACGTGCATGGTTACACACACATAGAAGTTGTAAGCTTTACCACTACGCCACGCACGCAATCTGTCCAAAAGGCACAGTATCAGGGATCGATATCCTGACAGCTTACTACTATATATATATCTGTAACATTAGGATATATTAAATAAAGAATTATTTAATAATTTAGAAGTTAATATACTTTCTAAAATTGAAACTTATATTATAATAAATAGCTGATATACTAGATATTAATAAATTAAGAATCAACAATAGAATAATTTTTATATATATCAATAATATAAGAATGTATTATTCATTTATTCAAATTTGATAATTTTATAATTCTTGATTAATTTAATATTTAATATTGAAAAAGGGTAGTGTAATATATAACATTATAAAATAAGCAGGGAGGCGGATATACGTGGCCTAGTACTGTACTTAAAAAGCTTTTGATTCATAGCTTTTATACCTAACGTGGTTTATCAGTGAGTGGGTTATATCAGTAAACAGATTATTTCGAAAACCATCTAAATCAAGCTTTTTAAAATATTAATATTTTAATAATTAATTATTATTTTCTTAAATAAAAGATTTTAAAAAATAATTAAAATCTAGATTTTTTATTAATCTAATTTTTATAAAATAATTTTATTATATTCTAAAAAGAAAAGGAAATTGTTATGATTTTTGTTATAAAAAATCTATTTTTATAATAACAATTTTATAAATTCAAATTTCTTAAAACTAATAAGATTTTTAATATTCTTATATATTGAAATATTTTATATTAAATTTTCAGAAAATTATATTTATAAATAAAGAAAGTGTACGGTTACACACAAACAAATTTTGTATATAAAATAAGTAACCTATTCACTGATATAAATCATTCACTAATAAATCATGTTATCTAATATCAATATTCGATATTTACTTTTTCTTTGATTCTTAATATACTTATTGAAATGTTTTAATTATTCTAAACTTGTTTCATTATTTATCCATTTATTAGATATAGTTTTAATAACCCAATTCATAGGAAAATCGATTTTGATATATTAATTGAAAAAATAAATCTATTCTTGAATTACTAGAAATAGGAATATAATTTTATTTTCTCTATTACCATATATAATCGCTATAATCTATTCTCTATTATCTAATTATATTATCTTACTTCTACTATTTCATTTAATATTAGTTATTATTATTTTAAAATATATTATACTCATTATAAAGCCTGTTTTATTAAAATTATAAAAATTATAATTAAGAATATTATATTTCATTTATATATTCGAAATTAATCAAAACTATTTTTTAATAAACTTAAAATCTTTATATAAAGTTTTTTGAAAATTATAAATATAATTAAAACACATTTTTAATTTGATTTAATATTTTACAAATCAATATACTCAAAACTTTTTAATATATTTTATATTTTTTAATTTAAAAATATAATTTACTATATTTTCTATATTTCTTAATTTAAAAAAAATATCCTTTTATATTTATATTAATTATATATTCAGAAATAATATTTTCTTTTAATCCTAAAAAATCATAAAATTTAAATTGATATTTGAAATAGGAAATAATAATATTAATTCTATATTGTAATATTTTATTCGAGATATCATATATCTTTATAATCTTTTGAATACTTGTTTTTTTGTTTTTTTTAAATAGCTTTGATAATAAGGAATATATAGACTTCTTGATTATTCGAATTTATTATAGATTGTTAATAAAAATATGTATTGAAAGAGAAGAAAGTGAATTAAGGTGAAAGTGACCCGCACACTGATAAATCACGTTAGATAACATAATACTCTCCTCTCCTCTCCTCCTCTTATCCCCTTCCCTGCCCCCTTTTCCCCCCCTCCAAAAAATAAAAAGTAAAACTTGAGAAAAGCTTCATATACTGATTGATATATCTAATACTTAGTACCTAGTATCTAGTATTCACTTACTCACTTACTCACTTACCTACCTACCTACCTACTACCCACTACCTCCTTACTCAACAATCTCCAATTTCCAATCAGATCCAGAACCAGAAATCCAAGCTACTATAACAAGATCAGATCAGATCAGATCAGATGAAACCAGATCAAATCAAACCGTCTAAATTTGAAGATTAATTATGGATTATGTTCCTAGCTAGTACTTGGTATCTAATACCTACTATTTACTACCTACTCCAACAATCGACAATTTACAATCTACAATCTACTACAATCTAACGTTCACCATCACATCCACAAACAAGTCACCAGACCAATACAATAAATATTCCGATTCCATCCCATTTATTTATTCAATCCTATTCCATCTACTTCCTTTCCTCCTATCCCCGCCTATTGATTCTATTCCACACTATGCCGCACCCTCTGATCGAATCTCAACTTCTAATACTACACCATCTCATTGCATCTCATCTCACCCCATATCATCCAATTTCATATCAAATAATCGACTACCAAATTCATCCATGCAACCTCCGAAAAAAAAGACAAGCAAAAGACAAGAAACATAAAATATACGCACCAAACGCAAACGCAAACGCAAATAGGGTATCCATACAAAAAAACCAATCCATCCCAACCAAAATCTACCCAATAATCCTACCAACGCCCTACAAATTATATATAGATAAGAAGAAAAATGACAAGAAAAAAGATACACTCCACAATATCATACCCATAAAATCCGTCTCCAAATTCAACAAAGAAAATTAACAAAAGAAACTCCCCCATCACATAGTAAAATATTAAAGGTGATCGATCCATCCATACTCCGATCCCAAATTATCATGTTGAACTTCAATCTTTGCCTCTATTATGCACCCAAGACTCTCAATACCTAGGTATCATCATCATTCCTCCAAAACCTCCGCCAAAGCATCTCTATCAACCAAATCCGGGACTACCTTACTAGGTGCTTTTTCCGTTTGTCTAAACCCCGGAATCGGTCCTTTCTGATTAATTCCCGCCGCTCTGCCCAACATAGCTCTGAGAGGCTCTTGCGTTATGGAAATAGATGGCGTGCTCACAGCCCGAATGGTCGGTGGAGGAACAGGTACATGAGCGTTCGAGGAACTTCTAAGATCATTTGTTGATTTCGCAGGAGACATTCCCCAGCGACCAAAGACCCAACCACCGACTTTCTTTCCTAGACCAGTACTACTATTATTGCCTTCGTTAGAAGAACTGGATCGGATGGAACTTCGATCATTACTTGTTGATCTCGGTGAGTTTGAGTGTCCAATGTTGGAACGAAGATAACTCGTACTATCATGGCCGGTTCGAGATAAAGTAGGCCGAGCTGTAATCATAGACGCACCAGTGATGGTTTCGGTAGAATACGTCATTGTTGGAGTTGAAAGTCTAGATTGTGGTCTTATTGATGAGCCGACCGAAGTCATATTTAATTGCGACGGTCGAGTTTTTAATGTATGAATATCGATGCCTGAAATCGAAACAATCGATTCATGAGATGGGGAACGATGTAACCTAGGACCAAATTGACGAGGTATCCACTCATCAATCGTATTATCAGAGACATCTGAAGTGGTAGGATTTGTAGAATCATCCATGAGAGAAGGAACTCCAGTAAATTGTAGGCCCGAAATATCATGAGAATCATCATCATCCTCCTCTTCGTGAATTATATTATGGGGTTGAAAATTGGAAATAGCAGAAAAGCTTCTGGTTGAAACTTCAGATGGACGCTTTCTATGATATGAAGGATGAACTCGAGGCGACAATGGGTCGATACTTGAGGTAGGCGATGTCGGACGCGATGAATCAATATCGAAACTTCGATCGAATAGAGCACTACTTCGATACATAGATTGTGGAGATGATGGCACAGATGAAGGAGCAAATTCTGACAATTGACTCGATTGAACTGACCATCGATGATTCGTATTGATAGGACTTGGGACGGTGACTGCTGTTTGAGCCAATATAGCATTCTCTGCGCCTCGAGAAATTCGGGGAGATTGTGGGCTTCGAGTAAGTAGAGGGAAAATACCAGAACTCAAAGAAGTTCGCTTCTTTTTCGGCTTGCGCGCTTCGTCTCTCTTTGGTATATGGTAATGGTGATGGATGTGAAGCGCTTGGGAAATAAGTTGTGGTTCCTGTGGTCGTTGTTCGGAATCCTGTTCGCTTGGCGCAAGTTCTGCCCCTAATGTCCGCTGCTGAGCTACATTGTCAACATCCTCCGAACACATCGGTTGATGCATCAATAATTGTTCTCGTAATGTTTGTACTTCATCATTCGAATTCATCAACATCTCTCTTAACTCCACTATCCCAAGTTGTAAATTCGCATTATCCTGTAAAATATCTTTCACAAAATGCGAGACAACACTGGTACCATGCTTGCCTCTGCCTGATGTAGCGGCAGCCGCACCCTTCAAACGACAAGCAGCCGTATCCAATTCTCGTTCAACTGTCCGTTGTCTCTCCATCCGACCCAAAATTTCCACATGTCGTTCCCTCTCTTCTTGTGCTTCTCGTTCAATTCTCTCCAATTGATCCTGTAAATCACACAATCCTCGTTCCGCTCTCTTCCATCTCAATATCGCCGTACGTTCTTCGGCAGCCGTATGTATAATGGTTTTTCGTAACGTCTCTTGTTCTTCCTCCAAGATTGCCAAATCTCTCTCTAGTTGATATGTTCTCGAAGCTAACGTTTCGAGACGTTTCATTTCGGTACGCGTACTTTGTAACGTTGACTCGAGCAACTTGATCTGAACTTCGGATTCCTCATAACTATCATTGAGACCTTCGAGCTGATCTAGCAAAGCCTTATTCTCCTCGATCGTCTTTTCGTTTTTCATTTCCAATTCCTTCTTATCCACTTCCAACTGCTCGATCTTCGCCGTCATCTTTGCTCGTTCTCGTTCCGCATCGAGCATGTAATGTTCATGTCTTTCTAACAAAGCCTGCAGAGCAAAAGTCAATGATTGATTCATCTTCCTAATAATTATTTCCCGCGCCCCCACTCCTTTCGCATCCATTTAATTATACATAAGCGCGTACGATAACGCGGGGTTGTAAACAAAGAAAGAAGATTAGATTAATTTAAATCGAGGCCAAAAGTAAATAATCCAAGAACCCAAGGTCACAGTATCCACTTCCCCCAAGTAAAATCTCTGCTACCTTTAATTTCCCCCGAGGTTTGACGATGTGAAGGGAAGGGGGAAGAAAGGAAGAAAGATTGAGTTGAGGAATGGAGAAAGATCAATGGTAACATCAACACAAGAAAATTGAGAACCCCGATGGAAAGAAATCATTCGTACCTGACCCATTTGAGCAGCTAATGTCACATCTCCCTCCAACTTATCCAAGACCTCGCCATTATGAAGGAGAAATGCGCACTCTCTGCGACCACAACAACATTTCAGTGTGCTACGTTCTTGCTCATCCGATATTGGAATGTGGTCGATTAAATCTGATAAATGTGCCATAATGCGGGCGTTTTTTTCTTCTTCTTTCTTGGTGTGCAGACTAGATGGGAAGCTAGAGAAAGTGGCTGCGTTGTCCCTCTGGCTGGCTGAAGAAGAAGAATGAATACCTTGTAGGTACAGGTACAGGTACAGGTACAGGTCCAGGAATAGGAATAGGAATAGGAATTTCGGGATCTCAGGGTTTCAGGGTTGTTGGTTGAACTTTGACTTCTGAAATGTAAAGTTTGAAGTTGTGCTTCCTTGGTGGAGTGTTGTACTCTCCTGATAACATGGTCGCGGATTTATTTATTCCATTGTATTCATTATATAATCTAGAATATAGGTACCTAGTTTCCGGTGAATGAGGGGGGGGGGAGTTTTGTGAATGTCTTTTGTGAATGTTTTACGAAAAGGAAAGGAAAGGAGAGGAAGAAGGATAGGGATACTAAGTAGAAAACGGTGTAGAAACAAGAGAGCGAGGGAGGGAGAGAGAGAGAGAGAGGGAGTGACAGGATCGAGATAGAAATGATTGTGAATCTTGTAAATCTTGTGATGGTTAAGAAGAAGAGGTTGGTTTACCAAGTAATATAATTTGGATACTTTTTGGTTTGAAAGGATTGTCAGTATTGTGTAGGAATTATTACTCACATGCATTGCATCTTTATTCAAGGTACATCGGTCGGATGTACATGGCATGGAGCATGGAAAGGCACAGGCACGGTAGACACGGTAGACACGGTTGAGAGAGATCATATTGGAGTTCACCAGGTTCACATTCTTTTAAATCAGGTACAATCGATGCGTGATTGGCTTATGAAGATGAGATTGGTGTAGATTAGGATACATAAGTCGAGATTAATCGACATTAATGTACATTTCACATCCATTCTTGTACATTTCATCGGTACCGGTATGGATCCATCCACATACATTCTTATCCATTCTTATCCATTCTTATCCATTCTTATCCATTCACATACCTTAGTCTACCATCAATACCTGACAATAACCATTCAAAGTTCGTCATGGAACAGCTGTTCCCTGTTAGAAGTGCTGGAGCTGGAACTATGTGAAAATAGGTACAAATAATGCTTGTCCATTGTACTCGGCGCCGTGTAAGTTTAACTAAGAGCGAAAAAATATATATCATCAAATTTGGGGGGAAGAAAAGAAAAAAAAAAAAAAAAAAAGAAAAGAAAAATAGGAAAAATTAAGGGGAAGATGAAGAAGTCGGTCAAGCCAGCGTCCTTTTCTCTCTTTCCCTCTTCTCTTCCTTTCTTCCTTCCTTCATCCATTGGGTATTTGTGATCCAAGTCCTGGGTAAATATATCACGAGAAACGAAACCCGAGACATGGAATCCATATCATGAATGATGATCACGCGTTACGAGTCAGCCATCAGCCATCAGCCATCAGCTATCATTTCCGTCTATTAGTTCAATAGAGCAAGCACGAAATCACATGGTAGTAATACCATCAGTATCATAGATACGATCAATATTATAATAAATACAATCAATAACGTGTTTTATCAGTGAGCGGTTCATATCAGTGAATGGGTCATTTCGAAAATCATTTAAATCAAGCTTTTTAAAATATCAATATTTTAATAACTAATCATTATTTTCTTAAATAAAAGATTTTAAAAAATAATTAAAATCTAGATTTTTTATTGATCTAATTTTTATAATGTGTTTTATTAGTGAGTGATTTATATTAGTAAATAGATTATTTCGAAAATCATTTAAATCAAATTTCTTAAAATATTAATATTTTAATAATCAATTATTATTCTTTTTAAAAAAAAATTTAAAAATTAATTAAAATCTAGATTTTCTATTGATATAATTTTTATAAAATAGTTTTATTATTTTCTAAAAAAAAAAAGGAAATTATTACGATTTTTGTTACAAAAAAACTTTTTTTTATAATAACAGCTTTATAAATTCGAATTTCCTAAAACTAATTAGATTTTTGAGATTTTTATATATTCAAGTATTTTGTATCAGATTTTCAAAAAATTATATCTATAAATAAAGAAAGTGTATAGTTATATACAAATGAATTTTGTATATAAAATAAATAACCCATTTATTGATATAAATTATTCACTGATAAAACACGTTACAATCAATACAAATAAATACATGTTCTGTTGGTAAGTCAACCAAATATTGGATGCACCCTTCAACTTATGAATATGAAATCCGATTGCAATTCCGATTTCAATTCCAATTCCAAAATTCACATTCATGAAATATATATCTAGATATATTATATATATCTACCCAAATACAAAGAATACCTACCTACCTACCTACCCACCTACCTACACACACAATCCCCCCATCCCCATCCCATCACACAAAAAAAACCAACACCACGGTAGTGGAGAAACATACCAACTATAGTAGTAGCACTAGTAATTATTTGAACAACAATGTACTTCACCTTCTTCATCTACTTCATCTAGGTACTCAATATCAGCACCTGTATCACCCACCCCCGTCTACCTGTACAACTGTACAAACCTAAACTTTGATAAACCATGCGAACGAACATGGTGTCTTGGATGAATATGAATGAGAGAGCAACGCACGGTCGAGACTCACTCTGGGATTTTGGCTTTGCGATTGGGATTGGGATTGGGATGGATTGCATAACATAAAAGTCGTGTATGATAGAGAGCTAGTGTTAAGTGAAAGGTAATGTTTGATGTTTGGTAGGTATTATTTAAGATTGATCATAAGGAATAAAGGATTAGGTTCTATCTGTTCTGTTACAGATTGCTTGTTAGGTTGTGGTGTGAATAGATATCTAGTAGATAAATCATCTCAATTCAACAATCTCCAAGCTAAACATCACATCACATCACACACAACCTCCCAATCCCCAAACATCACAAAACAAAAAAAAGAAATTCCCTCACCTTCACCTTCACCCTCACCCTCACTCTCCCCATTAAATCTCTCTCATCACCCCATCACATCACATCACCAACAACCAAGTTCCAAACTACAGTACCAACCAACCAACCCACCCCGTACCAAGAAATCCCATCCAATTCAGCGGTCTGCTCCTCTAGCCCATCTAGCCCATCTCCCTTCTAGCCCGTGACTCTCACCGTTCTTTCAAAGGTTCCAAGTATCTATAGTGTACATATATACATACATACATACATACGTTCATACATATGTGTACATGCAGATAAAGACATATACATGTACGTCCTTCACCATGCTGCACGCTGCACGCGGCTTTTTCGGCTTTGGGATGTTGGGATGTAGGTATGCAGGATTGTGGGGCGGGATGTTGTGGATATTTTTCGATTTCAGTATTGTTTGGAGATGGAGATGGAGAAGGAGATGGATGTATTTATTTTGGGGGTTGAGGTTTGGCAGTAGTGAGAGGGGGAGGGAGGAATGAGAGGGGAAGGTAAGGGAAGAGAAGAGAAGGTGGATATTTGGTATGGTATTGTATTTATTGAATGAATGAATGAATGAATGTATTTGGTTTGTTTCGGGGAAGGTAAGAAGGGAAGAAGTGGATTTATTTGAGGATAATACTAATCTCTATGACTACAGCATTTATAAGTTATACCTATATACAATCTACACACAACACAAATTCGAAATCTATCTGCAAAGTAGATACAATCATCTCAAACAAACCAAACCATGACACTTCATATTCCCACCCCAACCCCCCTTCACATCTTTTCCCCTTTCCCACCCATCCCATAAACCTCCACCATCCTCTCCCCAACCGCCTCCCCACTCCAATAAGCCCCCGTCGTCGTCCCCAACGCAATAAAAGGCGCCGTATGCTCCCCCGCAAACCACAATCTCCTCTCCGGCAGCCCCTCTCTCAAAACCTTCACATCCGCATCCCCCTCGCGCAACCCCACTTGAAAGTTCGTATAACTTCCGTTTCCCGCCAGATCATCATTGACCCACGTCGTACCCACACAAGACAATGGTGTACAATCCGCATTCCCCTCTTCGTAGTTAGGGAGCAGCGAATAGTAGGGCTGGAAAAAGGAAACCAGGAATGCGTCTTTTTCGGCCGGGCTACCCAGTCTCGAGAGGGTGTGCGCGAAGAGTTGAGATTGCTCGCCGTAGATGTAGAGGAGCAGCGTGGGGTGTGCATTTTCGGGAGTGAATGAGGAGAGCGGTACGATTTCTTGATGCCATTTGTGAGGATTGGTGGTGCGGGTGTAGGTGGGAGCGAGCCATTGGGTGAAACCGTCGAAAGTTTGGGCGGAGGGAGGAAGGTTGGGATTGCTCCAGAACGCGTGGGGAAATGTTATGTAGACCTAGGAGATTGTCAGACTGAAGTTTTGTAATGGGATAAGGAGTACGCAAACTTTTTCGAGACAGCCATAGCCGAGGGAGTCAATGGCGGAAAGAAATCGGGTGGGGAGTGCAGGTTGGAATGCTTGCTTGTTTTTCTTTAACCAGCCGAGTGGCGTGGTCATTACTACTTCGTCGAATTCTAAACTTTTGCCGTCATCGATGAATACGGTGATATTTTCCGAATTTGTTTCCACGCGAGTTACTTTTGTTAAGTATTTGATTTTTGCATTCTCCAAAGCTGGTTTGGCGACCTGAGCGAGGATGTTCTTGTATGTTCCAGCGACGAAAATATTTGCTAAATCATGAATTAGTTCACTTATACTCAGGTTTTTTTTCAGCCACTCAAAAAATGACATAACACTTCAATAATTATGCGTCGCAAGTATGACCTTTGACAATTTGGAACCATGAGAAATGACTTACCTCCGTCGATGCACTCTTCTAGCCAAAAGAATTTCAAACTTTGCTTCTTTACTGAACTCCCGACAAAAGTTCCCCATATATCAGCAAACTGAATCGAAATTCTTCTCTTCTCCGCATCATCGGGATACTTTTCCAAAAGTTTCTCTTCAATAAAATCATAAAGACTCTTATCAGGATCAATACTCTCCGAATTTTCCTCCGAGTACTTAAACGCCCCATGAATAATTTCCCACACTTCATTCATCATTGCATCCCCATCAGCAAGAGGCTTCCCATCTTCTCCAAACCATATCCCCTTTTCAGCCCACGTATGCACTTCCGTATTGGTACTATTGGCCATATCCAATAATGGTTGATCGTCGCTACCGTGAAGCCAATTTGCTCCTAGATCGACCAATGGGCCGGATGGCAAATTTATTTGATGAACTCGGCCACCGATTCGATCACGACCTTCGAGGATTGTAACGTCAAAGCCATGTTGGAGTAGTATATCGGCGCATCGAAGTCCAGAAAGTCCTGCGCCGACTATACAGACTTTTGGTGGTGATGAGGGGTTTTGCTCGCGTAGCTTAAAAGGAGAGGGGTTAGTCTGGGAATTAATGTCTGGACATGACACATTCACGATTTGTATTCGAGTGAAATGTCATTTTATTACTTACTCACCTTAATTGAGGGACTCGATGGTTGTCGCATGATATCGGACTGGCGTATTTTAGGCTGGCAAGAATGTAAATCTTGATAGATCCTTGATGTGCTTTTGTCTAAAAAGTCGTGTGAGTTAATGAATGAAAGGCATCTGGGACCTTAGAAGTAGCAGCCATGCGATTCTTCAAAGGAATTTGAGGAGGAGTGATCAAATTGTATATCCAAGTGTGCAAATTTCCTACAGATTTCGAACTGCAATGCCAAGATAGAGTGACAACTAGGGGCCTCGCTTGGGTATTCACGTTCAGTAGACCAGACGAATTCAGCTCAATCAACGATATCGATGCCCAGCAACCAGGGACATGTTATATTTCAAAACGAGCCTCTGAGATCTATAGTCATGAAGACAAGTAGATGACGAGCACTTGCTCCACTCTTGAATGATCTCGTCTTATCATAAGATGACAAGCGACAGTCACTTGAATGTGCGAGAGCCTCTCAGGAAAACACGATATTACAGGGGATAGAGTTCTTTCAATGTATATCAATATTTTCGCAGGAAATATGAAAGGGTAAGATCAGATAAATTCTGTAGAAAGTCATTCTCTTTGGTATGGCAACCGGACTGTGTATCATTACCAGTGGGTATGTGAGAAAATTCAGGAGGGTGACTTTATCGGAAATGAAAAGTAATCATACCTGACGTAAGTATATTCTCAGCTTTCATATTCTACACCTTTACTTAGGTATATTCAACCCTATATCTCCTTCTACGAGTGTTGTGATTCTTGCTTTGGATTTTCAACTAGTGAGATTTCATTGGTGGGATGGTGGACAAAATTAGATAATTATGTAAGCGACTCTTTCCAATTGACACGCCTGAGCACGAGCCGACGCATCATTCTCGTGCTAGCTTACCGGAGATCAAGGACTAGGTACGATATAACAAAATGGCCACCCAGATTCAGCCCCAAATTGAAGCCAAAATTTGGTCTTCATCTTTCACATCCCCATCATGCGAACCTCGAGAATATCGAAAGATACTGCGAAGATAATCAATGCAACGTCCACCTCACCAAGACGCTCTACAAGATCTCTATCTCGGTTTGCTTTGAATGCTCCAATCAAGGATGAAGATACATCGCCAACTCCAGATATTGAAGATGTCATTCCTTCAACTTCGAGTCTTAAAAGAAAGAGAAATACTGCTCCAAAGACTTCCATAAAGAAACAATCTCTCAACGAAACGACAATCAAGACTGAAATCGAGAATACTGTCGCGTTTTCCCCTCCGTCGAAAACAAGTCGAGTACGCAAACCCGCGCGTAAAGTCAAGAATGAAGATACCGGAGAAATAGAAATCCAGCCCCCCAATGATTGGCGCGAAGTCTACGATATCGTAATGGAGATGCGGAAATTGGGCGTCGCGCAAAATGCAGCTGTAGATACGATGGGATGTGATAAATTGGGACAAGAGACTGTTGATCCGAAAACGAAGAGATATCATACCTTGACGGCTTTGATGTTGTCTTCGCAGACTAAGGATACTACGAATGCGGTTGCGATGAATCGTCTTTATACGGAATTACCTGCTCATAAGGAAGGTGCGCCGATTGGTTTGACGTTGGATAATATATTGGCTGTGGATCCGAAATTGTTGAATGAGTTGATTTGGGTGGTGGGATTTCATAATAATAAAACCAAGTATATCAAAGCTGCGGCGGAAATTCTTAGAGATCAGTGGAACGGCGATATACCGGATACTATTGAGGGCCTGATGTCTTTACCGGGAGTTGGTCCAAAGATGGCATATTTGTGTATGAGTAGTGCTTGGGGTAGAACGGAGGGAATTGGTGTCGATGTACATGTTCACCGGATTACGAATATGTGGGGTTGGCACACGACTAAAGGACCAGAGGAAACAAGATTAGCTTTACAAGCTTGGTTGCCCAAAGAACTATGGCACGAGATCAATTGGTTGCTAGTTGGGTTTGGACAAACTGTCTGTTTACCAGTTGGAAAGAAATGTGGAAGTTGTGAGTTGGGAATGAATGGATTGTGTAAAGCAGCCGATAGAAGTAAAGTTACAATTGGAAGAAAGATTAAAGAGGAAAAGATCAAGACAGATCAGGAGGGTCATGTGGTTGAGCGGACGGAAACGATCAAGGCCGAGGAGGATAGCAAGGACATACCGCTGAATCCTGAAGAGAAAGCTCAATTAAAGTCTGAGGCTGGTATTGTCAAGCAGGAGGAAGAGGATGCTGTTTTAGCAGATATCGCAAATGCTCCTGGAGAATTGGAGAAGACGCCAAAACGGAAGAAAAGATGAGATTGTTTCCACAAGATTATGTTTTTGTATTATAGCTTGCATTGGAATCTTTATGTGTAGCGGCACATCGTGTAATCTATCCTCGCATAATGGAAGGGCTCGCATGTCTGGGGCTAAGTGGCCATATCTCAAAACACAAGACTTCAGGCCCTAATTTACATGCTGTATAGCTCTCAGACTCATCTCTGAAGCATCACAAAACCATGGAATCGTACTGTTGTGTATGTTTATATCTTGTATTATTCGTTTATCTCTCCGAAAATGGCCTAACCACCATCTATCTCAAAATGCCTCCCAATGCTTATCCGAAAACGCCATCACTTATGCACCAGAAACAGTTCATCCGCCCCGCTATGCATCCCATACATATTTTTCTACTGCCCACCCTGTATCTTCTTCCACCCGCCTTACTCCAACTCAAGTTCTCCTCAGGGCCTTCTCAGCTAACAATGGCCATCCGAGCACAAGTGCAAAACCGGGGAAATATCTATACACATTGCATTAGTATCCTTCTTATCACTTTTGTTCGAAATAGCTCCAAAGGGCGTCAGTTTGGAGAAAGGAAAGAAGAAAGTACTTACAATACAGCATTTCCGGCAGTCCTCTTAACCAATTTGCCCCAATCAGCTTTAGCAGCCTGTTGAGAAAGGGGATAGCGTTCGAATGGGTGTGGTTCGAAGCCACGTGCTAGTTGGCGGGCTCGGGTGAGGATGGAAAAGGTGCGGCGGGATGCAACTTGTCGGATTATTGGGGACATGATTTCTTTTGTGGGGGGTTCCTTTTATTGGTTGATTGGTTGATTGGTTGGATGATTTTTGTGAGGAGTGATGTTTATATGTGTGTTGTGATTGAGTGAAGTGATTGGCTGTTGGATACACTGTATGATTGATTGATTGAATTGTATGGTATGATATGATATGCAAGAACCGTAACACGACAGCGAGGATGCATATATATACGAATAAGACATACATCAATTCACTCCCATCATCAACCTCCATCCTCCTACGCAACCCGAAAGACCTCTCCAGCCAAACTACAGCCTCCAAACCCTCCATCCCAAACCGAACCATCATGATCCCACCCCGCCAAAACATCATGCGAAAATCACCATTCACGCAGACCATGCGTATAAAATCTCCTGATCTCTTCGCTTGAAATCGCTTCCTTCAATCATCCTCCGGGCTGCAAAATTACGAACCAATAGGATTGTCTGGTTTACAAAGAGGTATGTTTGATTACATGATACGCTTATAGAAAATTCGGAAGAATGTGAAAGGAAAATATCGGGATAGAATGTTGGGTAGAGAGACTGTAGAAAAAGTTGGACAATAGCACGATGGTGGTGTGACGAGGGAGTGGTATCAGGTCATTTTTTGGAAAGGCTAGGCCAAATACGGTATAGTGGGATTTTCGGCGAGTTCCGAATTTTGGGGTGTTGGTATGTGATGTTGGTGGGTGCTTACTTGCTTCGTTTTTTGGACGACGGCGGAAGGTTCTGCATTGCGGTATTGAATTTTGGAGTATTCTTGTTTCGAGAAAGAAACTGAGGATAGGTTTTGATGGCAAGATGTTTGTCAATACTGATGCGACTGCATCGTATGGAGACGTGGATTATCACGATATGTTGAGGAATCTGGAGGAAGGGAAGCCTCTTGTTCACAACACAAGAATCGAATAGTTGGAAATTAAACTTACAGGATGGATCAATTGGTCAGAATCCTGAGGCTCTGTTACTTCGATTCATCTCTGGAAATGATACTTAAAACACGGAACCAGTTGAGCGACTGCGGCTCTATCGTTTGAGGTGGAATACAGCTATGAAATTCCTAACTTGTAAAGCTAGAAGGCTACTCGTTCACCATGAAACCAAAAAAATCCCAATATCTATTTCAGCAAGTCCTTTTTCCAATTGAGAACCATTAAATTCTTTATCCAATATTTATCAACGTCAAATATGTACCTGAGCAAACCTGTGTATGTCGCTTTGGCATTTCGACTCACCATTCTAGCACAAACATGAATGATCTTTTCTTGTTCTAAACATTCTTTACACATTTGATATCAGGTACGTGAAGAGTAGATATTGTATAATGATGACCAGGGAGAAAACAATCACCAAAACACCCTAAAGATCGTTAGCATCATGGTACCTATCGTCAATAGACAAATGTTAACATCGGCACCCTGACCTCTGCCTAGTACTATAGTGCAGAGTCTAGAATAAGGTCTCTTAGACTCCACGTAAGGTGATGTCTATAAAGCCCGCGATCTACTAGGTACTCGTAATCCCGTCCCGTTCTCCTGGAATGTTTCCCGGTGAACCCGTCCTTGCTACTGGTGGGGGGGGCGTCGTCTTGGGCAAATATTTCTCATCTTTCTCGATTTTTGTTTCTATCTGATCAAAGAAAGCTTACAGCAGCAGAACTAACTCATTTATCGAGCGTTCGAACTAACCTCTAGCTTTCATTCTAAGGATTCAAGATCGTTTTTCTGTTTGGTTTATATACAATACTGCAGCACAAGCGCTGCCGGGAAGGAGGATTGTCGCTGCACTATTCATATGTAAATATATCAGCGAAGGGTCTTTGATAAACATTTCTCATATAGCATGGCTCATTTTGTCAAGCGATCCATGATATCTGTCCCATTTTATCAATTTCATCATGCATCTCTTAGTTATTCAGAAAGATTATAATATCTATACTCTTTAACCTGACGACGAGAGTTCATCGCGGCAATAGTCTGCAAATGCTATTCACTTATCTGATTTCTATAATCATTCCCCTCTCCATGATCAATCTTCTCCCATTTCAACATCCATTTCATAGTTATTTCTTGCCATATCCCATAATTCAACCCTATTCTCCCATCCCCGATTCCAGCATAATCATCTCAACAACATAAATATCCTCTCATAGACAATAGCCCAAAAGCTTTTCCAAACCCTTTTCATTAGTCTCAAAATCCCTTGAACGTTGTAGATTCTCGTTATTCAGTTCGTTTTTCTTCTTTAAACCTAGCCAAATCGAACTCGGGAATATCATTTACTCCCTTAGATACCTCAAGCGCTCGAGGGACGCTACAGTGAAAATACCCTGAAATGAGACATATTCCCAGCAGGAAATAGCCACCGAAATCGAAATGCCACACCTGAAGCTTCGAGAAACAGACCTTCTCATTTTCTTCAAGGATTGCGTCAAATGTCAATTTCTGAGGTGCTACAGCGATAGAAATCAGGTGGGCTAGCAGTGTACATCGGTGCTCCTCCCAAAATGTATTTTAACGTATAATATGTGGTTAATATTCTTGTAATTGCCATGAGGATTGACCAATAAAAAAAAGAATGGCTAATTCAAACATCAATGGATTTTCCTGTATGAGGAAAAGAAAGCTGTCTATCTATAACTCATTTTGAAAGCAGTTCAACTTAGTTCCCCAGTTACCGAAGTTGTGAGGGCTCTTTTGAATTCTGCATCGTGGTAAGCGAGACTCAAAAGGAGAAGCTTGAATTGCGATATTTAAGGTGTTGTCTCGAAATATCTTTGTTTACTCATGAAGCTCACACGATGATATCTTGAAAGCCGGGCCTTCTCACTCATCTTGTGATCTGAATCAAGTCAGTCGAAAAATTTGCTTGGATCCCACGAACGATATCGCAAATTTCATGATAATCGTCTGTTTGACTTTGGAATAATTGTGTAAACAATCCAAATACTCTATTCGAATATGCTTACTCCCCGAGATAGCATTATCAGACGATTAGTTATATCAACCGCGGTCACAAGGATCTTGTATCAAATTGAATAACCTGGCTTGATTGGTGACATCAAGACTTTAGAGTTGGTATAGCACCAAATCAGAACTTGATGATTGAGTGCCCTGAAAATTGAATTCCAAACAGCTTATTTCATCCAACTGGTTGAGTCTGAACTGACTCCTGGGTTGTTACTTGTCCATCAAGAACCACGAATGCCTGAGAAGATTAGCAGCTTTGATAATTATCTGGGCTGATAGAGTATCATACCGCTCACTGAGCCATTTAGTAAACTATGATGGGCGATGAAATCGAAGTTGATGCTATGCACGCAGGTGCAATTGAATCTTGGTGCACAAGGCGAGCATATGAAGGTCTCAGAAAGTCAAAGATAGGAGAGGAAAGTTGCCGCATGCTAGCATCTTATTGCCTCCCTTGACAAAACTATTTTTACAGACGGATTCATTGGTTCTGAAATCCTCACAGGTGAATGCCGCCAGACAATGCGATACAACCCCAACCAAGTCCGAGATATAAATTTGCCACAACGGAAATGAAACGGAACTAACCAAAGCAAAAAACAGAAGAGAGACAACGACGGGAAAATCTCACCGCCATGCCTCTACTTTCATCGAACAATAGGCGCTTCACCGCGGCACAGAAACAAATCAATATCAGAGCTGGTAGATTATCGTCCTTCACTGCTCACCTCATTCTGACCTTATCATAAACGAAAGGATTCAACCCTGTGGTCCGCCTACTTATCTGCCCATCTGCCTAGTGTCTTGCAAGTGTGATCCAAATACACAGCTAATGTCTAGCCTTGCGTCTTCAGATCATGTTTTGACCAGAGACTCGAGACAAGACACCAACACTCAGAGATTAGCACCTTGTCCATTGATTTCCCGGTAAAGACCCACGACCGTGTAGAACGAACTTCATAATGGATTTGCCAAGGCAGAATCAATTTCAATGTACCATTACTCGCATAGCCTGAAAGTTATCCGAAATCAGATGAGGAAGGCCGTACCAACGGAAAGGGACAAGCCAAGATTGGTTGAAATGAAACAACACGCCGAGTTCCTTGATCGATAGTAAGATCTTACAGTTCATCACCTCGCATACCGTCTTATTTAAGGTATCTTTATAAGCTTCAACACAGGAATCAAGATGAGGATAAAATTCGTCACTTATCATCAAGTTTGTCCCTTATCATCTTATCGCTCAAGAGGCCTACGTACGTGCGGCGAAAACACGTTAAGCAATGAACACCTCCCCCACTTGGTACTGATGACATCTCACGCCTAAATCTGAGACAGGTCCAGCGCCCGATAGTGGCTTATGCTCATGAGTGTTACCGAAATGTTCCCATTCAAAAAACACGCGACTCGAGGAAAATGAAGCTATTCAATTACGCTTTGACTTCCAAGAACGATACATGATAATAGCTTTTTAGATTTGACCACATGAACGAACTAGTTTGTAGAGAACGGGTGTCAACCGAGGAAAAAAGCGGATACACTCAGCGCAAGCTTGTTTCTACTTCGGCCAAGACCCTCGTTCAAGAAGAAGAGTATAGCCTATTATCAGCTTAACTTCCCCGCCTCACATGATCAAGATTCTCCTTGCGTGCCTCAATTGACAACATTGCATCGAATGCACTTACATAAAATGCGCAGGAAGTATGTACTTGTGGAAGATGATGATTTGTGGTACGAGATGGGAAAGTAGCGTACGTACATAAATACCTCAAGCTTCGGGCTGTAGTTAAGGATCTTTCGTACGACAGAAACTCTGTCACTAGTAATCGTAACATATGTACCTAATATGAGGATATCAAAAGAAGGGATGATTGAATGGTAGCAAATCCATAAGTAGTTAACACAATTATTTCGACCTTCCTTATCGGGGCCCACCCTAAAATTGACCCTTGAGATGTAGTAAAGATTATGTCCCGGTAAGAGTTGTCAATGTCTGTCCACTCTCCGACGTGAGCTTCA